GCAGGGAATAAGTCAGCACAGAATTTTATTGCCGGCGAATTTCTGTAATCGTCCATCGTTCTGCTAATGAGAAGCTAGCCGTTGTTCACTCGTCTTGCTTGTTTGGGGCTGAGTCTTATTCCGGTCAAAGAGGGAGAAAGAGTGTCTGGCAAGGTTCCCAATGAAAGACTTGTGAACTCGTGTCTGGCAAACTTTCCAAGTGTTTATATATACGCAGTTATACGCACCTTATAACTTCTTCTGCGCTTAACACCATAACGAGGGTCGTTAAAATTTTGGTCCATAACTTTCACTGAAACAACTGATAACACGTAACGCAAAAGAGTGTCGAAGTATGACTGCACAATAATGTCACAAAATCTACCTAAGCGGTCCCTTGGGGGTGTCCTGTCTTTACGTCATCCTAACCATTTCGTACTTGGGGACGCAAACAATAGAAACGTCATCATTACCTACCGATTCCTCGGGGCCCCTGTTCAAGCAAATCGAGATTTTTTTCTATATTGACTGTATGACTGTATATTTCAGCTGTAAGTACTTTCCTCAATATACGCGCGAGTTACTAGAGTGCCGCCTCGGGATTTCGCCTTCTGGGCGAAATCCCTGCGGGGGCAATAATGACTATTTTTATCCTCCAATTACAGGTCGGAGCCATTCCTGTATTTAGTCGCTCATCCTCATCAGCTTTCGCACCCGCGAAGTTAACACTTCTAATACACAAGAGAAAAGAAGGCGATCATCGTTAGCTGAAGACAGGAGTAGAAAACCCCTGCTTCGAAGTCCAGATGGAAACCATATCACTAAATGACGTAGGACAAACAAGCCTTGAGTATCAAGGACCCGCTACCAAGAAAAATCCCTCATCACCAATAGATCCTGCACATTCAGACAAATTTCTTAAACTTCGGCGAATGATGTGCATTGTTACTGCTGTGGCTTTCATTTCTCTCCTGACTTCTGCTGCAACTCTCATCTTAGCTTTGAGAGTGAAAAATTCTCAGAATGTTTCGACTTCCCCTACGATTGTAAAGCACGAGGTAAGCGAATCGGCACCATTTTTAGATTCGTGAATTCCTAGTCTTCCTCCGGTGATGTATACTATTACGCAGGGACGAAGTCGAGGGAAACACCAGGACTCGAGGGAAAACAAAACTAACTGGTTTCACGAGGGACCTGACATTAAGTGTTTTGTTATACTTCTAGACTTTCACTTCAACAGCAACAAAAGAATAACCGGGGCGAATCAAAACAGTCGACTGGGTACTTACAGCAACACAAAGTTAATTCTTAAAACCCGGCTGAATATGATTTACAAAGTACTTTCCTTATATTATCTGCATCTTTTTCGTCCACAAGCGGCTGTTTCTCTTCTGGATGATAACTTTGAAACTCGTTGCGTCTTAGCTTGAGGCTTCTGTCACGCCACTTTGCACCATGGTTTGATCACGTGCTGTAATGTATCCTGAGCGGGCTACAAATGTATCACGATCAGGACGATCGGGATACATTTGATTTCAGTCAAGACCATGTGACCACACAATCAACCACTGGCAGTCCTTGTTTAGTTGAGAGAAAGTCTAGGAATATAACAAAATTAAAGCATATGTTATCTTGGTAAATTACTTTGCTCATTTCAGTATTACGAGAATTTTCTTATGCTACTACGGCTAAATTTAGGAAAGATGCAACCGCTTTGGTACACAAAGATATTTCAGTAATGGTGTGAGCAAAAGGAATTTTGGCATTTTGAAATTTTCCAAACAGGAAAACAAAACTTTATCGTCGGCCCGATTTTCTCGAGTTTCAATGTAGTTCCTTTCTGCCCGTCCTTTGTCAAACTGAGACTATTTCTAAGGCCTGGAATAAACACCACAAGGTTTCACGAGCTGCAGCAAAACAATCCTACACAAGTTTTGTCCTAGTCAGTCCCCGGCCCCGGGGTGGTGTATTCGTCGTCAGGTATATCATGTACTGCCCACCCCTTTTACCTGAGGACTTTCACAATGAGAAAACTATCAGAATTCAAAGAAACAGTGCTCTTGATTCCTTTTCAATTTCCCGTGAATTTACAGCTAAAACGTTTCTGTCTGTGCGACAAGAACCAGTCAAGTACGAATTTGAAGTGATTGTCAGAATGCCTTGTTGGCCACGAACTAGCACAGAATTTAAATTTGGTCACACTGTACTTCCGAGAAAACAGTGAAATTACCCATCACAAATTTAGGAATTAGATGTAGAAATAGATGAGGACATAGTAAAAAATATATATATAATGGTAAACTTCCTCTGTTTAAAATCTACTAATTAATGAAGGCTCTCAGTTTCCGAAAATCTAATGGCCCATTTTTTTTTATAATCTAAAAACTTTCAATTTTAAGGCCTTTTTTCACATGCAAATGAGGCATACCTCATCCAAAATGCCAAAAGTAAAAATCATGTCCTGTTTTGCCACACTTGGTCCTAGCCAGTTTCAGTTGCTCATATTTACCGGTAGAACTCTTATCATGGCGGTCTTATCATGGCGGTCTTGTAACCTGCCACTTTTAGTATCCTCTGAGATCAGTAAGATTGTACGTATCGTAAACAACATCATTTGTCCATCCCTTTTAGGGACGAAAAAACTGGCAAATCAACTCGAGGAGATTAAGATCCAAAACACGTGAGGATTGTTTCAATAAGCTAAGATACTGGGGCACCCAATGGATCTGTTCCTCAAAATATCTGTTCTTCAGGCAATTTTTCGCTGGCTGGGAGATTTGGAAAAAATAATATGTCCTTGAAAGGTGAAATTGTTGCTGGGAAATAGACTGTTCAGGATGTCTGAGGGGATTTGGTTCTTTGGTGTCTCGAATAGCTGGTATGTGCTATTTCTGAGACCCACCCGCCAACCCCCCCTCCCCCCCCCCCCCAACTTGTCCACAACCAAACTGGCCAGTAACGGTCTGGACTTTTCGTTTGCTGGGAAACTTCCCAGTAAGTGAGGTTGGAGGTTGTAGGTGCACTTTGCTGGCTGGGAACTCTTCCATCAGTCTTGCTGGGAGTGAGGAACAGATAAATTTTTCCCAGCAATCTCCTAAAATGCTTAAAATGGTTTCAGAAAGCTTGTTCATGCTTTGTTGCTGTTTTTACGTCTTTTTCTGAAAATTTCCCGTTGGGTGCTCCTGTGTATTGATGTCAGTTAAGAATTTAACTGGAAGAAATTTGTGCTCGCTCTTGCTGTTGAAACAGCGCTAACATCAAATCCAGATTTGTTTTTGTCAAAGTTGTCACAACGCCTTTTGATAGCTGTTAAAACGCTGACTTTTTTCAACAGCTACAAAACGCAACCGTTAGACTTGATCAACAAGACGTCAACTTGAAGTTGCTCTTGAGTGAAATTAACAGCACCCTCTCCTTAAAGGTAAAGCTGATATTGCCTTACAAATATATGGCTTTCCCCGTAGACCTGCTCTCATTTTGTTCAATTTTACAGCTATAAGTATAGTTTTCCCAAGGGGATGACGAGTGGACCAAAAAAAAGCTGGGCTTTTTTGTTAATCAAGGCACTATCACTGTGTCGTAATGTAGAATCAAATTTTTTACACACTCTGTTAGCGAGGCTTTAAAAATGGAGGCCCCAATTTTCATAGCAAAACAACATAATCGGCATATCTTTTACGCAACAATGCAAGTGGCCTCGAGCCGGGTAACTTAAATATGTGGATTTTTGTAGTTGTTGTTGTTTTTTTCCCTTATTGGTTTTCATCTTTCTAATGACCTGTGCAATGTATGGAAACGAAGCACATAAAGAAAAGATAAAAATTTACGCATTTCTTTTCAGGTAGAGAATGTCAGCAAACTACCGGGCCCAGTCGGCCCTCCTGGAGTAAACGGTTCCCGAGGCCCGATGGGTCCAGAAGGACCCCAAGGATTCAACGGATCCCAGGGTGCAATAGGTCCTCAGGGATTTAACGGCTCCCAGGGGTTGATTGGACCACAGGGTCCCCAGGGTGCTGGGGACTTCTCTTTGTGTAAATACATGACCGAGTCTTCAACGGGACGTCAGTCGCCAGTAAGAAGCCTTTCCCCTGGCGCTGGTATTCAAGTAATTCTCGGGGAACCAAATGTAAGTTTATGATCATTGTTGTTATTAATTATAACGATTATCATTGTCATTATTATTATTTATTATTATTATTATTATCATTATTATTATTATTATACTTTTGTGGGTTTTATAGGTGTTTGCGCTCATTCAGTGAGTGTCAGTAGTTTGTTTATCAACTTCAAATACACTCGTGCATTCAAACTCTACTTAAAAATTGTCTAATACTTCTTTGATTTGGATAACAGAAAATGCTCCTTTGAGATAATATAAAATCAAGATAATATAAAATGCTCAAGCTAAAGAGGTTTATATGCAGACGTAGTGACCGGAAAAAAACTTGAAATATCCCACGTGCTACCCGCCGCTCATCGCACAATATGCAACGAGTTTCTACATTTCTAATTGGCTGTATTCTTTATGGGATATTAATAATGATGAAAGCTGGCAATAACTTAAGTTTGCCCCATCATTCGCTTTAGGCATAGTTATTTAAAGCCGTCCTTATGGTATATGCATAAGTTTATTTATTTATTTATTTATTATTTGTTTTTTGCTCTCAACACTCATGGCTAATTTGGTCCTTTGTTTGTTCATTTTATTTTTGTGCGTATATTTCCCTTTAGAGAAGAACATGTTTTTCATTTTTATTCTTCCAGGACAAGAGAATAGTTGGTGTGTCATGCTCCACGAACCGAGCCCAGATGTATCTTCTTTCAAGCGGAATCAACCCATCCAACGGTCAACGGTTTTATTACTGTGACTGTTTTGGACATTTTGGCTCTGATTGGCAGTCTGTGACTTGTTTTATGAGGTACTGGCTTTGCCCTCTTTCAACATAATACTCAAGACGTACCATTTGTCTTAGATAATCACACGAATTTCAAGAGTAATTTGGAATACGTAAGCACATAACTAAGTTAAGACCGTTCACGAAGCTAAGCCACCATGGATAAATGGATCCTCTTTTAAAGAACTTTATTCGAAAGTAACATTGGCCTTGTCTTCGATTAACCCAACCAAGACACAGGAACCGCTCGGCTTCCCTGGATGGCTCTTAAAAGGGGAACGCTCGGACATTTTGGCTACGCGCCCACCAGGGACAGGAGAGAAAATTTTAATGCCCATAACACATTAGCTCCCCAACTCTGGTTATTAATAATCAGAGTAAGTTTTGGTCTTCCTTCAGAACGAAAACCAATAAATGATCAACTCAATATATCTGAGAATGGACACTCGGGACCGTACTTCGTGGTGTTTCTGAAGATTTTTTTCTGAATATATATATATACTAGAGGGTTTAAGCATCGCGTTTACGGCAAACGACAAACATGAATTTGTACCGCGTGACCAAGTTTTCCATTTACTTATCGTTTACTCTTCATTATAACTACACGAAAATCGGTAGATTCACGCCAATTCTATCCATAAGAATTGTTTTACTCTGTTTTTATCTGCTCATTTCTCATTTTGAAAATTTCTCAACTTGAATCTCACGTTTGCCGTTTGCCCTAAACGCAATGCTTGATCTCTGTACTACCAAAATTCTTCTAACACCGGCTCTAATATTGGAAGCTGAGATAAACTCAATCTTCTTTTTTGTTGTTGTAAATTTGATCCCAGTCCCTAGCTTTAAAATAAAAGGGATGGATCTGGTACTGATATTAAAACGAACATGCCGCAGAACGCTGGATCTAATGAAGGCCTCATCAGCAAAAATATACCTAGACACATTGAGAATTCTCAAAGTGATTCGGTCAACAACTCCACAAATGCTATTGAGGTTGAAATAGATATATTTATTTGTATATTTTGTGCAAAAAATCACTTTGTAAATATCTTTGTTTAAAAGTAACAGAAATTTTACTAATATAACATTGAGTTTTTCAAAATTAAATTTATGGTGGTTCTTGAACTCTTTAAGTTTTCACAATCAAATGTTTTACAGTTAATTTATGCCAACAACTTTTAAATTCTTGCATCTCCTCTGTTATAGTGACATAGTGTTACGCGTCAGTGTATGTAAAATGATACTTAGCAATCTATTCTGGAAGAAGTAAGCTAAAATTGTAGGTATATCAATATTTAACTTTAAGTTTATTGCAAAACAGTACAAGTGTAACTTACCGAAATTAAAATCCTTGTAAATAGTTAATTATCCTACTAGTTGTAAATGCATTCTGTATAACAAATATAAGGCATTTAAGTAAGCCAGTACATTAAAGTATACATTGAAATTTGCTCACATCAGTGTGGTGGGTCCTCATAAAATGTTCTGCATAGAGCTCCTTGAAGCCGAAACCAATTGTTCATCAGTAGCAGGCCTCCTGCTACTGAACGCTTGTAGTTTGATATTCGCAGGAGCAATAATTGTTTGCAATTAATGTCCAAACCATTGCAGTCTATACCCCACCTGTGAATCTCGTGTGAATCGCTTCACATTTATTGTAAATCTTGAAGGACAATTCATTTCATCCGTTGAAGTTTGCCGGGATATGGCAAAACAGTGATCCCTGCTCTGCTCCCTTGAAAAAGAAAGTCATAGTTTTGATGCCCATCTTTCTCGTGGCCACAGGCGAGGCTAGCGCCAGCTAGCCTGTTCCAGCGTTCAGATAAAGGAGACGGCGCAAAGAAAAGTAAGCAAGGGGGAAAAAGCGAGGCGGTAAGAAAATAGGGTCAGAGGGGGAAGAAACTCTTTTTTCTTTTGCTCTCTGTGCTTCACGCCACTCTCCATCATCTAAACTTCTGGGATAGGGTTAACCCCATAAGCAATTCAGCAATCCATAAAGAAAGAAGAGAACATAAAGAGCTGTAGACTTGGGAATTCCAGGAGCAGTTTTTCAAAGTTTCGAGACGTAAGAGAAAATAACACTGGAGCAATGGCGTAAGAGAAGACCCCGAGGTCACGATTGCTAGGGTGAAAAAGGCAGGTATTGGCGTTAAAATAATTTACTCGAGAACACAAGAAGCGTGTCTGAATGTGAGCTTGACTCACTTATCCGAAAACGGGATGCTTCGAGGTACTAGCACGATTGCAGGACGACCAATCAAGCTGTCATATCGTAAGATATGAAAAGCTTTTTCTTTCCTGCAATGGCCTTAAAACGCGCGTTAAGTCCATAATAAAAAGGGCCGATGTACATCTTCCATCTATTAGCCTTTTCTTTTTTTAAGTAGAAACCGGGATTCGGGAAAGCGATGTGAAAAGGTGCGGGACGCGGGGTTTTCCTGAAAAAGGAGCGGGAATGCTGGATCATGAGTCCCCGCCCCTTCACCAAACCCGGGGACAACACGCAGGGTCTTGAAGTAGCTGAACAAGGAGAAGGGACTTTCTTTTCTTTTTTATCGGCGGTTTAATTATCTGTGTATATACAGCTGACTGGACATCATAAGAGTTAAACTTTTTGATATCACGTCACAGACGTGTTTTATTTTGTTTTATTACAAAATAAGAGGGAAAAGACTGTACTGATGTTTATTTAAGCAATAGACCATACTTTCTATGGGCCGGCTCGTGATTTACAAGCTTTTCGCGATCGAGTGTTCTCCCAACATTCCAATTGGGTTATCACGCCGGTAAACCCAAAGAAAGTGTGGTCTATAGGTTTTTAACCAATTAGAACGCGCGTACTATCTTAGTTAGATATTTTATAAAGAAGAAAAAGGGTTAATAAATGGTATATTACTTAATCAGGAGGTTAAAAGTTCCTTATTCCGGTTTCCACATACAAATTCTCCAGACTGATGTTCTCCAAATATTTTTTATACTACAAAAATTAGTGGAGAGAATTTGTTGAAAGATCCGAAGATCAGAGCATTTTTTTTTTCCATTATTGATCATGTTATTAGAATTCTTGTAAACATTTCATTGGCTAGGAGTATTTGTTGATATGGGTAGGAGAAAGTTGATGTTGATCACTCTTCAGGGACTCATAGGATTAAGTAATATATCAGACCAAATGGGCGTGGATAAAACTTTGTTTTAAACCAATAATGAAAAGATTACTTAAAATATAATTGATTGATGCTCAGCACCATCATACAACACCATTTAATAAACGTATAAACTTCACTTTGTTAAAAGAACTTGAATTAAGCGATCCACCATGAAATTTTCATGAACATATCCACTGAAGATAAGGTGCATATGTTTGGCTAGAGTTTTAACGTTTCCCTCAAAAATCGTTGGGTTAAACACAACATTACTAGATGTATTACCGCGAGTCACCAAAGCCTACAAAATGATATTTGCCAACAGCTGAACAGTAGAAAAAGATAGTCTATATTTACAGGAATATAAGTTTATGTGATGTTCTACTCTTCAACCTCTTTACCAAGGCACAGACCGGACAGAATGATTGGCACGAAAGGTTCCTGTGCGAGGTGCGGCCCCTACCCAGGCCAATCCCACAGCACATCAAAGTTAAACAAGTTTAAATCAGTAACCAAAAGGCTAAACGGACGAAAACTCTTTTTTTTTTCTTTTGTTTTAGAATCCGCAGTGGAACGAATAAGCATTTTTTCCGATAGAGAATAGGTACATAATTGCAAGGGAATGGGCTCCTGATAATTGTTCGTATAGTCATAGAGGGATGGAATTAAGCCTCGTTGGTGGATAGCTAAGGATAGTTTAGGGATAGTCGCTTTAGGGATAGTCTATGACGTCACCCATTGTTTTAACCTAGAGAAAACACGAAAGAAACTACTACAGAGAAACTACTCTCCACTAGACTATCCTCTGCATTTGACGAGGTGATCTAGACGCATGGTTGACAACAAACAAATAGCAAGCTTCAGCTTTCAAGTTCTCAGCCCTAAATGTTAACCTTTTTTGTCGACTTAAAAAGAATTTCAATTAGTACACAACATTAAAAAATTGTCAATATCAAACTTAGCTTTCCCAGCGCACTCGCCACAGGTAACAATGCCCTATAGTTTTTCTGTTATAGGGAGATCGAAACAAAGATAAACCGAGGGACTTTTAGTAGCAGGGTAACAATTTCGATGAACTTAAGTTGCATGAACTAAAGTTAAATTCAATTTCCTCTGTTACAAGCATACGCTCGAGACCAAATTACAAGACCTCGAGAAGATGTTGAACTCTACACGACAGGTTGCAGAACAAGCGTCTTGGAAACATTTGACGGCGCTGTTGTCCGCAGAGAATAATGCAAAGAAAGAAATTGACAAGGTGTGGACTGCGATGAACGAAACAGGAAAACCACTTGACGAGAAACTAGTGAAAATACGACACAACCTTACTGGACAGGTAACTGAACCGTTGTAAAGTTACGACTCATAACTTCCCGCTGAGTCGGCACAAGCAATTTTTTTCGTAGGCGGATCAATGGCTAAAGTTATGGTTTATTAGGTAAAAGTTGGCAAATTTTGATTCTGTACCAGTCCTTCTGCCATAGTATAGAAAATGGCACTGAATCAAACTTCGGCAACAAAAAGTAATTTTGATCAGGTGATTTGTCGCGTGACCAAAAGGTAGAAGAATACTTCAAGATTTTCATTCAGGGAAAAAATTTTACTCCGCTGCTCTACTTGAGATGAGCTAAAGAATAATGTTATCGATAAATTAAATTTTTCGTACATATACTATTTTGGAATACACCAGTTAATAACGAACATTCAGATAATCCAGCTGTGTAGTGTGCTTCATCACATGAAGCAGTATAGGCTATGAACTGGATACGCAGAACTTAAATTGATCATGATATGCACGGAAGAATTGTCCAGCAAGATATTTTAGGTATATATGCATGCTTTCCAAACTTCCCAAGTCCTTCAGTATATGCTCCCCGCATGGAAATGATGACTTTTTAAAAATGTAAGTGAACTTTGACATACAGTGTAGCGAGTAAAATGCCTTCGGCGAAATTATAAATTTTTTTATAATAAGATCTCCTCACTGCGCGCAGTATCTCACTCGCGTACTAAGGAAAAACAAGGATATAACTTGTGATTATTGCATGATAACTAGCTTGAGCGAATGCAGTAACACTTCGCTTGCTGTTCTCAGATTAACAACGTAGGCAAAATTGCCGGACCCGTTGGACCTCCGGGATTCAATGGAAGTCAAGGACCCGCGGGGCCTCCGGGGCCCAAAGGAGCTGGAAACTTAAGCACCTGTCAGTATAAAGTAAAGACAGAAGCTCGTGGACGAGATCAAACGGCCTATGTGGACGAGCCCACTGTAAGTCACTACAAGTGTAAGGTGTAATACTTGTTTTCTTACTTTGTCAGGCAGCCCCGTTCAATTGCACCTGACTTAAAGAGGCTACAGTATGTCACGACGATATTCCTCGTATTTTATACTAATTCTGTGTTGAAGTCATCACTTAGTACTTTGACAAATTTTACCAGGGGGCTCTAACCATGATATTTTATTGTGATTTTTGCAGGCGACAGGAAACAGGTTCAATACCTAAATAAAATCTTAAATAACAAAACTGGTTTAAGCTTGCACAAGGCTAATGAGATAATTTGTATGCTTCTTATCCAGTTCGTGGACAGAAGATGATTATTGTTCTTATTAATTTTTATTTATTCTTTTTACATTTAGTGAAAAAGTACAACTCCCTATTTTTTTCTCCCTTATATTTTAAAAGTTGCCTTCACTAGAAAAAGATGCGAGAGCGTCACACGGCTAAGAAGAAGCACAAAAAACTAACCCTCTATATTGTCTTGTTTCTCTTTCCAGGGCCATATTATAATAGCAGCAACCTGCTCTACAAACTACGCCGAAGATATTGAGTTTAGATCCGCCATTGTGGTCCATCCAAAACGGCGATATATATGCGACTGCAGGGGCGTCAAGTATAGTAGGCAAAACCCTAAGAACTGTTCCCTTCACTACTGGGTATGCGTAAAAACGTAATTACGAACAAATCCACAGCAGAAACAGTTTGAGGTAATTTTCAAGCGCAAAAGAAAAGACGCCTTGTCTTTCGAAAATGACGTATCTGACGCTTTAAACGATTCCTTTCTACCTCCCCTTTCCTATCTAAATTCGTTCTAAGAGTTTTGATAAAAGGCTCTTATTTTAATAATTGCTTAATATGTGAAAAGTTCGTCTTTATAAAGAAATTCAACATTGCAAGGTTAATTAAAATCTCCTTTAATCTGGACACCTTTTGTTTAGAGGTTGGTAATTTATCGAAAAATTAGACGCTATAATAAGTTGCGCGCCTATCTAACTTTACAAAGGAGGTGTGAAAACATGGTTAGAGGAAATACTGCACCGTTTTATATTGCGAAACTTGAGCGAAGTCATATCAGTCATGTTTATCTGTTCCAGGCTATGTCGTGGTCAGTTACAAATGTTAGGTCAGGTGAGCTTAAATCATAACAAAGCACTAATCTATTCTCAGATAATTTTTTAATTACTGGCAAAAAGAAAGATTGCGAATGATCCTATCCAAGAGGAAAAAAAGCAGATTTGATTTTTGGTCACTCAACTTCCGTAAAGCTTCTTCCAACAGAACTTCGATGTTGACTGAAATTTGCAGCACTTACTGAAACGAACGATCGAAGAAAAATTTCAGCAAAAAATCAAAGCGTGTAACAAGACCATTGTAGAAAATTTTACTTCTCCAGACAAATAAAAAAAAAATAAAAATAAAAATTCTTTCAACATACGAGTTCGTAACTTTGATTTCAGCTATTCATATAACTATAATGGATTACAGCTTTTAAATTAATTTAAGACGAACATGGTCAAACAATAGATCAGTTCACAATTAACGACTGAAGATGGTTAAACTAAAACAGCAATGTTCTTGCAATAATACATGTATTAATATGTATCAAGGTTGAATTTTAAAAAAACATATTGTACACATGAGATGTATTTTAAGAGATAATAAATTATTTTGTGACTTCCACGTACTGGCTTTTACCTTTAACAACGCTACGAGCTAGGGTTGAGGGCTACGGAGATCCTCCCATATATTTTTTTCGAATACCCGTCCGCATTAGGTTATCACTTTCAGGCGAACAAGCGGATATACCGAAAACGTTTCTTATTTGTGAGAACAGGCTTAAGTCTCGTTTCTCTCTTTGAACTTTCTCAACTTTGCTCAAAACTTATCCTGATGGTAGTACTAGGTAGGTAAGTAAGAGCTGCGGGTAAATCATTCCTGATCGTGGTTACAACTTCTCACAGTCAAATTTCCTTATCTTACAGTGTAACTGGGGACATGAAAGAAAAGACTCAAAACACATCTTATCTACCACGCCCAGAGGACAGATTCACAGATCTCTTCTCAAATAAAAGTTCTTACATATCTGATCTCTATCATCTTCCCCTTATCTTTCCCGGGTCTGGGGAAGATGAGAAGGGGGAGGGGGGGGTGCGTTCAAGTGACAAATTTTAAAATCAAGCCTTGATGTCGTTCCAGCTGATTTCAGAGGTTCGCGGTTGACATTGATGTCAAAGAGGCATCACCTGTCACGTTGAAAAACACCGCGTTACTCAAAGGCGATACGGCGTGGTCAGTGAAATAGACTCTTTGATGCTATTGGTTATGCAGTTCTATGACGTATACGAGGTCTCCTTTATCACGGAGGTCTCACCCATCTCGCTACAGGCGTTGTCTCTTTTGCTGTGCAGTTGCTTTTTGAAATTAAAAACAGGCTGGGAATGAGGTAACGCCGGCGAGGGTGAACTAAATGTCCGCTCTGAAAGTGCCGTGTAGAAGCTGACTCGTCCCCTGTCGTCTCTCACAATCCCTTCCTAGTGGCGCGCGGGATGTCACCCCCTGTTCCCGCCGTGCGCTTTACGCGAAGACGACTGGGGACGAGTCAGGCCGGTGTAGAGGAGGTCGGCAACATGTAGCAATCACATGACGACATCGTGACTGGTCTCATGAGTACCTTGTTTTAAAAGTCGAAACCAGAAGTCGGAAGCCCCTGATCAGCTTTCGCACCCGCGGAGTTAACACTTCTAATACACAAGAGAAAAAAGGGGATCACAGGAGTAGAAAACCCCTGCTGCGAAGTCCAGATGGAATCCAAACCAACAAATGACGCAGGAATCTATTTGGAGGTGGTAAATGGAGAAGCTCCTGCAAAACAACAAACAAGCCTTGAGTATCAAGGTCCCGCTACCAAGAAAAATCCCTTATCACCAATAGATCCTGCACATTCAGACAAATTTCTTCAACTTCGGCGAATGTTGTGGATTGTTACTGCTGTGGCTTTCATTTCTCTCGTGACTTCTGCTGCAACTCTCATCTTAGCTTTGAGAGTGAAAAATTCTCAGAATGTTTCGACTTCCCCTACGATTGTAAAGCACGAGGTAAGAGAATCGGCACTATTTTTAGATTCGTGAATTCCTAGTCTTCCTCCGGTGATGTATACTATTACGCTCGGAGAAAGTCGAGGGAAACACAAGGACTCGGGGAAAACAAAACTAACTGGTTTCGCGAAGGGCCTGACATTAAGTGTTTTGTTATACCTCTAGACTTTCACTTCAACAGCCACAAAAGAATAACCGGGGCGAATCAAAACAGTCGACTCGGTACTTACAGCAACACAAAGTTAATTCTTAAAACCCGGCTGAATATGATTTACAAAGTACTTTCCTTATATTATCTGCATCTTTATCGTCCACAAGCGGCTGTTTCTCTTCTGGGATAACTTTGAAACTCGTTGCGTCTCTAGCTTGAGGCTTACGCCACTTTGCACCATGCTTTGATCACGTGCTGTAATGTATCCCGCGCGATCGGACGATCGGGATACACAAAAATCAACCACTGGTAGTCCCTGTTTAGTCGAGAGAAAGTCTAGGAATATAACAAAATTAAAGCATATGTTATCTTGGTAAATTACTTTGCTCATTTCAGTATTACGAGAATTTTCTTATGCTACTACGGCTAAATTTAGGAAAGATGCAACCGCTTTGGTACACAAAGATATTTCAGTAATGGTGTGAGCAAAAGGAATTTTGGCATTTTGAAATTTTCCAAATAGGAAAACAAAACTTTATCGTCGGCCCGATTTTCTCGAGTTTCAATGTAGTTCCTTTCTGCCCGTCCTTTGTCAAACTGAGACTATTTCTAAGGCCTGGAATAAACACCACAAGATTTCACGGGCTGCAGCAAAACAATCCTACACAAGTTTTTTCCTAGTCAGTCCCCGGCCTCGGGGCTGGTGTATTCGTCGTCAGGTATATCATGTACTGCCCACCCCTTTTACCTGAGGACTTTCACAATGAGAAAACTATCAGAATTCAAAGAAACAGTGCTCTTGATTCCTTTTCAATTTCCCATGAATTTACAGCTAAAACGTTTCTGTCTGTGCGACAAGAACCAGTCAAGTACGAATTTGAAGTGATTGTCAGAATGCCTTGTTGGCCACGAACTAGCACAGAATTTAAATTTGGTCACACTGTACTTCCGAGAAAACTGTGTAGAAATAGATGTGGACATAGTAAAAAATATATATATAATGGTAAACTTTCTCTGTTTAAAATCTACTAATTAATGAAGGATCTCAGTCTCCGAAAATCTAATGGCCCATTTTTTTTTTATAATCTAAAAACTTTCAATTTTAAGGCCTTTTTTCACATGCAAATGAGGTATACCTCATCCAAAATGCCAAAAGTAAAAATCATGTCCTGTTTTGCCACACTTGGTCCTAGCCAGTTTCAGTTGCTCATATTTACCGGTAGAACTCTTATCATGGCGGTCTTATCATGGCGGTCTTGTAACCTGCCACTTTTAGTATCCTCTGAGATCAGTAAGATTGTACGTATCGTAAACAACATCATTTGTCCATCCCTTTTAGGGACGAAAAAACTGGCAAATCAACTCGAGGAGATTAAGATCCAAAACACGTGAGGATTGTTTCAATAAGCTAAGATACTGGGGCACCCAATGGATCTGTTCCTCAAAATATCTGTTCTTCAGGCAATTTTTCGCTGGCTGGGAGATTTGGAAAACATAATATGTCCTTGAAAGGTGAAATTGTTGCTGGGAAATAGACAGTTCAGGATGTCTGAGGGGATTTGGTTCTTTGGTGTCTCGAATAGCTGGTATGTGCTATTTCTGAGACCCACCGCCAACCACCCCTCCCCCCACTACCCCCACTGAAGGGCTGAAATTTCCCTATGTCCACAAACAAACTGGCCAGTAATGTCTGGACTTTCGTTTGCTGGGAAACTTCCCAGTAAGTGAGGTTGGAGGTTGTAGGTGCACTTTGCTGGCTGGGAACTCTTCCATCAGTCTTGCTGGGAGTGAGGAACAGATAAATTTTTCCCAGCAATCTCCTAAAATGCTTAAAATGGTTTCAGAAAGCTTGTTCATGCTTTGTTGCTGTTTTTACGTTCTTTTTCTGAAAATTTCCCGTTGGGTGCTCCTGTGTATTGATGTCAGTTAAGAATTTAACTGGAAGAAATTTGTGCTCGCTCTTGCTGTTGAAACAGCGCTAACATCAAATCCAGATTTGTTTTTGTCAAAGTTGTCACAACGCCTTTTGATAGCTGTTAAAACGCTTTTTTTTTCAACAGCTACAAAACGCAACCGTTAGACTTGATCAACAAGACGTCAACTTGAAGTTGCTCTTGAGTGAAATTAACAGCACCCTCTCCTTAAAAGTAAAGCTGATATTGCCTTACAAATATATGGCTTTCCCCGTAGACCTGCTCTCATTTTGTTCAATTTTACAGCTATAAGTATAGTTTTCCGAGGGGATGACGAGTGGACCAAAAAAAAAAGCTGGGCTTTTTGTTAATCAAGGCACTATCACTGTGTCGTAATGTAGAATCAATTTTTTACACACTCTGTTAGCGAGGCTTTAAAAATGGAGGCCCCAATTTTCATAGCAAAACAACATAATCGGCATATCTTTTACGCAACAATGCAAGTGGCCTCGAGCCGGGTAACTTAAATATGTGGATTTTTGTAGTTGTTGTTTTTTTTTCCTTATTGGTTTTCATCTTTCTAATGACCTGTGCAATGTATGGAAACGAAGCACATAAAGAAAAGATAAAAATTTACGCATTTCTTTTCAGGTAGAGAATGTCAGCAAACTACCGGGCCCAGTCGGCCCTCCTGGAGTAAACGGTTCCCGAGGCCCGATGGGTCCAGAAGGACCCCAAGGATTCAACGGATCCCAGGGTGCAATAGGTCCTCAGGGATTTAACGGCTCCCAGGGGTTGATTGGACCACAGGGTCCCCAGGGTGCTGGGGACTTCTCTTTGTGTAAATACATGACCGAGTCTTCAACGGGACGTCAGTCGCCAGTAAGAAGCCTTTCCCCTGGCGCTGGTATTCAAGTAATTCTCGGGGAACCAAATGTAAGTTTATGATCATTGTTGTTATTAATTATAACGATTATCATTGTCATTATTATTATTTATTATTATTATTATTATCATTATTATTATTATTATACTTTTGTGGGTTTTATAGGTGTTTGCGCTCATTCAGTGAGTATCAGTAGTTTGTTTATCAACTTCAAATACACTCGTGCATTCAAACTCTACTTAAAAATTGTCTAATACTTCTTTGATTTGGATAACAGAAAATGCTCCTTTGAGATAATATAAAATCAAGATAATATAAAATGCTCAAGCTAAAGAGGTTTATATGCAGACGTAGTGACCGGAAAAAAAACTTGAAATATCCCACGTGCTACCCGCCGCTCATCGCACAATATGCAACGAGTTTCTACATTTCTAATTGGCTGTATTCTTTATGGGATATTAATAATGATGAAAGCTGGCAATAACTTAAGTTTGCCCCATCATTCGCTTTAGGCATAGTTATTTAAAGCCGTCCTTATGGTATATGCATAAGTTTATTTATTTATTTATTTATTTATTATTTGTTTTTTGCTCTCAACACTCATGGCTAATTTGGTCCTTTGTTTGTTCATTTTATTTTTGTGCGTATATTTCCCTTTAGAGAAGAACATGTTTTTCATTTTTATTCTTCCAGGACAAGAGAATAGTTGGTGTGTCATGCTCCACGAACCGAGCCCAGATGTATCTTCTTTCAAGCGGAATCAACCCATCCAACGGTCAACGGTTTTATTACTGTGACTGTTTTGGACATTTTGGCTCTGGTTGGCAGTCTGTGACTTGTTTTATGTCGTACTGGCTTTGCCCTCTTTCAACATAATACTCAAGACATACCATCTATCTTAGATAATCACACGAATTTCAAGAGTAATTTGGAATACGTAAGCACATAACTAAGTTAAGACCGTTCACGAAGCTAAGCCACCATGGATAAATGGATCCTCTTTTAAAGAACTTTATTCGAAAGTAACATTGGCCTTGTCTTCGATTAACCCAACCAAGACACAGGAACCGCTCGGCTTCCCTGGATGGCTCTTAAAAGGGGAACGCTCGGACATTTTGGCTACGCGCCCACCAGGGACAGGAGAGAAAATTTTAATGCCCATAACACATTAGCTCCCCAACTCTGGTTATTAATAATCAGAGTAAGTTTTGGTCTTCCTTCAGAACGAAAACCAATAAATGATCAACTCAATATATCTGAGAATGGACACTCGGGACCGTACTTCGTGGTGTTTCTGAAGATTTTTTTCTGAATATATATATATACTAGAGGGTTTAAGCATCGCGTTTACGGCAAACGACAAACATGAATTTGTACCGCGTGACCAAGTTTTCCATTTACTTATCGTTTACTCTTCATTATAACTACACGAAAATCGGTAGATTCACGCCAATTCTATCCATAAGAATTGTTTTACTCTGTTTTTATCTGCTCATTTCTCATTTTGAAAATTTCTCAACTTGAATCTCACGTTTGCCGTTTGCCCTAAACGCAATGCTTGATCTCTGTACTACCAAAATTCTTCTAACACCGGCTCTAATATTGGAAGCTGAGATAAACTCAATCTTCTTTTTTTGTTGTTGTAAATTTGATCCCAGTCCCTAGCTTTAAAATGAAAAAAAAATCAAAAAATCACTTTGTAAATATCTTTGTTTAAAAGTAACAGAAATTTTACTAATATAACATTGAGTTTTTCAAAATTAAATTTATGGTGGTTCTTGAACTCTTTAAGTTTTCACAATCAAATGTTTTACAGTTAATTTATGCCAACAACTTTTAAATTCTTGCATCTCCTCTGTTATAGTGACATAGTGTTACGCGTCAGTGTATGTAAAATGATACTTAGCAATCTATTCTGGAAGAAGTAAGCTAAAATTGTAGGTATATCAATATTTAACTTTAAGTTTATTGCAAAACAGTACAAGTGTAACTTACCGAAATTAAAATCCTTGTAAATAGTTAATTATCCTACTAGTTGTAAATGCATTCTGTATAACAAATATAAGGCATTTAAGTAAGCCAGTACATTAAAGTATACATTGAAATTTGCTCACATCAGTGTGGTGGGTGCTCATAAAATGTTCTGCATAGAGCTCCTTGAAGCCGAAACCAATTGTTCATCAGTAGCAGGCCTCCTGCTACTGAACGCTTGTAGTTTGATATTCGCAGGAGCAATAATTGTTTGCAATTAATGTCCAAACCATTGCAGTCTATACCCCACCTGTGAATCTCGTGTGAATCGCTTCACATTTATTGTAAATCTTGAAGGACAATTCATTTCATCCGTTGAAGTTTGCCGGGATATGGCAAAACAGTGATCCCTGCTCTGCTCCCTTGAAAAAGAAAGTCATAGTTTTGATGCCCATCTTTCTCGTGGCCACAGGCGAGGCTAGCGCCAGCTAGCCTGTTCCAGCGTTCAGATAAAGGAGACGGCGCAAAGAAAAGTAAGCAAGGGGGAAAAAGCGAGGCGGTAAGAAAATAGGGTCAGAGGGGAAGAAACTCTTTTTCTTTTTGCTCTCTGTGCTTCACGCCACTCTCCATCATCTAAACTTCTGGGATAGGGTTAACCCCATAAGCAATTCAGCAATCCATAAAGAAAGAAGAGAACATAAAGAGCTGTAGACTTGGGAATTCCAGGAGCAGTTTTTCAAAGTTTCGAGACGTAAGAGAAAATAACACTGGAGCAATGGCGTAAGAGAAGACCCCGAGGTCACGATTGCTAGGGTGAAAAAGGCAGGTATTGGCGTTAAAATAATTTACTCGAGAACACAAGAAGCGTGTCTGAATGTGAGCTTGACTCACTTATCCGGAAACGGGATGCTTCGAGGTACTAGCACGATTGCAGGACGACCAATCAAGCTGTCATATCGTAAGATATGAAAAGCTTTTTCTTTCCTGCAATGGCCTTAAAACGCGCGTTAAGTCCACAATAAAAAGGGCCGATGTACATCTTCCATCTATTAGCCTTTTCTTTTTTTAAGTAGAAACCGGGATTCGGGAAAGCGATGTGAAAAGGTGCGGGACGCGGGGTTTTCCTGAAAAAGGAGCGGGAATGCTAGCTGGATCATGAGTCCCCGCCCCTTCACCAAACCCGGGGGCAACTCAGGGTCTTGAAGTAGCCGAACAAGGAGAAGGGACTTTCTTTTCTTTTTTATCGGCGGTTTAATTATCTGTGTATATACAGCTGACTGGACATCATAAGAGTTAAACTTTTTGATATCACGTCACAGACGTGTTTTATTTTGTTTTATTACACAATAAGAGGGAAAAGACTGTACTGATGTTTATTTAAGCAATAGACCATACTTTCTATGGGCCGGCTCGTGATTTACAAGCTTTTCGCGATCGAGTGTTCTCCCAACATTCCAATTGGGTTATCACGCCGGTAAACCCAAAGAAAGTGTGGTCTATAGGTTTTTAACCAATTAGAACGCGCGTACTATCTTAGTTAGATATTTTATAAAGAAGAAAAAGGGTTAATAAATGGTATATTACTTAATCAGGAGGTTAAAAGTTCCTTATTCCGGTTTCCACATACAAATTCTCCAGACTGATGTTCTCCAAATATTTTTTATACTACAAAAATTAGTGGAGAGAATTTGTTGAAAGATCCGAAGATCAGAGCATTTTTTTTTCCATTATTGATCATGTTATTAGAATTCTTGCAAACATTTCATTGGCTAGGAGTATTTGTTGATATGGGTAGGAGAAAGTTGATGTTGATCACTCTTCAGGGACTGATAGGATTAAGTAATATATCAGACCAAATGGGCGTGGATAAAACTTTGTTTTAAACCAATAATGAAAAGATTACTTAAAATATAATTGATTGATGCTCAGCACCATCATACAACACCATTTAATAAACGTATAAACTTCACTTTGTTAAAAGAACTTGAATTAAGCGATCCACCATGAAATTTTCATGAACATATCCACTGAAGATAAGGTGCATATGTTTGGCTAGAGTTTTAACGTTTCCCTCAAAAATCGTTGGGTTAAACACAACATTACTAGATGTATTACCGCGAGTCACCAAAGCCTACAAAATGATATTTGCCAACAGCTGAACAGTAGAAAAAGATAGTCTATATTTACAGGAATATAAGTTTATGTGATGTTCTACTCTTCAACCTCTTTACCAAGGCACAGACCGGACAGAGTGATTGGGTCGAAAGGTTCCTGTGCGAGGTGCGGCCCCTACCCAGGCCAATCCCACAGCACATCAAAGTTAAACAAGTTTAAATCAGTAACCAAAAGGCTAAACGGACGAAAACTCTTTTTTTTTTCTTTTCTTTTAGAATCAGCAGTGGAACGAATAAGCATTTTTTCCGATAGAGAATAGGTACATAATTGCAAGGGAATGGGCTCCTGATAATTGTTCGTATAGTCATAGAGGGATGGAATTAAGCCTCGTTGGTGGATAGCTAAGGATAGTTTAGGGATAGTCGCTTTAGGGATAGTCTATGACGTCACCCATTGTTTTAACCTAGAGAAAACACGAGAGAAACTACTACAGAGAAACTACTCTCCACTAGACTATCCTCTGCATTTGACGAGGTGATCTAGACGCATGGTTGACAACAAACAAATAGCAAGCTTCAGCTTTCAAGTTCTCAGCCCCAAATGTTAACCTTTTTTGTCGACTTAAAAAGAATTTCAATTAGTACACAACATTAAAAAATTGTCAATATCAAACTTAGCTTTCCCAGCGCACTCGCCACAGGTAACAATGCCCTATAGCTTTTCTGTTATAGGGAGATCGAAACAAAGATAAACCGAGGGACTTTTAGTAGCAGGGTAACAATTTCGATGAACTTAAGTTGCATGAACTAAAGTTAAATTCAATTTCCTCTGTTACAAGCATACGCTCGAGACCAAATTACAAGACCTCGAGAAGATGTTGAACTCTTCACGACAGGTTGCAGAAGAAGCGTCTTGGAAACATTTGACGGCGCTGTGGTCCGCAGAGAATAATGCAAAGAAAGAAATTGACAAGGTGTAGACTGCGATGAACGAAACAGGAAAACAACTTGACGAGAAACTAGTGAAAATACGACACAACCTTACTGGGCAGGTAACTGAACCGTTGTAAAGTTACGACTCATAACTTCCCTCTGCGTCGGCACGAGCAATTTTTTTCATAGGCGGATCAATGGCTAAAGTTATAGTTTATTAGGTAAAACTTGGCAAATTTTGATTCTGTACCAGTCCTTCTGCCATAGTAAAGAGAATGGCACTGAATCAAACTTCGGCAACAAAAAGTAATTTTGATCAGGTGATTTGTCGCGTGACCAAAAGGTAGAAGAATACTTCAAGATTTTCATTCAGGGAAAAAATTTTACTCCGCTGCTCTACATCAGTTAATAACGAACATTCAGATAATCCAGCTGTGTAGTGTGCTTCATCACATGAAGCAGTATAGGCTATGAACTGGATACCCAGAACTTAAATTGATCATAATATGCACGGAAGAATTGTCCAGCAAGATACTTTAGGTATATATGCATGCTTTCCAAACTTCCCAAGTCCTTCAGTATATGCTCCCCGCATGTAAATGATGACTTTTTAAAAATGTAAGTGAACTTTGACATACAGTGTAGCGAGTAAAATGCCTTCGGCGAAATTATAAATTTTTTTATAATAAGATCTCCCCACTGCGCGCAGTATCTCACTCGCGTACTAAGGAAAAACAAGGATACAACCTGTGATTATTGCATGATAACTAGCTTGAGCGAATACAGTAACACTTCGCTTGCTGTTCTCAGATTAACAAGGTAGGCAAAATAGCCGGACCTGTTGGACCTCCGGGATTCAATGGAAGTCAAGGACCCGCGGGACCCGCGGGACCTCCGGGGCCCAAAGGAGCTGGAAACTTAAGCACCTGTCAGTATATAGTAAAGACAGAAGCTGGTGGAGGAGATCAAATAGCCCATGTGGACGAGCCCACTGTAAGTCACTACAAGTGTAAGGTGTAATACTTGTTTTCTTACTTTGTCAGGCAGCCCCGTTCAATTGCACCCCTGACTTAAAGAGCCTACAGTATGTCACGACGATATTCCTCGTATTTTATACTAATTCTGTGTTGAAGTCATCACTTAGTACTTTGACAAATTTTACCAGGGGGCTCTAACCATGATATTTTATTGTGATTTTTGCAGGCGACAGGAAACAGGTTCAATACCTAAATAAAATCTTAAATAACAAAACTGGTTCAAGCTTGCACAAGGCTAATGAGATAATTTGCATGTTTCTTGTCCAGTTCGTGGAGGGAAGATGATTATTGTTCTTATTAATTTTTAGTTATTCTTTTTACATTTAGTGAAAAAGTACAACTCCTTATTTTTTTCTCCCTTATATTTTAAAAGTTGCCTTCACTAGAAAAAGATGCGACAGCGTCAAACAGCTAAGGAGAAGCACAAAAAACTAACCCTCTATATTGTCTTGTTTCTCTTTCCAGGGCCATATTATAATAGCAGCAACCTGCTCTACAAACTACGCCGAAGATGTTGAGTTTAGATCCGCCACTGCGGTCCATCCAAAACGGCGATATGTATGCGCGTGTAGGGGCGTCAAGAATAGTAGGCAAAACCCTAAGAACTGCTCCCTTCACTACTGGATATGCTTAAAAACGTAATTACGAACAAATCCACAGCAGAAACAGTTTGAGGTAATTTTCAAGCGCAAAAGAAAAGACGCCTTGTCTTTCGAAAATGACACATCTGACGCTTTAAACGATTCCTTTCTACCTCCCCTTTCCTATCTAAATTAGTTCCAAGAGTTTCGATAAACGGCTCTTATTTTAATAATTCCTTAATATGTGAAAAGTTCGTCTTTATAAAGAAATTCAACATTGCATGGTTAATTCTGAAATCTCCTTTAATCTGGACACCTTTTGTTTAGAGGTTGGTAATTTATCAAAAAATTAGACGGTATAATAAGTTGCGCGCCTATCTAACTGTACAAAGGCGGTGTGGAAAAATCGTTAGAGGAAATACTGCACCGTTTTATACTGCGGAACTTGAGCGAAGTCATATCAGTCAGGTTCATCTGTTCCAGGCTATGTCGTGGTCAGTTACACATGTTAGGTCAGGTGAGCTAAAATCATAACGAAGCACTAATCTAAGGTTGAATTTAAAAAAAAAACATATTGTTCATTTGAGATGTATTTTAAGAGATAATAAATTATTTTGTGACTTCCACGTACTGGCTTTTACCTGTAACATCGCTACGAGGGTTGAGGGCTACGTAGATCCTCCCATATATTTTTTTTCGAATACCCGTCCGCATTAGGTTATCACTTTCTGGCGAACAAGAGGATATACCGAAAATTTTAATTTCTTTTTTGTGAGAACAAGTCCCGTTTCTCTCTTTGAACTTTCTTAACTTTGCTCAACTGCGAAGCCATTCCTGTTTTCCTGATCGCTTGGTGATTCTAAATGAAGATAGAATAGTTTCAGACGATTAGAAAAAGGGATTTCGAAAAAATCCAAAAAATTTTCTGACTCCTGGGCGTTTAATTTTTTTAAGACCTTTCCCTGCTGCCGGGCATATAGCCACTGAGCGTTTAAAAAAAATGCGTTAAACCGGGATTTTGATTTGTCAGACGTTTATCTCTTGGGGCACGAGAAACTATTCATGCAGTGTATGGACTGAACGAATTGCCAAGGAGCACATTTCCCAGATTTCCATGAACCACGTTCGGTACTCTTGAAGGCGTATCATTAGCCTGCGTAGCAGGCGCTTGGAAGTAGTGGGCGCAAGAAAGAAGCTTAAATGTTCACCATGCGAAATCCGTGAGGAAAATAAGTGGCGTTGTGTTACGTAATTTATTTTTGCGTCTCTCTTTCCGTTCTTTCTTTCTGTAACGCCTCCCTTCACGTGATTAATACAATTTAATTTGTCCCATCCATCTAACTATTTTACTTTCGAAACGAACATCTTGGTTTTAAAGGCCTGTTAACGGAAAGCATCGGAGAGAGGGAAAAAAAACGATTTTTAACTCTAGATAAAACACAAAATTACCGGCTCGAAACCAAAAAAAGTATTTAGGATTTAATCCAGGATTTAACTTGATTGTTAGACAGGAGTAAAAGCATCGTTCTTTTTACTAGAAAAAAGGCCGGATAAGCATAGAAATAATTCAACAACAATATCAACGATTTCACAGCACAAAAAATTTATTCCAAGCAGTCGAAATCGATCCTTATCAAAGCCAAGATATCTTAGTACGGTATTCTCCCTAGACATTTTGCCCGGGGGGTTACTCCTGGGAATTCTTGGTGGGGGTATGCCGCATGGTTCCGTCAAATCCTGACCCTATTTCAGACCAAAAAATGTAACTTTGGAATTTTCGTTTTTACACACTACAGCACAAACCTGTCAATAGTCTAGTTTTATCTACTCTATCCTGCAAATGAAAGCAGGAATTCTTTCAAGTTAATGTGCCGTTTTATTTAGGCAAAGCATGGGTTCTCTTTTGATTTCAGATGAAGCTAGCCTGTAGAAAGACTTCCAGTCCCAACGGGACATATAAGCTAGGGACAACCTTGTGTCAGTATAAAAAAGCGGGCCCTTGAGTTAACACCTTTTTCCCTGGGTTAAAACACCTTTTTTTTTTTTTTTTTTCCAAGTAACAGAACAAAAAAATCACTATTTAGTCTAAGTTTAACCATACACAAAATGCTCCTGAAGAGTTATGAAGGAAATATCAAACAAATCTCATCAGGGAGCACTAACCATAATAAAATTTTGGTGATTTTTTCCTGCCTAGAGTATTGGCCCCATTTTTTTCAAGTTTCATATATTCCACGCTCATCCTTGCCATCCGTATAGCGACAGTCGACAGTAAACAGTTACCTTAAATTGTTAACTATGCCGGCATAAAATTATTATTCACGCCGGTTGTAACATAATAAATTAATTCGGACAAACATGCTCGAAATATCGATCAGTTACCGTGAAAACTGTGTCTGAATAACGCCGATTAAAAGTGCTTATAGCAGCGTTCTTATCAAGCTCCTGTCTTGACACAAAACAGTGTATTAAGGCTAAACTCAAATCAGGTCTGAGCATTGCACATTGTTTTCACATGATGGGTCTCATATTAAAACTTGCTTTCGTCATCGGAAAGGCATGCGGTCATCCGGGTACTAACCTGAAAAGCCTACATTGCTCTCAGTACCTGCAATAGTTCAGGCGGTTCTGGCGGTTCAGTCGCCAAATGTCCCGATCCTTCACCAACGGCGAAAACACGGACAAATCCATTGGATATGGGCGACACGTTGCAATTATTAAATTAATATTAACTGAACAAAATTTCCGTCTCTATCATCTCCTTTCTTCTTTATTCGCCCTAAACGGGCGACCTTGCCTTCCCCCGATAACTGGTCTATCATGCCCCTGGGGTTAATATGAGTGTCACTCTGTGGTAACCAGGCTCATCCAGGCTAGGACTCTTGTCACCAACTGATTATTTTATCAGGGTACAGACTAAGGATACGCTCACACTTAACCGGATATAGCTTTTGCACCGGCACGAAAATCTAATGTGGAGAGTCATAACGGATAGGTTTTCACACTGTACTGTATAGCTTTTGTCGACTTTCGCACCGGCACGAAAACCCGGACGGGGCTTCCGTTCGCGCATATATAAGAACGGTGATCTCCGATCCTGAGAGTCACATATCGGATAGTTGATGAACATACAATTTAGCATAAGACTACGGTTTTGTTTACTGTTTACTGAGCCCAAGCGAACCAATCTACAATGATGACACTAATTCTGACTTGCCTTTCTGTGCATTGACCAGCAATTAATGTTACTCTCTAAGAATCGTCACTATTGTAAATAAGTTCTACAAAGGCAAGGGTTAAATCGGTCCCAGCAATTATCAAAACCGATTTTTCACGGTTTGCAGTAATGTGACAGCCTTCAGGAATGACCGTACCAGAACAATTAATATTTTTGATGGCGGCCTTATATATCGGGATAACGTGAGGACCCCATCTGTTCCTCCCCATATATAGATATACATGTATCATTGTTAGTAGAGGAGACTGGTTATGAAAGCCAGGATAAAAACAACGGTACTGCAGTTTATGGTCAACGGTGCTGCAGTTTATGATGGAAGCTCGCTGACCGAGCACAATCCTTTGTTTTTTGCTCAAAAATTGTGACTGAATAAATTAATGCGATGTTTCTATTGGTCAGTAAGTTCAAAATGATAGGAGTGCTATTGAACGTTGTGCACGCTCTAAAAAATGCTAAAAACGCGAACAAAACATATAACAAACAAGTCTTACATGCTTCATGACCATGCCACTTAATTAAGTATGCATACATGTCAGAGCAGTTATTTTCCCTTTTTCTTTCTTCCTAAGTGGGGTCAGGGTTTCAAATACCCCCAAATACCCTTGGGACGAGTGCCTTTTGGAATCCAATTAACGACTGAAGTGACAAAACACAATCCGCTTCTTATCGGTTCCCCGATGAATCCAAATCAGAAATGCTCTCATGATAGCCACCGCAAAAAAGCCTGTCTCGGACAGTAAGGGTCTACGTAAGTAACAACTGAGGATTAGCGCTTCAAGCTAGTGGAGAGGATAGGCTAAAACAGCCAAAAAGGTAAGATCCTCGGTTCTTTATGCATCTTTTAGCGTTAATAGGTCAAAATTTGCGAACATCACTTACCATGACTCGAAGGTCATTCGTTTTTTGGTCAAATCAGTTTATGAATAAAAATAGTTATCAATTTGACACCTAGAGGTCTTGGCAGATAAACTGAAGCGCATGAGACTGTAGTTTATTGTATCAGTGTTATTGGGAGCTCAATGGCGGTCATCACAGAACTCGTGCGACTCTGTATCACGTTGTTCCCAGCTTCCTTGTGGGCAATTTGTACTTCGAACTTCAAGTTAACGTTTATCAAATTACATTTACAATTAACAATTAGCTTCAGCTGTAGCTTGTCAACTGGCAATGGTAAGTTTAGAATTTGTTAAGCACTTGTACGTTTTAATAGTGTGTGTCACTAATTTTTAATATGGCCCATATACAGTAGTTTATTTAACATTAACCTGCCAGAGAAGTCAGTGACGGACATATTTTGCTGCCAGATCTGATATAATCCTATTCAAAATTCTGTTAAAGCAGAAGTTTGTGATGCTTATTTGTCAAATGTATCTCTCACGTGAACTACTCATGCAATGTATAGAAACATAGAATGCACATTTCCGTGATAGTGAGTTGAAGAGTATCAAGGTCCGGCATCTTTCATGTAACTAGTGGCATTATATTACGTAAGAACTATCATTACGTAATAATAGATTTCCCTGCTTTTCCTTCCTCCTTTCCGTTCGTTCCTTTTTTAGAGCCTCCCTTCACGAAATTAAAACTAATTTCCTCGGGCTTTTCATCGAAATATTTTACTTTCGAAACCTCTTGATTGTCACAAAGCCTAGCTGAATAACGAAAGACGTGGGGGTAGGGAACCTATTTTTTTGAACGTATCACGTTCGAAGTTAGCCTGCGAAAACATCCATTTCTCTTCGCTCTTCGCCGCAGGGAACGTTTCGCACGGCGAAGAGCGAGCAGAACCGGATGTTTTCGCAAGCTAGTTCGAAGTTCGCTTAGTAACCTTTGGGTTCGAAAAACCAGGTAGCCTAGAAAGCTCAAAGATCGCTCTCTTTGCAACGAAAATCAAAGAAAAACCGTTAGACAACAATTTCAACGTTGTCACAATACAAATGACACTTCGGTCCTTTTAAAGCCAACATGCCTTATAGTTCAGTACTCTCTATAGACATTTAGTTCTGCCCTGACTATTTGTGAAACAAAAACGACCATAAGGGCTAGAGTATATTTTAATGCTCTAAACCCTGTAAGAGGTACCAATCCACTCGACAACTTTTACCCCTAGGAGCACCCCCAGTCTTCTTACAGGGCAGTATCACCCCCACCCCACCCCAGGGAAGATGTGAGGACATTCACATGAGAAATCAAGAGCCGAGGACGAGTGATTTACAAGCTCTTCGAACGTTTTTCGTTCTTCTGCTTTTATATTACAATGATCTGTAATTTTCTATCAGTTTACGTATATAACAAACAATAGACTTATAGAACACGCGAAGTACCTCAGTTACTTTATAAAAAGCCAAAATATATTCATTGACTCTCCAAACAACAAATATGACAGTCTTTGTTTACCTTAGCCACCACAAACTTTCTAACTAAACTGTACTGACTACAAACGAACAAGTTTCCAAGTGCTACTATCCCTATTATGTTTGCGTGTTTTATTTTTCTCCGTGGTATCAGTATCTGGAGAACCGGGCGGCACACCCCCACCAGGAATTCGCAGGAGTACCCCCTGCCCCCCCCCCCCCCCCCTCCCGGGCTTTACACGCTCGACAATCTGACAGGTTTCTAACTATGCAAGTGCTACTATCCTATTATTGCTTGCGTGTTTTGTTCGTGTCTTGCAAATACTTTTCTCCATGGTGTCAGTTTTTTCCCTCACTTTGCATGTTCTTTGTTTTTATGCTCGGCAATCTGACAGGTTGAAAATTAATTACTTTCTAATTGCACGATGATCAAATATTTTGATCCCTTTTGGCAGTTCGTAGATGTGTTTAAAAACGCTGACGTATTAAATTCTGCAAGCAGAATACTGTAATGCTGATCGTAATACGTGAAAATTAACTCTGCAAGACATCAACACGACACCGAAAGAACTCAAAACAGAGCGGGATTGTAGCCATAGACAGCTGTTTCGCTCTCTTTGTCTTTATAGATCCTAGGTTCTTCGGCATATTCGTTTGCAGTCCTTTGCAGTCCCTTGTGGTTTTAAATGTTGGTACTTTAAAAACGCTATTCAAGACTAAAAATAGAAAAATGTGCTGAAACTAGTTCCATTAGAAAGGGACTATTAACAGATGATGTGGGGTTAATCGTCTTACTGATTAAGTATACTCAGCTTATCTGTGACTAATGAAACTGATCCTACAAACTGGGGCTTTTTTTTTCCGCGCCTAGGTGAAGAGGAGTGGCTAGTTCAGTAAAAAAAGTCTTTCCCATAAGGCAAATCATCTATTTGTTTATTGCGCTATTCACACCGACTAAGCATGTTTAATAAAACCAGATTTTGAAAAATAAAGCAGACATGTGAAACTGGAACCGTAGGTTTTTATACAGGATTCAAATGAAATTCAACAAGTTTTGTAATTGCACTAAATTTGCAATCATATTAAGCAGGTTTTATTATGAAGGAAACAATTTTAAACCGTGTTCACTAAACAGCCAAAAAGTGCAACTAAAAAGTAACCTAGCGAACCCCGATCGTCTTTGTCGCATGGCTTCAATCGCTACCCGGCTTCTCCTGACGAATCAACACGATCGCTGAACCTACCAGTCGCAGTATAATTATAGTAAAACAGCGATCACATTGAAAGTGTAAACCTTTAATTTTAAAGTGGGTTCCGCCTCTATGCATTTTTATTAATTCTACAATCTTCTTTTCACGAGAGTCACGTAAAAACTTAAAGTTCCTCGAGGAAGATATGAAGAATTTGTTGTTAGTAGAATGGTTGTACTACATCAGTACTCTCATCAGAGCTTACTCAAAAGTTAAAAGTACTCATAAATAATTTTTCAGAGACTGAAAAGGTACAACGTAGCTTATCTCAGTTGGTGTACGTGCGTTGTAGCTCCCAAGTTTACCACACTTAACTAAACAACAACTTAACCTTAATCTGATGAAAAACACCGACTCCCTTCCATGCTTACATGACTGCGTGTATGTATGATAAAAAGGATTAATTTAGACACAAATTTAGATTTGATTGAGAACGTGTGTACAAGCAACTTTATTATCCTAGCCTCTGTAAACATATCTCGAGACATGAATGTATTATATGGGAAATTTGTGGGATGCTATATATGTAGCTCATAATCTTGTTAATGAACAAACGTAGGAGCCGTGAAAGCTGGTAAACCGCACTAAATAGACATAATTTGACAAGACTGACAATCCCGAAAATCAGTTACGGTGCCAAGACTGCCGCGGTTTTCTCCTTCAATTTAAACCCAGTCAGGTAACTAAAAAACAACTTCAGTCACTGTATCTACTGTTAATATACACTGCCGATTAACACAGGGCGTGGGTACAGGACATTACTTCGTTACAACTGGATTCTCGTGATGCCAAGAGGGGCACTACCTTTTTGCTACCCGACTTTGGACGTTTTGGTTTTTACACACTACGGTATAAACTTGTAAATAGCATTAGTTTTATCTCCTCTATCTGCAAATGAAAGCAGGAATGCTTTCAAGTTAATGTACCGTTTCATTTGGGCAATGCATGGGTTCTCTTTTGATTTCAAGTGAAGCCTTTAGAAGACTTCCAGTCCCAACTGAACATACAGGTACAGTGGGTTAAACACCTAGTTTTCTTCATGAGACAGAACATAACTATTGGCGAAATCATTTCCCTAACAACCTTCACCTCACGAGAGAAGAAAAATACTCCGGCGTTCAAAATTTCCTTGATATCGGTAACCTAGTACCTTATATACCATATTTTTCATTTCCGTTCGTAGATGCAAATTATAATGGTATGGTCATGCAATTATTGGAAAACAAACTTGCACAATCTCGCCACAATCAGTGGCAAATCATAGCATCTCTCTGAATCATTTGTTTTTCACTCGGTCGAGAACAGCCCAATATGGGTTTTTGCGGTTGGATTGATCTTCGCACCAAGTTTTATGGATCTTTAATGCCGATACTGTATTCTCTCAGAAACTAGGACTATCGTGTTAATAAAGAAAAATTCTTCAATTTCGTTTTGTCGTCTTTGAACTCAGTGAAAAGTATCTCGTTACATTCATTTAGATCCAGAGAAAAAATTGTTAGATTAAAATCAGCCTTCCGCCCTTTAGCAGCAGAGCACGAGTCCTAGAGAGACACTAGATTTATAAACCTTTCAAGTTGACCCCTCACTGCTGATGAACGTTTGCAATTGGCGGGAGGAACGATTTGACAAAATCTATTTGTGGGTTACCAAGCCACCCTGACATCAAACGAAAGATTGAAGGAAAAGAAGGAAGGACGTCAAAAAATCTCAGGACAAATTTTTAGAAAAACAGATAAATTACACACCCAGAGGCAAAAATATTTCATGTGATAGTCCGTGCGATTTCCAGGTGATTGAAAACCCCTTTTATGGGCTAATGATTGAGCTGTTTTTTAACTTAAAAACTGCTTTACACTTTGCGAATTGGCCATCGCCTTCTATCGCTTTAAACTCAAAGTTATATGTAGTGACTAAGCAATTTTTGCATCCAAATATTTTATTGTAATCACTATAATCTGCCTACCATGTCAGGCTCCTTCAAAGGGTCAACTTATCTTAAATACTGTTCTCCCCTACTATTTCAAAGTCCGAGTACCTGTCCATTCACATCAATACAGGCATAACAGTTGACGATAAAAAAATGTTCATTTTTTAAATAGGTTGTCATCATCCGTGTTTCCTTGACAACGTGTCGATTTTTCAATACGCCTCAAGTGTTTTTTGACTGACAAAGCTTGACATCCATTCAACCTGCAGATACGAGACGCTAAAAAAACCTAAAGCCAAAGTGACTTGAAAGGCAAACAGCAAGTCCAGGCATTGCAGGGGAAATCAGCAAGAGAAAAGACTATTCTGATGTCTCGCATGAGTGGTCGTGTTTCGCCAGAGCAACTTGTGTCGACGAACAAAGTCGAGAATGGACTTCCAGACTCCTCTACGCTACGTCACGAAAAAGAAGAGGACAACTTTAATATCGATGACATGCAAGTAGTCTACGACGATCACGAAAATGCGAGTGAGTCTCAAGAGGCCCTGGATGATTTTCCTGAAGAGCAGACAGTAGATTCGATCAACCAATTCCATAATGGAAATATAGATTATCCGGGGAGTCACACTCCAAAGCATCTACAGTGGAGCACAGATGAAGCCATGGCATCCTCAAAGAGATCTCATACCTGTGACAGGGTCATACTGCTAGCTGTATGTTTCATGTCTGCGGTTTCAATAGTGCTGACTCTGCTGATGTTTTTTGGTGTGGTTGAGCCTTTCAAGTGCGCTTGCTCCGGGAAAACAGGTATTTCGAAGAATATTTTTTGTTAAAACACGCTGGTATTAAATTATAATCCGGCATTCTTAAAATTTTGGGGACAGTGCATTCTACATAAGGTTCTGATTAATGTATCTGGGAATGCAAGCTGGCCTATTCTGTTGAATATACCGTGTGGCACGAAATTTTTGCTGGAGTTTGTTTTTTCGGATTGGCGATTTTTTGTGTTTTGCGGGAGCTAATTTTTGCGATTAGGACAAATTGGTTTTTCTTGCTGGGAATTAATTTTTTCGTTTTTCAGAAAGTACCCGGTACCCAGTAATTAAACCAGTAATTCATTGTATACCGTTTTCATTTCTGAATGAAAGAGGCAAGTTGCGATTTAACAGATGCGATTTCTCAGTACTGTATTTTTGTGAAGCGAATTTATGTTAGAGAATATTTACTCTGGAGTAAATTTTCGCGGAAAAATGTCTGCGGTAGTTCTTATATGCGGGAACTTATTTTTGCAGATCGCTGGAAAAATCGCAAAAATCGGAAAAATTAGAACTCGCAAAAATGTCGTGCCACACGGTAGACTGTGCCTTAAATTTGAATCCCTTTGATGTCTTTGATGACGCAGAAATTAACAAAAAGGAAATTACATGTGGCAATAATATTGAGAAAAGTTTATATAATTTAACTATTTTCCTAAAAAAGGTACCTTTCTTAATAGCAACTAACGGATCCCTTGAACACCAATTACCCTAAAAAGTAAATAGTTAATCCACGTAGGGGTATTATTGCTAATTTTCAAACTCATTAACGTACATAAATAATTAAGTTAGCACATTATGAAACCACTAATTTGTTTAACTTTCGCAGTATTGAGTTTTTTTGTTTACTGTAAAGGAGAAGGTATCGTTTTAGAGGTACCCACACACTACTGAACATGTCACGTCAATATAAAATTATTTGGATCATGGAATGTCATGGCCTTTCATGGTTGTTGGGTACAGTCCTGCTGACCCTCAGAACACATTTTGTTTACTTTATATGACATAAATCTGCTCTCACACGTAAGGTTTAGTTTAACCCCCCGAGAAGGTAATGATAACTTCTTTTGTCTGTTTCATACGAAAGACGATTAGCCATTCACTGAGTGCGCAATCCAAGGGTTCGCTGTATTTTGATACTTTTAAAACATACTGTGAGTTGAGTTCGGTTTACTTATATATTACAGGGAAATAAATGATATGTCGACAGCTGAGCGTTATAAAATTTGTGTCTCACTTTTACTAGAAAAGTGGAAAAGAAAGCTTTAATTAGCTGCTCTTTTTTGGTATAAAAAAAGTAGGTCAAAGCGAAAAAACTTTATCGATAATGGGTAGGAAAAGGATGAAGTCATGAATGCACACTAGAAAATTCTTCTTAAATCAGTTATTTACCCCCGGCTTGCACGGAAAATATTTTCGGAACTTGAGTAAACATATCTTTTTATTGCATTCCATAAATACAATGAAGAACACTGACAATGCTTCTTCTTTCACATGCAAAGTTGGGATCCTGAAACTCGGCCAAAGTGAATTATAATTTCACTTAATTGGCAACCCTTGGAAATTGGTTGTTCTCAGTTTTTCTTCCAGGGAAGATGCCTTTGCTGTAGGTTTACGTCGTTTTTTTACAAGCATTTTGAAATAGAATAACCTCGTTTTATGTACATTTTAAAGATTTAAAAATTCACCAAAATTGTACGCGGGCTAAATATAGACTCTGTGCTTTCTTGACTCCAGTGACATAAGGCTGAACAAACAGCTAAATAAACATACATTCGTCTATATTGTAACTTCGCATTCATGACATTGGCCTTGATTTAGCCTGCGTAGCAAGCATGTCGAGAAAGTGGGACCTTCCCCTCCCCAGTCGATCTCTCTTTTCGTTTGCTCTAGCTCCAAATTTCGTGCAATAACTCGATTGGAAACGCTTGCAACGCATGCGCAGGCTAGCCTTGGTTCTCCTGCCGTTGTCTTTTCACGTATATAGCTTATCTCCACAGATATAATGAAAAAAAAGGCAACGGCTGCAAGTGCCACTCACGCGAAACATTTTTCTTCGATGGGAAAAACATTCCGTTATTGTGTTATTCTCCGTTGCTTCAAATCAGGGGCATATGATAATTTATGAAGCACACTGAGCTCGCTAAGCACTTACCCTGCGAGCAGAGGTTTTTTTTTCTGGGGCATGGCTTTTAGCATTTGTAAGGTCGTTGGCGTGGCTTGTCAGTGGCGTAGATGGTTTGTTTACGCGACTTACTGAAGAAGAAGGAAGGAACATCTGCTCGCACGGTAGTAAGCACTCAGATACAAAGGAGGTAAATAGTTGAGTTATCACGTTATATTGAGACAATAATAAATTTAATGGGAAACTCAACATTTTTTGGCGTCAATCATTAGAGCGTTTTCACTCACGTGGTCAGCATGCTGTGCAAATACATTGGAACAAAAGAAAGCTTTTACATAAGATAAATGTTCAACCCCCAGAGGACTGGTTTGGGACACCAACATGGCCACCGTTTAATTTTTTTGGAACACCAATATGGCGGACGTCACGCCACGTGAAAACGCTCTATTCTTTCTAATTTTAAATAGAACCATTTATTTATCAAATTGGATACGAATAGCAATTTTTGCTTTTAAATTTCACGAATCCTATTTTTTATCAACTTTAGATGTTTTTTCTTTCTTTCTTTCTTTTTTGCACCAGGAAGTGAAACTTCAAGTCCAAGTACTCCCGACTTTGAAATTTCAAAGAACATGAAAGATCTTAAACACAATATATCTTCTGTGAAAGATACTTCGACTGCTTCGATGATTGCGGTGAGTTTATTTGAATACTACAGGGCTTTAATTTTCTGCCAATTACAGCTTTTATATTTAAACTATCAGCCGAATCATACGTCAAAAGGGAGACACATAGTTAAATGATTCATTCTGGCTTGTTCAGAATGCGATGCCCTACCTCAATGCTGCTAAAAACGTTTTCCCTTTATTAGTCTTCATAGTTGCGGTGTCAGCAACATATATAGAAATGTTGGACGTCTAACAGTCTGCATATGATGAAATAGGCAAAACAAGTACCTTTTGAGATTTTCTTTTGTTTCTGTGATTTACCGTTGATCTTTTCTTTGTGTTTTTTTGTTCCAACCTCTTGTGGATTTTTTAACAGGTCAAAGCAGAACTAGACGAAATGAGAGAGAAATATGATGATATTAAAGCGAAATATGAACAAGTGATGATGGAGGTATAAAAGAAACAGTTCTCTAAAGTATTATGCCATGACCTGTATTGGGAAAACAAAACATGCAAGCTAAAGAGGTCTATTAACCAAAAGAATTGTGCCAATCTTTGCAGGTGGCAGGACTCAAAGGAATGAACCTGTCTAAAGTAACCAGTGGATCATCGTTAGACAAGGTATCTTTCTTTTTTTAAAATTCACAAACAAGTACAGTTTGGGTGTGGTTATTGCATACCTTAAAGAAAAATTAAATTTCAGGTAAATAACTACAGCTAGCGGAAAATTATTCAGTTACCGTTTTTGTGTGATGAACAAGATTACGCCCAATAGAGACTTAAAGTGAAATCACTCGGTATCAAATTATTCATGGATAACATTCTTGGAAGTGGAATATAAATCTAAACTTAAGCTCCAGTACGAATATGCACGATGTAAGGAACTTTTGGCTCGTAGAATCCGGAATCCCGGAAATTTGTAGTTGTGGAATCCGGCATCCGAGAATATTTTGCTCGTGGAATTCGGAATTCAACTCAAGGAATCCAAAATCTCACTATATTAACGCTTGGAATCCAGAATCCAAGTTCCACTGACAAATACTGGAATCCAGTATCTGGAATCCGGAATCCACGGCGTGGAATCCAGAATCTAAGACTGTTATGGGTTACCTTCGATAGGGCTATTAGCCTGTTGGATGATATGTGAACGGTGCAAAACAATTATATCAATTGTTCAAAGGCATGACATTGTTTTATTATTCACATTTTATGTTTTCAATCAGGATAATTCAACTCTTCTGCAAGCGGAAATTAAGATCATCAGGCAGGAAATATCATTTCTAAATCAACAGGTAAATGTGTAACGTACGTGTGGTTATCCATTACTCATTTTCCCCTGATATAACTGAATGTTAATCGTTTCATTTTTAGGTGATCAACGTAACTAAGACTCAAGGTCCTCGGGGACCTCTAGGCCCTGCTGGACCTCGTGGACACCCCGGATACAATGGTACCCAGGGCCCTCCTGGTGTTGCAGGGCCCTCAGGATCTTCTGGATCGTCGGGGTCTGGTAACCTTTCACTTTGTACTTACAAAAAAGTAGACGCCACTCCTGTATCAGCTGGGAGTATTGCTCGAACAGACGTTGCAATCTTAGAAGCAAAGGTACGCCTTCAATCCAATCATTTAGAAGCTTTTGATCGTTTTCCTTTAGTGGTTTCTCATAACCAGGCGATGGAAAATACCACTTTTACATAAAAAAAGGATTCAATCGCCGTTTCCTTGTTTTGTTACACTAATGTCACCAATGCATGAAAACTACGAAAAAGAAAGGGGGAAGTCCCTATTCATCTCAATATAATAATCTCGCTGTGACGCACTGTAAGAATAGCAATTCTTTCGCAAACCTTTCTCAACCATTTTGTAACTGGTTGTAGCTACGGGGTACTGGAATTGGCTTTTTAGTGTAGAATATCATTGCAACATTCATGCCTGTCCCTTTGGCACTGCGGTGACGTTGCAATATATATTCACATAACTTTGATTTGCTCGAATTTTTATTTGCAGGGCACGAAATTACTTGGTGTCAGCTGTGATTCAAATGACGCATCAATTATTCAACTTTCAAGTGGCGTTCACCAGGGTCTCAAGACGTATACATGTGATTGTAAAAATACTGTAAGCTCAGGAGCCGGTACCATGGAGTGTTACCTTCACTACTGGGAGTGTCCCACCTGATATACAAAAAGCTTAGGCTTGCTGTTCAGTTCATAGTCAGGCCTAGCCCTTAAGCCACAGCAAGGACCTCTTCTGAAATGTCGGCTTAAAGGAAGGACTTCATAATCATGTCAACTATTATTATTATTATTATTATTATTATTATTATTATTATTATTATTATTATTATTATTATTATTATTATCATTATTATTATTTTTAGTATTATTTAGTGGACGAAAGGAGACCATGAGCAATGTGTTTCCTTTATATATGATATATTACTGAGAGTCGACGCGAGTAAACTGTACTATATAAGCCGTGGCAAAATTGTAAAATCTTGGATGCTTTTATGGTTCCATACACTGGCATAAACAAGTTCGAAACTTTTGGCTTGAGACTAAATAGATGAAAAGGATTACCTTAAATCGGTAAACATACGTTAACGTTAAAACCTGGACTCATAAATAAGGCCTAAGACCAAACGTCGAACTTTTCATGAGACGAACCAAACATGTTGAGTTTAAGTACATGAAAAGTTTGATGTCTGGCTCAGCTAAGTTCGTCTGAATGAGTTTGGATCGTCCAACACGTTCTATCTGTCTGCCTCAGACGGATAGAACGTTTGAAGGTCGTTTCCGGGACAACGGTCGACCTTTCAATGCGACGAACTGAACTAATAAATTAAAAAATTTGTATGATGATGTGTATTTAGCTTCGTTCGAGAGCAAATTTATTTATGGCCGGCTAAAATTGCTTTTTTGGTCTGATTCAGTTAATTGGTTCGTGGCGTCCTAAGTTTTAAGTTTGACCCAACATACGATCTTAACTTAATTTGTTACTAATCGCCAAGTACACACATATAATACTCGAAATGCCAATAACTACCGAACTTATTTCTGTAGAACAAACATTAAACAGTTCACAATCCTCCATCTAGGACCTAACCTATGGAACTCCCTTCCCCATAATCGTAGGGAACTGACAAGTTAGTCTAGTTTCAAGACTTCATTAAAAAAATACCTCATCGAGAGAGCTGTAAATTAAACTCGCCTGACCATGATATGGCAGCTGACATTATATCATAATTAAGTACGAGGAGCCCAATTTTCAACGAGCTATTTAGCTTCTATTTGGTTTCCTCGCCACTCTATCTACTACAAAAGTTAAGTCACTTAATATTACATTTAATTTTGAACTTTTTTTCCTAGCTTTTCCTGCCCTGTAAATTGTGCAATCTTAGCAATAATATGTATATATTTTTAAATTTCTTTTCTGTAATATTTATTCTATGTGGTAAATGTAAATAAATAAATAAAATAAATAAATGGGTCGACCCAAATTAGAGTTTCGGGTTCGTCTCATGAAAAGTTCGACGTTTGGCCTAGGCCTTATGTTCGTCCGAATGAGTTTATATCGTCCAACACGTTCTATCCGTCTGCTTCAGACGAACTTCTGAAGATCGTCTCCGGGACAAACGTCGATCTTCACATGCGACGAACCGAACAAATAAACTAAAAAATACGATGAGGTACATTTAGCCTCGTTCAGCAAAAATTACGATTTGGTCTGATTCAATTGATTGGTTCGACGCGTCCAAAGTTTGACGTCTGACACAACAGACGATCTCAACTTAATTTAGCTCGACCCAAATTAGAGTTTGGTTCGTCTGATGAAAAGTTCCACTTTGGCCTGAGCCTTAGTCTCTTTAAGCGTTGATTTAACCTACCCTGGGTGCCAGAGGTTTTTTCCTTGCCTTATCCGTCTCAAACTTTTGGACAAGGCTTATATCAAAACGGACCTCTGAAGACAAGGTAGCTCCAAGCACCAAGATGACGAAAATTGCATTTAACTGATTTAGTTCTTCAATTTCAAATTATTACTCCTGACGGGAAACCTGTACATACTTATGAACTATGCAATAAAATTACGTGGTACACCATGATTCGATTTGTTGGTTCCACTTGATTTCAATAGGCCATTTCCGAGTTCCAAAAAATCTCACTTTCAAAACGAGGCTAAGTGCGAAGCCATTGATATGAAAATGATTTCTTATTCTCATGCAAATAAAACTCATTTTCACAACACAGGTTTCGCACTTAGCCTCGTTTTGAAAGTGAGATGTTTTGGAACTCGGAAGTGGCCTATAGTTAGTTCACTCAGCTAAGAATATAATTTTCCGCTAAAAGTAAGGACGGATCTATTGTAATCTAAAAAGCTTAACGTTATTTGCGTTAGGTCACATTCAATCAACAATCCTTTAAAACGTTAAGGGTAAGCGGTAAATTTGAGTCTCAACAGGTCTTAGTGACCGGACATGCATCAAAATATCGTAAAACGAGTTCATTCGACCTTATGCATAGCTTTGTAAAGACTAACACAACTGCTATAATGTATACGAGATAAGCAAGTGACCACACTCCAGTACCAACTTACGGCCATAAAGCGCACAGCCATATTAGCCACAGCCTATACAGTCGTTTTGTCCTTTTTAGGACGCATCTGGACCCGAAAGTCGGGTGTGTCTGCCCTTTACTGCCTAGGCGAATTCAAAGTTGGTTGTTACGTGAGCTAAGTCTGTATGTCAGCTATATCAGGCAAACCAATGTTTTTGTAAATGAGAATGGACTACCAAGTCATTTGGCAGTCAAGATGGGTGATCTGCAGCAAGTAAACACGACTTATATACAGTCACTCATATCTCGCTATTTTCGTAAAGAAAACCTGGTTAGCCATAAGCATGCGCGCGACGTGACAAACCAGTGAAAAAAAGACGGCCGAGCTGCAGAATAACGTAACGATTAACGGAATCACCAGGAAATTGAGAAATTTTAATTCTCAGGGGACAAAAACCTTGTATCAGAACAATTTAAACAATATTGCAATCTTTTTCACCTTTTTCCAACGGCTCTTGAAGTTATCCGTACTAACACCAAATTTCACAAAAATTGTGAAATTTTAAAATTTTTTATATTTAAGGGGTCACTTTGTGAAATTTGACATTTATCTTCTCCGGCTCCCATTAGAACTGAGTTTTGTTTGGTGTTATTACAGATAACTAATTACATCTTTAGCCCTTGAAAAATGTAAAAAAGGATGCAATATGCTTTAATACTCAATTTCCTGACGGATTACGTCTTGAGTTAATTCGCTGTTGATATTCAACAAACTACCCTTGTGTCGATAAATTCTCATTCATTTCTTTTCTGCATACGATGAAACTGAAACATGTGGTTTTTAAATTCGGGTTTCACTTTCGATCACAGCCACGTCACCGTTCAAAAGGAATAAATACTGTGGTATAGGTCGATCAATGAATACCAATCACATGACGACACTGAGGTACTTTTTGGTACTCATCTAATCTGTAACGCACGCAGGTCAATTATCAAAACGAAGCCTATAGAGCTGGTGTCCCAAATTCGTTTCATCATGGATATAGCCATGGAGAACACAACGGTTGGAGAAGAAAACCCTTACTTCGAAATCGAAATCGCATCCAAACAAACAGATGACGCAGTAATTTATGACGACGTAGCCCCTGACGAAATAATAGGTCCCGAGAAAGGAGGACCGCCATCGACAGAACCTGCTCAGTCCTGCCAAGAGAATTTTCTTAAACTCCAGCGAATGTTGTACATTGTTACTGCCGTGGCGATCATTTCTCTCCTGACTGCTGCTGCATCTTTGGCTTTAGCATTAATTGTGATGAATTCCCAAAACACCAAGGATTCCGTGAGATGCCCTGCAGATTGTGTTAATAATGCTGCTTTCCAAGGTACACAAGTGGGGTTTGTATTTTGTAGTCATAAGTACTAGTCACGCAATAGGATACTGCATCAGTTTCCCAAGTTCTTACATAAATGGTAATTAGCACAAATCTAGGCTATTTAGGTTCTTAAATAGGTTCTTATTTTGTGAAGAAACAAAACACATTGTAGCTAAGAATATTTAGCGGTATTTTCAGCTCATGATCATTCCAAACAAGAATCACTTCGTGAATTTTACCGGGGCCACTTTTGTCTTGGCAACCCACGGGGAAGGGTCGTTTTCATCAACAAGTTTGTCGGGCGACATGAAAATCTTTTTTATTGCAAATATTCTTTAGAGATGAAAACAACGTGTAATCAATAATGTGAAAAGGCAAAATGTTAGGGAATCCCGAATTTTGAACAGCTGAGAATTTGCGCATCTCGATAACGTAAATATTGCGTGACAAAGGTTATTTGAAAATATTTTGTTTTGTTGCTTCATAAGTCAAAGCAGTGATAGACTTCCTCCTAATGAGTTTTAATTGTTTGTCGGAAAATATCTGACGAAGTTTCCTGTTGGGAGTGCGAATTGTAAGGTACCGAAACGCATAAACAAAGCTTGGCGCATGCAAGTTTAATAAGTTAAGATTTTTGCTTTGTCAGTCGTAGTGTACACAGTTCTACGTCGACCAAGCTTTGTCATCGCTAGGATGAATACTTTAACAATATTTTGCAATAAACAGGGATCTCATTTATTGATAAGTGGTAAATATAGTCGCATTAAACCATTCCGTGTGCAAACTAATCGAATTAATATTTACGTGGTTACAGTTGTTGCTCCCTACTTCAAATTTCTGAACCAGCGATATATCTCAGCGAACACGCCCAAAAGTAACGAGCCAGCGATATATCTCAGTCAGCGATATATCCCTAACAATGTAACTTTGAAAACACAGAAACGCGTTGCATTTTATGACCGGTGCCAGCCTTCGGCTAGGCCCCGGTAATTAACTTGTATACCATTACAATTGTAGTTGGAGTAGTAAGGCACGTATGTCTCCTAGGAGGATCCTGAATGTTGCCGACTTATCTTATTTGCCCAACTGAACAGAATTTTATAGAACCTGTTTTAATTTTTAGGCTAAACAGGTTCTTCTATAGAGGGGTCTAACTTGAAAGTTTTAGCCTGATAAGGTTCTTAGTCGCGAGTTTTTAGTCACTTTTTAGTGTAATTGATTATATTTCTTCGTCCTTCCATTTAATTATGTGTGTACACACACCAATTCAAACACATAAACGTATTAGGCCCATTTCTTTCTTCTTTTTCTTCCATTTTCTCTTTAAAGGTTTGAAGAAGCTATTTCCTTAGATCCAAAAGGAAACATGAGGCGCCTCATGGTTCCTTTTTGAAGTTGGTACAAGCCCTATTGACAAAGTCAAAGGCTTGTTACCAATAATTGCCTCTGGGGACTGAGATTTGTCTTCATAGCAAATTTTTTTAGGTTCAAGAAGCAATAGGGCTTCTAGAATTGCACGACTGTAACATAAACGAGTTTCCTTTTTTGCAGCTCAACTCCAAGGAAAAGAAAAAAATATATCAAAAATTGTCGCGTCAGAGGTAGGTGCTACAATGAATCAGGAGCCCATAACCCAGGCGAGCAACTCCCCTACAAGGCCTATGTCACGGCCTTTCTACGGACCAGTTTATTTTTAGACACATTTTAGGGCACTTTTTACCGCGAAAATAGAATCTACACCATGCCTATGAGCGCATTCGAAGTATAAGATATCAAAAACGAAAACTAAACGCTAATAAAAGGCAAAAAATATCATTTTTAGGTCTGTAGGTCTTGCTGACTGGTTTTTGGAATTCCAAATTCGCGCCAAAGCCGTTCTAAAAATATGCTGGTCCGTGAAAACGCCGCGACAGTTGCTCGCTCCGGCTTATGGGCTCCTAAACGAACTTATGAACATAAAAGAGAAGTGTCATCCGCGCGCAGATGTAGAAACACCTACGAGGCTTCAAAGGCGCATTAATTAGGGTTTTCATGTGGACCTCATGTTAAGTAATCCAGTAGAATCTTCGATTCTGAATTCCACGATGTCGATTTCATATTCCAGGTACTGGATTTCCGATTCCTAGTCAGTTGATATTGGATTCCGGACTCCAATCATTACGGAGTGGAACTCCGGACCGGAATCCATGAATCCAGAATCTAAGTTCCACTGACAAAGACTGGAATCCAGTATCTGGTATCCGGAATCCTCGGCGTGGAATCCAGAATCTAAGACTGTTATGGGTTACCTTACATAGGGCTATAGCCTGTTGGATGATATGTGAACGGTGCAAAACAATTATATCAATTGTTCAAAGGCATGGCATTGTTTTATTATTCACATTTTATGTTTTCATTCAGGATAATTCAACTCTTCTGCAAGCGGAAATTAAGATCATCAGGCAGGAAATATCATTTCTAAATCAACAGGTAAATGTGTAACGTACGTGTGGTTATCCATTACTCATTTTCCCCTGATATAACTGAATGTTAATCGTTTCATTTTTAGGTGATCAACGTAACTAAGACTCAAGGTCCCCAGGGACCTCCAGGCCCTGCTGGACCTCCTGGACACCCCGGATACAATGGTACCCAGGGCCCTCCAGGTGTTGCAGGGCCCTCAGGATCTTCTGGATCGTCGGGGTCTGGTAACCTTTCACTTTGCACTTACAAAAAAGTAGATGCCACTCCTGTATCAGCTGGGAGTATTGCTCGAACAGACGTTGCAATCTTAGAAGCAAAGGTACGCCTTCAATCCAATCATTTAGAAGCTTTTGATCGTTTTCCTTTAGTGGTTTCTCATAACCAGGCGATTGAAAATACCACTTTTACATAAAAAAAGGATTCAATCGCCGTTTCGTTGTTTTGTTACACTAATGTCACCAATGCATGACAACTACGAAAAAGAAAGGGGGAAGTCCCTATTAATCTCAATAATTGTTTCGCTGTGACGCACTGTAAGAATAGCAATTCTTTCGCAAAACTTTCTCAACCATTCAGGACGTTGCAATATATATTCACATAACTTTGATTTGCTCGAATTTTTATTCGCAGGGCACGAAATTACTTGGTGTCAGCTGTGATTCAAATGACGCATCAATTATTCAACTTTCAAGTGGCGTTCACCAGGGTCTCAAGACGTATACATGTGATTGTAAAAATACTGTAAGCTCAGGAGCCGGTACCATGGAGTGTTACCTTCACTACTGGGAGTGTCCCACCTGATATACAAAAAGCTTAAGCTTGCTGTTCAGTTCATAGTCAGGCCTAGCCCATGAGCCACAGCGAGGACCTCTTCTGAAGAGTGTACGTTGTAAAACTGAGCAGTGATTCTTCAGAAGTGCTCGTCAGATTACTTGATAAAAAAACTCGACGCGCGGAAAAGAGTCAAATGTCGGCTTAAAGGAAGGACTTCATAATCATGTCAACTATTATTATTATTATTATTATTATTATTATTATTTTTAGTATTATTTAGTGGACGAAAGGAGACCATGAGCAATGTGTTTCCTATATATATGATATATTACTGAGAGTCGACGCGAGTAAACTGTACTATATAAGCCGTGGCAAAATTGTAAAATCTTGGATGCTTTTATGGTTCCATACACTGGCATAAACAAGTTCAAAACTTTTGGCTTGAGACTAAATAAATGAAAAGCATTACCTTAAATCGGTAAACATACGTTAACGTTAAAACCTGGACTCATAAATAAGGCCTAAGGCCAAACGTCGAACTTTTCATGAGACGAACCAAACATGTTGAGTTTAAGTACATGAAAAGTTTGACGTCTGGCTCAGTTAAGTTCGTCTGAATGAGTTTGGATCGTCCAACACGTTCTATCTGTCTGCCTCAGACGGATAGAACGTTTGAAGGTCGTTTCCGGGACAACGGTCGACCTTTCAATGCGACGAACTGAACTAATAAATTAAAAAAATTGTATGATGATGTGTATTTAGCTTCGTTCGAGAGCAAATTTATTTATGGTCGCCTAAAATTGCTTTTTTGGTCTGATTAAAGTTAATTGGCTCGTGGCGTCCTAAGTTTTAAGTTTGACCCAAAATACGATTTTAACTTAATTTGTTACTAATCGCCAAGTACACACATATAATACTCGAAATGCTAATAACTACCGACCTTATTTCTGTAGAACAAACATTAAACAGTTCACAATCCTCCATCTAGTACCTCACCTATGGAACTCCCTTCCCCATAATCTTCGGAACTGACACGTTAGTCTAGTTTCAAGACTTCATTAAAAAAATACCTCATCGAGAGAGCTGTAAATTAAACTCGCCTGACCATGATATGGCAGCTGACATTATATCATAATTAAGTATGAGGAGCCCAGTTTTCAACGAGCTATTTAGCTTCTATTGGGCTTCCTCGCCACTCTATCTATTACAAAAGTTAAGTCACTTAATATTACATTTAATTTTGAATTCCTACCTTTTCCTGCCCTGTAAATTGTGCATTCCTAGCAATAATATGTATATATTTTTTAATTTCTTTCTGTAATATTTATTCTATGTGGAAAATGTAAATAAATAAATAAATAAGTCGACCCAAATTAGAGTTTGTTTCGTCTCATGAAAAGTTCGACGTTTGGCCCAGGCCTTATGTTCGTCTGCATGATTTTATATCAAACAAATAAATTAAAAATTTGTACGATAAGGTACATTTAGCCTCGTTCAGCAAAACTTACAAAACTGAGCCTTTAAGCGTTGATTTAACCAACCCCAGGTGCTAGAGGTTTTTCCTTGTCTTATCCGTCTAAAACTTTGGAGCATGCAGGGTTTATATCATTCTAAAGAACGGACCTCTGAAGACAGGGTGGCTCTAAGTACCAAGATCACGAAAATTGCATTTAACTGATTTAGATCTTCTGCAATTTCAAATTATAACTCCTGACAGAAAACCTGTACATACTTATGAACTATGCAATAAAATTACGTGGTACACCATGATTTGATTTGTTGGTTCCATTTGATTTCAATAGGCCATTTCCGAGTTCCAAAAAATCTCACTTTCAAAGCGAGGCTAAGTGCGAAGCCATTGATATGAAAATGATTTTTAATTATGATGCAAATAAAACTCATTTTCACAACAAAGGTTTCGCACTTAGCCTCGGATCTATTGTAATCTAAAAAGCTTAACGTTATTTGCGTTAGGTCACATTCAATCAACAATCCTTTAAAACGTTAAGGGTAAGCGGTAAATTTGAGTCTCAACGGGTCTTAGTGACCGGACATGCATCAAAATATCGTAAAACGAGTTCATTCGACCTTATGCATAGCTTTGTAAAGACTAACACAACTGCTATAATGTATACGAGAGAAGCAAGTGACTACACTCCAGTACCAACTTACGGCCATAAAGCGCACAGCCATATTAGCCACAGCCTATACAGTTGTTTTGTCCCTATTAGGACGCATCTGGACCCGAAAGTCGGGTGTGTCTGCCCTTTACTGCCTAGGCGAATTCAAAGTTGGTTGTCACGTGATCTTAAGTCTGTATGTCCGCTATATCAGGCAAACCAATGTTTTTGTAAATGAGAATGGACTACCAAGTCATTTGGCAGTCAAGATGGGTGATCTGCAGCAAGTACACAGGACTTATATACAGTCACTCATATCTCGCTATTTTCCTAAAGAAAACCTGGTTAGCCATAAGCATGCGCGCGACAGGACAAGCCAGTGAAAAAAAGACGGCCGAGCTGCAGAATATTAACGTAAAGATTAACGGAATCACCAGGAAATTGAGAAATTTTAATTCTCAGGGGACAAAAACCTTGTACCAGAATAATTTAAACAATATTGCAATCTTTTTCACCTTTTTCGAAGGGCTTTTGAAGTTATCCGTACACTAACACCAAATTTCACAAAAATTGTGAAATTTTAAAATTTTTTATATTTAAGGGGTCACTTTGTGAGATTTGACATTTATCTTCTCCGGCTCCCATTAGAACTGAGTTTTTTTGGTGTTATTACAGATAACTAATTACATCTTTAGCCCTTGAAAAATGTCAAAAAGGATGCAATGTGCTTTAAATTATTCAGGTAAAAGGTTTTTGGTCACTGAAAAATCAAATTACTCAATTTCCTGATGGATTACGTCTTGAGTTAATTCGCTGTTGATATTCAACAAACTACCCTTGTGTCGATAAATTCTCATTCATTTCTTTTCTGCATACGATGAAACTGAAACATGTGGTTTTTAAATTCGGGTTTCACTCACAGCCACGTCACCGTTCAAAAGGAATAAATACTGTGGTATAGGTCGATCAATGAATACCAATCACATGACGACACTGAGGTACTTTTTGGTATTTCATCTAATCTGTAACGCACGCCGGTCAATTACCAACACGAAGCCAATAGAGCTGGTGTCCCAAATTCGTTTCATCATGGATATAGCCATGGAGAAAACAACGGTTGGAGAAGAAAACCCTTACATCGAAATCGAAATCGCATCCCAACAAACAGATGACGCAGTAATTTATGACGACGTAGCCCCTGACGAAATAATAGGTCCCGAGAAAGGAGGACCGCCATCGACAGAACCTGCTCAGTCCTGCCAAGAGAATTTTCTTAAACTCCAGCGAATGTTGCACATTGTTACTGCCGTGGCGATCATTTCTCTCCTGACTGCTGCTGCATCTTTGGCTTTAGCATTAATTGTGATGAATTCCCAAAACACCAAGGATTCCGTGAGATGCCCTGCAGATTGTGTTAATAATGCTGCTTTCCAAGGTACACAAGTGGGGTTTGTATTTTGTAGTCATAAGTACTAGTCACGCAATAGGATACTGCATTAGTTTCCCAAGTTCTTAAATAAATGGTAATTAGCACAAATCTAGGCTATTTAGGTTCTTAAATAGGTGCTTAGTTTGTGAAGAAACAAAATACATTGTAGCTAAGAATATTTAGCGGTATTTTCAGCTCATGATCATTCCAAATTAACTTGTATACCATTACAATTGTAGTTGGAGTAGTAAGGCACGTATGTCTCCTAGGGGTATCCTGAGTGTTGACGTATCTTATTTGCCCAACTGAACAGAATTTTATAGAACCCGTTTTAATTTTTAGGCTAAACAGGTTCTTCTATAGAGGGGTCTAACTTGAAAGTTTTAGCCTGATCAGGTTCTTAGTCTGCGAGTTTTTAGTCACTTTTTAGTGTAATTGATTATATTTCTTCGTCCTTCCATTTAATTATGTGTGTACACACACCAATTCAATACATAAACATAAAAATACAATAAATACATAATAAAATACATAAACCTATAAGGTCCATTTTCTTTCTTCTTTTTCTTCCATTTTCTCTTTAAAGGTTTGAAGAAGCTATTTCCTTAGATCCAAAAGGAAACATGAGGCGCCTCATGGTTCCTTTTTGAAGTTGGTACAAGTCCTATTTACAAAGTCGAAGGCTTGTTACGAATAATTGCCTCTGGGGACTAAATGCTCTGAATTAAACTTTCTTTCGAAAGTAGAGAGATTTGTCTTCATAGCAAATTTTTCTAGGTTCAAGAAGCAATAGGGCTTCTAGAATTGCACGACTGTAACATAAACGAGTTTCCTTTTTTGCAGCTCAACTCCAAGGAAAAGAGAAAAATATATCACACATTGTCGCGTCAGAGGTAGGTGCTACAATGAATCAGGAGCCCATAACCCAGGCGAGCAACTCCCATACAAGGCCTATGTCACGGCCATTTTACGGACCAGTTTATTTTTAGACACATTTTAGGGCACTTTTTCGCGCGAAAATAGAATCTCCACCGTGCCTATGAGCGCATTCGAAGTATAAGATATCAAAAAGGAAAACTAAACGCTAATAAAAGGCAAAAAATATCATTTTTAGGTCTGTAGGTCTTGCTGACTGGTTTTTGGAATTCCAAATTCGCGCCAAAGCCGTTCTAAAAATAAGCTGGTCCGTGAAAACGCCGCGACAGTTGGTCGCTCCGGCTTATGGACTCCTAAACGAACCTATGAACATAAGAGAGAAGTGTCATCCGCGCGCAGATGTAAAAACACCTACGAGGCTTCAAAGGCGCATTAATTAGGGTTTTCATGTAGACCTCATGTTAAGTAATCCAGTAGAATCTTCGATTCTGAATTCCACGATGTCGATTTCATATTCCAGGTACTGGATTTCCGATTCCTAGTCAGTTGATATTGGATTCCGGACTCCAATCATTACGGAGTGGAATTCCGGATCGGAATCCATGAGCTGGATTCCGGATCCTAAAGCCCAAGATTCTGGATTCCAAAATTTCCCGAATTCCGGAATACAGATTACCGTGTATGGGGCGATCATTTATACCTTATGATAATTTGGCTGGTCTGTTGCACCTCATAGAGACTTTTGTTCTTGGGCCATCGTAGTTTAATCAGAAATAAAACACAATCAACGTTGATAAACATTGTGAGCTTTTACATTTTCAAATAAACTTGACGTTTCGTATACTAATCAACATCTGTTGCACCTCATGTCAATTGTCCTGGCCACTCGAAACAAGCGCCAGCATTTTGAATTCTTTAGGAAAAGTAAATATTAAACTTTTTATTTTCAGAATAAGACTCTAAGTCCACGGGGGCCTGTTGGGCCTGTTGGGCCTGCTGGGCCTGCTGGGCCTGCTGGCCCTGCTGGGCCTGCTGGGCCTGTTGGTCCTGCCGGACCTTCGGGATACAATGGTACCCAGGGTCCTCCCGGTGTTGCAGGGGCCGCAGGATCTCCTGGATCGTCAGGGTCTGGTAACCTTTCACGTTGTTCTTACAAAAAAAAAGCCGCCACTCCAGTATCGGCCGGACATATTGCTTACTCAGACGTGATAGTCTCGGAAGCAAAGGTACGCCTCCAGTTATTCATTTATGGCCTGGTTCAGACGCCGTACTTTTCAAATGCCGAAACTAATTGAATAAGTTCGACTTTGGAGCGACACTGGCGCGACATCTGATTCAGACGGCGCACCGCGTGTCGCGTCAAAATTAAGTTCGACAAAAGTTCGACCGACTCTGTCGAACTTAATGCTTTTGCCGCACCAAACTAAAACTGCCGTACCAAATTGATTCAGACGCCGCTCTTTTCCCGTACTTGATCCATCAGTTAGGTTCGGCACGTGAGTGGAGCAGCTTCTGAACCGGGCCTAAAAAGTCTTTCAGGGGTTGAAAATTTAATGTATAATTAACTTGACACAGGCTACTGTGATATGTATCAATACTGATCTGGCGGTACTTATGATTTTCTTAACTTCTGATGCTGTCCCATGTCCTCAGAGGTCGATGCAATATGGGCGGCACCATAAACAGACTCAGTGAGTTTATCTTTCGGTGTACAGACTGTATGTTTTTGTAACTGGCTATGAATTATAACTGATGTGGTTGAGGTATTTGAACATACAGCTATTTCAAAAAACGTTGTCGGAAGAAAAGCAAAAAGCCTCTAAGAAAAGACCGAAAGGTAATATGGGATTTTTATAATGACCTGCTTCATGTCCCATAGGAGTTTTGCGGCCACTCAAGTATGTCCCTGAGAACAGTATCAGGAACGTCGTTCTGTAAGTGAGAGTACCAAACGTTGGACAACTCTTAAAACAGAGCGCCTTCAAACATTAGCGAGCTTAAGCAAATACAATGGCGACAAAAGAGACCGTGAACAACATATAGGTTTAAATTAACAAAACAACAACTTAATTTGTCCGTGGCCGTTGTTGCCCGACTACGGCTTGAAATGTCTCATGTTTCATAGGGGAAGTGAACAGCGGGCCACAAATTTCTTTTTTTTTTTTTTTTTTAACTTAAAACTAGTCCTTTAGAATTCATTTCCAGAGAAATCGCTATCATTTAAAAAAATGAACGAGGTGGAATGAAGGCGATGTGGTTGTCCATACATTCTCACATGCTGGTGTAGTGCAAAAAATTAGCTGCAGTAGACTTTGGCGTGCTTTAGTTAATTCTTGAGTCAGGAACCATTATTCGGAACAAAGTTTTTTTATAATGCTTTTTTTCGCCGACTTCGTTACTACGTTATGCAAATTGATAAAATGTAAAATTTAATGTCATTTGTCCTTGCTAATTAGCTGTCTGAAAATTGCTTTCAAAGATGGGAATAAGCAAGAGTGTAGAGTGTTTTCACTCACGTGGCCAGCATCTATGCAAATTTATTCGAACAAAAGAAAGCGTTTGCATAACAAAAGAGTTCAACTCCCAGAGGATTGGTTTGGGACACCAACATTGTGTTTCATTTTTTGGGACAAAATGGCCGCCGTGACGTCATGTGAAAAAATGATGAAAGTATGGCTTTTTCTAAAATGAATCATGAATCGACCAGTTTAGTGGAGTGATATTGCCAGCAGAAAGACGGATTTGAAACAACCCACATTACCTTGCGGTCTTGGCTTGAAGCCTTTTTCGTTTCTTCCGACAACGTTTTTTGAAATAGCTGTATCCCTTTGTTACAAGGGCACTTTAATACTTAAAATGTTTGATTTTACAGGGTACGAAAATACTTGGCGTCTACTGTGATTCAAATGACGCAGCAATTCGTCAACTTTTTACTCGCGTTTACAAGGGTGTCAAAATGTATAGATGTACATGTAAATATAGTGTAAAGTCTGGAACCGTTACCATGCAGTGTTACCTTCACTACTGGGAGTGTCCTACCTGAAACATCAAGAAACGTGCTGTACGCTAAACTTGTCACTTTACTCTCAAAAGCCAGCTTTCCCAGAGTAAGCCGATATGTATAAAATGCTGTCGTGGGTGGACATCTTCAATACTTTGTAGATATTTTAGTTCTGAAGCTGTCTTTTCCAGTTTTTGGATGTAATTTTCATCGACCATACACAGTTATGGAGGGAAAATCAGACCTGCTTAATTATGGCTGGGAGTTCCGCACTTCTAGTGGAAACCACGTTCATTGTTTGTTACCAGAGGTTTTTAAATGAAGTTCAAAAATATTAAACGCCTTAACGAAAACGCAGTATAAATTTATACCTCGGCCTTAGTTTGTGGGATAAGCAATTATTAAAAACAACCAGTAATGCATGAATCCAACAATAATAAACCGTTCAATAATCTTGTAGCTCCTGTTAATTAGGTCTTAAAAAATTAATCTATATGCTTCATGTTTTCAATTTGAAAAAACTCTCTTACTCGTTTTTAAATATAGAATATTTTTAGCAAGCAAACGTGAACAATGAATACAGTGGGCATTTCTTGCTTGTCATTTTTAAATACAATGTGTTCCACGTGAAACGCGCTATAAAATTAGCAATAAAATGAGGCCTTCCTAACGATACAGACGTCAAATGATATAGTTAAGTGCCTGTATATACAGAGACCTCTTCAGAACTGTCTATAATAGAAAGGTGTACATTTTATAGAATTGTCTGAAAGGAGATGTTCGATTTATGCTCGTGAAACACGATAACAAACAGCAAAAATGGCAATTTCGTTCCGTCAAGGAAAAAGATTTACATAGCTTTCGAGTCTCAAGGGTTAGGCTAACCTTAACGACGATTGTCATCTTAAAAAGGCATCCATTTTAAGCTTATTTGAGAGAAAAAATAAAGATGCGTCGTTACACGATGTTTGTTCTGTTATTATAATGTTGCCGCATTTGATTTCTAAGGCCACTTTAACTGCCGTATTCGTGTGGGACGTCGAGTCAGTTAAAAGTCAGGTCAGTGAGTTTGCTCAAATTAAAAGTTATACAGCAAGTCAAGAAATACTGTGGAAGGCTGCACAATATTCAAACAGTGCAGATAAGACAAAACAAGGAGCAAAGGAGTATAAAATCAAATTTTCAAAAAAGGATAAATGAGTTGGTTAATTAAAGAAACGGTCAGAATGTTTTTGAGCGGGACTGATTCTTCAAGGCGTGTCTGGTGGTCAAACCTAGAAGAGGATCTAGAAGAGGTGAAATCCTCACCTGATCAAGAGAGTGCTAGCTAAAAGGTAGAACACACAGTAATCTGATGAACAGTGAACCATACAAGCTGCCTCTGTTACACATGTTTTACATAGTCTAAAAAGGTTTTACAAATACAAATGTCGAAAAACAAAATGGACTTCTCAGTTTAAGAAATGGCGACATTTTAGCCGTGACATTAAAAGGGCTGAAGACTACTCAGTACCCACTTGTCTGGCACGTTTGGTCCCCTGAGCGCATAAAATGTGCCCTATTGACTCGCCCTGATGCAGAACCTCGTTAAAACTGTCGCTCGGAGTGCGCTTCGTAGAAAGGGACAACACTAAGCAAGGTGACCTTTGAAGTAAATCTTCGACTAGGAACAGACAAGTGTCAAGCTGTGGGAAGAGAGTAAAAAGAGGAGAGGGGAGAAGAGGGAAGAAGATGAGAAGGTGTTGAAGAAGAGAAGAGTAAGACGAAGACTAAGAAAACCGAGGCGACAGAAAAAGATGATGATGATGATGATGATGATGATGATGATGATGATGATGACGATGACGTCCACAGCGAGGTCGGCGACGGGAATGATGAAAATGATAACGAAGACTGAGAGAACGATGATGATAATGATGATTGTAAAAGCAATGAAACGGATTATGATGACGATATGATGATGATATTATGGCAGGATAAAGAGGAGACGACAATGGAGTTGTAATGTGTGGGCAGTTAATGTATAGGCGCGCAACCACTCTTATAACAATCATTTTCCAATCTAAGGCGAATCACGTAGTAGTCTACTATGCTCCTGCTATAATTTGAATAGTTTTGGTGGCGTTTATAAAGCCTTTTTCAGAATTAAGGTTTGCGTTCATCCCAATATTCAATAGTCCACACAGAGGTTTACTTTTATATAACAACTTTATGTCAAGTAATTAAAGGCCAAGCGGAGAATAATTTTGAAAGAGGTTTATTACTTGGATTAGAACCCGCCGCCCATAGGCCAGTTAGGCAGAATAACCACTACGAGTGTGGTAATTTTTAAATCTTCTGACGGCCCTGACACCTAACCCAGAGACTGATTATATGGGTGATGTCCTTTCAAGACGAATTTGTGTTGGAAAAAACATTCCCTACGCCTAAACAAACTAATATAGGCTTTCTTTGCCCTCTTTGTTTACGGTCAGAAAATAAAGCTACCAACAGGAAATTCCAAGCGGGATTTACCGTACTTTGAATCATTCTGTTGCATAACCAGTTTTTCTAGATCCTTAAGGCAAATACACGATGCACGTGTTCGGAGCACTCTGTATTCATTATCGCCGCAAGGTCAAGAATACGTGTATAGGCAGTAATCATGACATTTGTCAAGAGTTCAGTGCGCGGCCATATTCTTTTCAGGATCGGATTGGGCCCTGTATAGGACCATCTCTAAGGAGAATGATACAACACTATTCAGAACAAGGAGATAAAAAACCATAACAAGTTCCGCAGTACGTTCCGGTATATGAAGCTATGTTATTTTTAAAATAACTTCCCGTCTGCATATTTTTGGTCACAGGCATGCCGCCAAAGAAAGACTGACTTGTTTCTCTTGAATGCGATTACATGTATATTGAAAGAGTTGACATCTTAGTTGTCATTGCGTTAACTTAGGGTAATTAACCCAGAGCACCAGCTATCAGTTACGGCCGGCCGTTATGGGCTGTTTACTTTTTCTTCATGCCATGCGCCAGCGAATCGTTTGGAAGATGGCTTCGCGCTATTTGCCCCACGCTTTTCCTCGCTCGCCTGAAAAACGCGAAAAAAGATGCCTGTTGACTGCAGAGTAGGGAAACATGAAAATTAAGGAAAGAAATGGGTAAAAAAATTAAGTTGGGGAGCGTATACTTGGACTTCGATGACATGAACTCACCCCATATTACCTGAATGCACTAGTGGGTGGTGGGAGACTCCCTCACGATGAAATAAACGGGGATTCCCGGTAGAACATTAGAATAAAATACAAAAAGAGAAATCTCTGGGTGGCACAAGCTATATTTGATCCCTACAAAAGACCGCAAAAACACAGAAAACCACATATAAGCTACTAGTGATTTTCATTTCGAATGTTGTCTCGGGTACAATTAGTTATGTTACATGTGTTTTATTATTTCTTTACACGCAACCCTAAGCTACCTGTGTGGTTAGAAATATTGACTTTCCGTCCTTGTCACCTTTAGTAAGACCAAAATCTGCAGTTTACACACCTACAGGGAGATGACGATACCCGTCAGTTTCATATATAGGAGCTCGGCCTCTATTAGGCTTTAGTCCCGGGTCTGAGCGTCTGGGGTAAATCATTGACCATCGCAAAAGTTGCTGACCGCACTGAGCATCTCGGCGCCCATAGCATAGAGCAGCAACTTTACTGAGGCACATCCATCGACGTACACAGATGTTGTGACGGAAGCATGATGATAGCAGAATTGGTCCACCCAGAAAGGTAATAGGCTCCTGGTCAAACAGTATACACAGATTTTTAAGTAAGGTCACGAAGATCATCCAATCTTCATTGTGTTAACACTTCGTACAAACCAACCCTTCTCACAGTGTGGAAGGTAGACTGTTACAGGCTCCAGGATAGTAATGTCCAGAGGCCGTGAAAACGGATGCGAAAAACTTGTGGGGCTGGGAATAGAGGAGGCTTCTTTTCCATCCACCCACAGGTTCATCCAGTACGTGTTTACACATCTCAGAGAAACATCTTATAGAAAGCAAGTAGCTAGGTTTTATTCCAGTGAGCAAGAACATACTTTTTATGCATGAAACCCCTTGCAGGGTTGAACTATTCTCCCATGAAGAGTAGAAAGAGTTTTACCCCATTGAATCAGACCCTTGTATCACGTGGTTTGGAAGCCATGCTTTAAAGCTTCAAATGATCTCAGTCATCTGTGAGTTAATTGATTTTAGCTAAGAAGCTGGAAATCGTATGTTCGTCATCTTTCCCTGTCTATCTGCTTGGTTTGACCTGGCCTCGCTCCTTCTGGTATCTTATTCAGAAAGGGCAAAATTTGCAGTAGGGGTATTCAGGTAGGTATTTTTTGAAAAAGCAGTGTGACCTTGCGTAAGGCACATCCTTAAGCAATGAATCGTCTGGCAGTGCTCCATATACCTTCAGGTATCTGGAGCCAGTGCCAGGTATGTTGATAGAAAGTTATAACTTGGTGTTTTTGGGGAGTCTTTCAGCGAAGTACGTACCTACTGGTCACACACAGCACAGCTCAAATGCACAGATTCAGTGTTCTTCCTATGTTCTTGGATTCAACATGCTTAAAGCTTCAGTCTATGAAAACGTCCTCGGGCATTTTCTCGCTATCGCCTGGACTGTGTACAGATATATTAAGAATGGGGAAGTTGTGATTGGTCTGCATTGTTTTGCTGTATTGCAGATGTGAGGGTGCATAGTCTCTAGACGAGTCAGAAATCATCACGGACAGCATGATTCATCTGAACAATTCCCCCTCTACAACACAAAAGAAACCGTAAAACCAAGAAAGACTCAAAATTTTTAAAATTTTGTCCATCCAAGTCACTTGATAACTTCTTTTGTCTACACAAAAATTTATACGCGATAATGCTCAGGTGGCATGGATTCCAAAGTTGCCTTTTTATAATTGGCGGCCTCTTAAGTTTTGCTGTTTGCTTAAGAAAAGTCATTAAAGCTAAGGTAGACTTGCTGGAAAAGGAGAAGAAGCCGAAGGTGGAGTAGAACATAGAATATAGAGTTCCAGTATAACACTTAAAATTTGTACTTGAAGTCTCTTTAAGTTTTCTTGAGTTTAAAGTGCACTTAAACTCCACTTTGACCCGTGCACTTTGATTGATAGGTGTGTTACTTAAGGCTGATACTCTACAATTAGCAATTTTATTAGCAGGGTATTATGTTATCCACAAGGGCAAACACCCTCGGATAATCTGCATTATTCTTCATATCAAACGAAAGGCGAATCCAGGAATTGTTTTATTATTCATTCAACATATTTGCTTCTTTCAATATGCTTACTTTTATGTTAAACTTCTGCCTGTTCATCAGCAGCAGTTTCAGAATATGAAAGGGCTTTTCTAGTTGATATTCTTCACAGAGCAGTTGTATTGCTATGTTTTGAGGCACTTGTTTGACTACTTTGTCTTCGAGTAACGCGTGCTATCTTTCGCCATTTTCCCCAGGCGCCAGTTGTTCAAAAGCTATACAGGCTATACGGCGCCATCGACCCGATCTGAACAAAAATTTGCCAAACCAATTACGTTATCCACTGGAAAGAGGTTTATCCATTGGGTAGCCCTATCCACCGTTTGAACTGGGAACAGATTTGCATTGTTTATAATGTATCGGGGCTGTACTACTGTAATAGGGAAACAGCGTCGTTCGTCCCCTCTTGTGTCGATAATCAGTTAATTGACGTCCACTAGCTGGGATATTGACAAACACCTTCCAAATGAGGTCAACGCTTAGCCTGAGAATTGCAACAGTTATAAACTAGGGAAAAATTACTCCTACCAAAGTCAAGGGGGTAATAGCTGCCTCAAAGTAAAGGTTATTTCGTGCCGAGTGGGTGTTCGGAGGAAAAGATAACATTGATGTTTCAGATTAAGGGTTCAAAAGTCCATTTCAGCAAACAGTTGATCAATTTGAGGTGCATTCGCATCATTCTGAACTAATACTAAACAAAACTTTTGTTATAAATCTCGTTTTCCGCGATTTTGGACCACTGTAATGCTATTTGTATCTCGATACTGTATTTTAGCCAGATCTGCGGACAAATCCTGAAGAGTTAATCCATTTATTTGATCCAGAAAAAAAGGTCATTCAAAAACACACTTGGATACACGAAAGCGTAAATACATCTGGCTGTGACTTTCACATCTTCAAGTTTCCAATTAAACAATGGCACAAGTTAAAAAAGAAATTGAGGCTGTTTGTTTAATTTCTCTCCTCACTGCGTTGGTTTGCCGACTTAATCCTCTTATCATGCGGTCCGATTTTGGTAGTCTGTTCCAGAAAGGTAGATACGTACATATTGGGGACGGAGCAGAGGGAAGTAAGCACCATTCCCCACTATCCTAAATCTGAAACAGGCTAGACTAGACGATTAAATGAGCACACTTTGAAAGAAAATTTTCAGCACACTCGACGGTGCAATGACGCATGTTGAAATTTTGGCATTTCAACATCATGGAAACAAGATACTTCAGATGAGAACGCAAGTTGAAGTGCACTTGATTATCGTCAGAGAATGGTCGACTCTATTCTCAACGTGAAAGCACTTTTGAGAGAGTCTTACATAATGTGAGCCTGGTTTGTAATTTTTTACAACCGTTCCCTCTAGAGGCAGTACAAACTGGCGATACCGTAACCCTTTTTTAATATTCGAAAGAACCTAAACTCTCAGCCTGGAAAAAGAGGATTCGACACCGACAAAATATATGTTTGTGGAACCAATTTCGTCAATGCGGAGACCGTAGAGAAGAACGACATTTGAAAAAAAAAGCAGTTTTACATTGAATAACAACATTCCAAAGCCAATTTCCTCTTGGGTCAAAGACGTTAAGGATTTGGAGTAAAATCGCGTCTGCGTTACGGTATTAAAATTCGTTTTTATGATGATTTTTGCCTGATCTTTGTCTGTCAATGAAAAAAGGGCTAATGACTTTTACGGCAGATCGAAAAAAAGTTACAAATGTGCTGATAGATTTTCTGTAATAATTACCCTGCAAAAAAGCCACATGTACCAAACACTTGTTTTCAGTGTCCTCGAGCATGTATTTTTGCTCCGAGGTCGACATCCTAGGGTACATATATCCGAGCGTCCCAGCGTTAACCGTCATTGAATAGCATCAAATAACGACAGGTGATTGAACCGCATTATCTTGGTCACATCCCAATACATGTGATTGGATCGTTTAAATGATAACTCGTCCCACTGAGGTGTCTTGGGGCCTATAAAGGGAATTTCATTGGGGGTCTCTTGGTGCAGATTATTTCGAAAGCAGACTAGAACTTGAGAGAACGCAGGGACAGGATCTGGTCACTTGAAGCGATGAACAACACCGTGCGCGTCGAAGAAAACATTTATTTCGATATGGAAGTGAAAAGCGAAACTTGCGCAGGTGTTTATGAGAATATCGTAGGCGAAGGTTCAGTGCCTGCAATAAAACAAACAGCCTTTGAGAAGCAGGGGAATGAGAAGAAAAGGGTTCCAAGACAAGCCACTCGTAACCGCCACACTCAGCCAGATCCAGGGGTGGTTAAGCGACTGTTGTGTATAATCATCGCTGTTGTTGCTGTTTTCTTTCTGATCGCTGCTGCTACTTTGATTTTAGCAGTGTTGGTGATGATGTTTCACACGGCTAAAACCGCCTCAGGAGATTTTGCCTCAGTTCAAGGTAAGTCCAATGGCCAGATTTTGAACTTTTTTCGGTGTGAATTCATTGAAAGGTTAGTGGGATAAAGACTTAAAGTCTTAGTTGTGTAGAAGAAAGGTCAGAGAGGAAAGTAGGAAAAGCCATCTGCAGACACCTCCCTCTTTACTCCCTATTGACGCCTTCGCCTGCTGCGCCTTCAACCGCAGTTGAAAAGTTTATATGAATTCACCGTTCATTTTCTCTTCGTTACCTCTGGCCACAGGCCTCCGGTGTTACGTTTCAATATCAACTTAACATATAACAAAACGATCCTTGCACGTACGTCGCTATGAATATTTCGATGCACCAATAGATTCGTTTCCGTGTCAAAAAACTGTTAGTTTGGATAAAATAACAAGGGTGAAACTGTTCATGACACCTTACCCGGCTGATATCGCCATCAGGGTTTCCGTAAGAGACACCTTAAACGTGCAAACAGGACATTTATTATTTATCTACTTTAACTTTTTAATCCATGATATCGTTCTTAAATAGGAAGCACTTGAACATCTTGTAACAGGTGGCTAGTAAAACGTGAATTTTATTTATGGGATAACGTTTACAAGTGCAGCTTCGTGCTCTTACAGGTTTAATATTATTCCACCAGGTAATCAACTTTGTTAACTTTCTGCAGGACGATTACAACTTTGTTTACTCTCTCTGTGTATAAACTAGAGGTTGACGTACCATGACCCTGGCTGATATTTAGGGACGTGAGTGAATAACATTAGCTCATTGATCCCTCCAGCTGAAAAGTTTTCTCCGCCCTGCAAGTGCATCGACCCAGGCATAACTTTATCTTCCAAGATCTCAATTATCTTCGGCGAGTTCAAAGTCATGACTCCCAAATTAATTCACATGGATTACATTGTGTACCCACAATACAAGATCTATTACACTAACTTTAATTGAACTTTGTTACGACTTAAAACTGGGAAAAACGATTAAGTGAATCCTAGATAACCAAAAAATTGTTAGTGTATAACTATGGCAAATGACAATATTTAAAAAATGAAAGTTAATTGACAAAACGTGTACTGGCCAATTGCCAGCGTCTGTTGAAATTAATCCCTGTTTTTATTTGGTAATAATTGATACTCAAGAATGAGTGGTGGTTATAGATCCATCGCCGCAACTGGCAGTAAAACAACAAACCAAGGCCACAAACTACTCATGCACATTCGTGGAAGACTTACATTAACTTTTGTTTTCCTAGTCTGCCAATCTTATTCAATTCACAAACGACATTCTCTTTTTCAGTTGTTTTTTTCAAATCTCACATAATAAACTCGGTGTTTTGATTTCAAATGCCCCAGGGAAGACTGTATATTCCCTATCAGAAGAGAATATGAAAACCAAAACTTCTGCAAACAGAGTGTATTGGGGAGTTCGAAAATAGCCAGTTTCAATTATAAATTACCTTGCATTTTCTACCCTTTCACAACAAGCAACTGTAACAGTCATGCCGCTTTAATACTATTACCTGTTCCGCGTGAGTTAATAAGTATAAGTTGTAGTTGAAAGAAATGACGTGCGTATATTCACATGTACAGTTACTTACATAACTTTAAATTGTTTACATCGATAATTCAGAGGAATTCCATCTAGCCGCGACCATTGTATATATTGTATCGGGTATGTTACAATTTACGCCTATAAACAAAACGTTATGTCTGTTCCGGCTGTTATATAATAGCACACGTGATTCATGAACACGTGGAAACAAAATGGAAGTTATGGAGCGGGGCGGGGGTGGGGTGGGGAATTTTCGAGTCGCAGGAATTTCTTTTTCGTTATAAAATTCCTCGTATGAATTTCTTTAGGCCATGGTATGAATATTTTTTAGGGTTAATTGGCGTGCATGAATTTTTTTTCATTTAATTTTCCCTTGCGCGAAATTTTTTTTTGTGCTTCGTCGGTCCCTAAAGGGCTATGTTACGCTAATTGCTATCTTTTAAAAAGCTAAAACTCTTTAGCTAGCCTGCTTTGCAGCCGGCCCACGTATCGCGTGTTGTATTGATTGATATAGGAAGCTCCAAATAGAAGGTTTAGAGTGTCTGCGATGCAGGCTAAAACTGGCACAAATTAAATTCAAGTTGGTCAAGTTGGTCCAGTTTTATTATTCAAGACTTTACTTAGGCATCTTTGCCCACGGATGGAAAAGATGGACATGGAGTAAAACTTGAAAAAGTTAGATCATTTGTGCCTGCAAAAACCAGCCAAAAGTATTATGGTTAATGCTCGCTGATAAGTAAACATTTTGTGTATGGGAAAAGTCACTTAGTTATTAATGTCAGTTACCAAATATTCGATTTTAAAAATGAATTCAGTAGAGTAAATCGGTTCGACTCTGTTCGGAATAGCGCGATCCATCCCACGAAAATTTCCGGAGATAGTGTCGTTCCATATAGATCGTTTGGAGGACTGGTGCGATCGAAATTGATCAGCTACAGGTTCCATTTGAACATTCCCGCTTCAGTTCCAAACATTGCGGAGATTTCGCCCAAAGGTTGATTGGAAAAGAATCTTACGGTTTCGGTGACCCGCACTAAAACCCTAGGTTTGTTGATGGCGATTTCATCCTTCGCTTGAATCTTTGCCGGCCTGCAAGTCGACCGTGAAAAATTTCGCAGCGAGAGAACAAAAAACAAATTGGTATCTATGCCAGTTGAATGGGTGCGATTTTACTAACCGACGGCTTAGGAGGACAGGATCAGGAGCTAATAATATAACGGTCAGAAGTCACGTTTCATAAAATTACGGAAATGTCCGCCGGAAATGTTGGTTAATAAGATTAAATTCCATCAAAAGTTCTGTTTTTATAGCCCTCCCCTTTCTTCTAATGCTTAATTTTAAACTCCAAGTTAGGATTCTCCAGACGCCAAGCGATACCTCCTTATAAGGGTCACACGGGTAATTATGGTGCCCCTTCCTGTAGAAGTAAAAGGGTTTTTTGTATGGGATAAGGTACGAAAATCATAGGTTTGAATCGCCCCATGTACAGTGCTCAGAATTCCAGTAGATTTTTGCTTGTGAAATCTGGTATCCTGGGCCGGACTTTGGAATCCTTAATTCAGCGCAAGGAATCCGAATTCGGAATTCCGCTAAGGATTGTAATCCGGAATCCAAAGTGTAGAGTCCAGAATCCAAGACTCTCTTGGAATACCTACATAGGGCTATTTGGATCATTTATGGGAAATCGATTAACAGTCAAAGATCTGCGGTTTCTAAGTTTTAATTTTATTAAATACACCAAACGGCTATTTCTAACTGAACGGTAAAAGAAACTTCTCCTAATCACCATCTGGCGCAATTATGTCTTCCTTACAAACGGTAGCGCTTGAAAGGTCAACTAGAGTTCTACTTGATAAGGACAGAGGTCTTAATCAGTTTGACGAACAGACCCTTCCGAGGTCTTTTTTTTTTTTTACTGTTTTGATAAGGACCAGTTAGCGAATGTCCATCATCACTACTGGAAACAGCGCCTTTAAAATTAGTAAACTTGCCAAGTTTGAAAGTGATACGTCAGATGCGGGCGAAGATATAGCTTCAACAACAACGAGCTTCACAAAGTCCTGAAATTTTATAGGTGTTTCTCAAGTGAATCATGGAGGGCATAAACTTGCCTCCCATCATATAAACGTCTTCTAATTTTCGTGACTTTACGGAGCTATTAATCGTCGTTAGTTTTCAACAAATCACTCTCAAACTTGTCAAGTTTACCAATAAGAATGTCGATGGATTTCGATGGATTTCGCCAGCAGGTTCATGTTAAAAGTTGAAAAAGCCGCCGTGGAAGGGACTGTTATTTCACACTTTAAGTTAAAAGTGTTCCTGCTCTTTTGCGGGCTTTTTTTTTTTTTTTTTTTTTTTTTTTGTTAATTTAATTCACTGGAGAAATGTTTGACCTCTTCCTATCATAACAAAAAATTTTCTCTCTCCTTTTCTTTTATGTTATTCCCCACACGTCACTAACAGCTGAATTGGAGGAACTGAAGCAAAATGTTTCTCGCATGGCCAGTGATTCAAAGGTAAGTTAAAACTGCAATTATACGTACTGGAGTAAACAGAATATATTTGAAAATCACTGATGATAGTTAGATGTTTAGACTGGTTGTTCAGTTGATTGGGCGATTCTATTTTTGTACGTTGGTGAGTGAGTTGGTCGCCTTGTACTCTAGACAGTTTGCTATTGGGCTAGACTGGTTGGTCTGTAGGCTATCAGAGTCCTATCACTATAATTGTCTGATATGTAGTTTATTTTTAAGAATCTAATATTCTTCAGCTGGTAACTTTTCCTTCTTTCTAAAGGAGAAAATTAAAGTGCTTCTCCAACACATAGAAAGAAACAGAGAGGAGGTGGCCAAGCTAAATAAAAAGGTAATTTCAAAGACACATGAAGGTAGATTTGGACGCCATTTATTATGCTCTCATGAACGCTTCATGCATGAGGTAATGACCATTTTCTTTTTTTACTGCAAGCAAACTTTGCTACAGGTTGTGCTCTCTAAATCCCCGGTAGCCGACCATCCTCTGATCCTTTTGATTTAGATAGTAACTTAATTTAGATAATGCCTGGCGTTTTCAAAGTTTAAGGGAGCTGTGAACTTTGAGGGGCTTTGCTTGTTGGTTAACTGGGTACGTCTAGTCACCTGATGAGCCTTAGTCATATTAGTAATGGGGTGTGTAAAGTACTTTGTTACATCGACGTTCAAAACGACGCTGCTCATTATTTTCTTTTTGTTTCCATCAGTATAATGTGACAGCGCTTTGGCAAGAAACACACACCAACAGAGAGGGTGTAAAACAGATCATTGAAAAGGTACTTGGAAAACTGACACTGATACAATACATTCAAACCTTACATTTGGCCGCCATACTTGAGAAATGGCTAAATCACCACTTCATACAGTTGGACTGTTAACTAAAAGATGAGAATGAAGAGGAAGCGAGAGTAACCGTTCAATAGACTGAGTTCGCTTTATAGATCTTTATACAAGTTTGACAGTATTTTTTAAAAGAATTCATCTCCGAAGGTGAAAATTAAAAGAACTCAAATTTTTGTCTTGAAAACATTAGGAAAACATGACGGCGCTTTGGCAAATGGTTCAAGCAAACAGGAAAAACATAGAACAGCTGCATCAAAAGGTAACTTCAAGTTGCACATTTGCTACGAGTTAGAATCCTTCAGGGCCATAAAAACTGACTTTAGTTGCTACTAATTTCGTTAGCATACCGTGCCATATATGACCTAAAAGAGGTATGTGTTCATGTCAAGGGTGGAGTTTTAATACCAAAGGTTACCACAGTTGAACCTCTATTAGGCGGCCAGTATCCAAAGTCCCGAAATAACTGAAGAACAGAATGAGGAATTATAGCTCCATGACGCTGCCTCTCTTATAAGCTGCCGAGGCCAATTTTTGGCCGTCCCAAGAAGAGTTCTTCCACTGTTTTCACCTCTCTTAAGCGACCACCAAGCGATGATACACTTAGTTTGGCTTGGTCTTAAGAATATCATGCCCGAAAATGAAGTCCGAAGTACAAGGTAATTACCAGCTGTGGACCAGTAATACTGCTCTCGTCGTGTGTTTGTTTTAAAATACACTGTAAAATGATGTTTCTGCTAAAGAATATTCTAGTATATGACGAACCTCCATCGAGCGAGGGTGGCCGCTCTATAGAGGTTGAACTTTTGCATTTATAAATAATTATCAGTGGAATGAATAATTAGAGCTCCTAGTTTATAGTAAGTCTGGATAGGGCAGAGAATTTCGGCGAATATTCCACCAGAAATTAAGGTGGCAGAATCGCAATTCAACCTGGTCGTTTAGTACACATTCCAACCAAAAAATCCGCCCTCTCACAACGACTGATATTTTTCTCTCTTCCTGTCAGAAAAACATGACAATGCTGAGGCAACTGGTACAAAAAAACAGAGTAAATATACAACAGCTGCGTCAAAAGGTAAGATCTTTGATGGAATCCTTCGGTGAACAGGCCAAAAAATGCACAATTGCAAGTCAGTTTACAATTTAATTTACTTGGGTTCTCTTGCTGTAGTTAGTACCTCTGTCCGATGCATTTTTTTAGAGAGGCATGGGCCTTCAGTCTTTAGTTGTTGCAAACTGATCAATTGATTATTACTGTTGAGTTTAAGTGACCCACAAGGGTATTTCTGGCCCCCCTACTTTTCGTCATCTTTGCGTCCAAGCTATTCACGGAAAGTATGTTTTAACATTCCCTTCATAAGAGGCCTGGTCAACTACAGAAATTGATTAGTCATTAATCTTTTCGTTGGTTTCAAATCCATTATAAGCTTCTTTATTTACATTGTGTTCATAACTGTTTTTTGTACGTAGGTGATGAACATAAGTGAACGTCAAGGTCCTAGGGGGGCCGTTGGACCGGCTGGTCCCTCGGGTCCCCCGGGATACAATGGCACCCAGGGCCGTCCCGGTGATACAGGGCCACGTGGACCGTCTGGTTCCGGCAATCTGACGCAATGTTCTCACAAGAAAAAGGGCAGTTCCCCGGTTTCAGCAGGATTTCATGCTCAAATAGCGGTCACCGCGAAAGAAACAAAGGTGGGAATTTCAACAACTATAGTCTGATTATTTTAACGTCTCAGTTTTCCAGGGGAAAAATAGGCCCAAAATAGCAGTAACCAAAGGTTAGGAAGTGTGGGCGAACATGTGGGAATACCTTATGGGGTGCATGTCCTTTGTAACATTACCGCTCTTTCTCGACTTCCAACTTCTCAGCATGCAGCTGGAAATGCAGCATCAGCACCTTGGAAAACGCTGATGGTGCAGTCATGTAGTAGTGTACTGTTCACGTGAGCAGACAGAGCTGAACAACGTCTGCGCATGTGCAGATACGGGAGAGGTTTGGAATCTAAGCTAGTATCGTTTACAAAACATCATCACATTTTGGCGATTTTTAAGGTGGATTCTGAATATTTAAGGTTCCCATTTAAACTAAAGGTAGTTTATTTCATACTTCGTTCAATTCTCGTTTATAGTTTTGTAATTCTTTTCTTATACTTTTTTCTATGAACAAAAGAAGACGCACAAACGAAGCGTCTCTGCTAAATTAGTATCGTTTGCAAAAGGATTTTCTAAACATCCTCAAATTTTGGGGAATTTTAAGGAGGATTCTGAATATTTAAGGTTCCCATTTAAAGTAAAGGTAGATTATTAGATCATACATACGTTATAGCCTACTAGTAGAGAAACGCGCGGGCTTTTTGGCGGCAAAAAGGGATTAAAAGTCTAGCTTTAACTAGCTTAATTTTTTTTATTCTCTATATTTTTGACCAACTAGTTGGATATTACTAAAACAATTATTCCTATCGCCCTCATGGGCTATTGACTCAGAGCCCATTCGGGCTCGAGAAATAACTGTTAACTATAGCTATGGGGATAAGAGACAAACTGCCAAAACAAATTTAGAGGGGATAAGGGATAGCTGCAAAATATTTCTATTTCGTGGCAAAATCATGTATTTAAATAGGCATCAGGGAGTTTAAGATCCAACGACGCGGACGACAACTAGAACGTCAAAAAAACAATAGGTTTAATTAGCAAAACAACAACTTCGCACGTGCAACACACTTTTTGTTCATTTCTTTCCCGTTTTTGCACGACTACGACGTGAAAATGCCTAATTTCGCGTTTTATGGAGGACGTAAACAAGCAACGACGAAATTTTATTTCTCTTTCTGAGCTTGAATATGGTCCCTTGAAATTCAGCTTCAGGAGGGTTCGCCTACAATTGACAAAGTAAGTGGGTAGGAATAATCACTATAAAGACTGAAAAAACTCAAATTCACTTTTTAAGCGACGTTCTTGTCGCCGTCGCGCCGTTGGATCTTAAAGTCCCTATTGTGAGAAAGCTATCGTTAGCGTGTAATGTCGTGCAGACGTTGAGAACCTACAACTTACTTTTGCCTTGATTCATTTTTTGCTGTAGGGATATAAATTCCTTGGTGTGAACTGTGACACAAATGATGCAAACGTTGTGCAGCTCTCAAGCACACCGCTTTCAAATGGTTTAAGACAATACAGGTGTTTTTGTAAAGGTTCTGTTAGTCTTAAAGTAGGAGACACTAACAACAACAACAAGAACTTGCACTGTTACATTCACTTCTGGGAATGTCCAGTCTGACTTGGATAGAGAGAACTTGGACACACTGCGCAGCAAACATATCAACGAAGACAAGAAAAGCTTGAAGCCTTTGAAATGCTGATGAAACTGACTCTCTACTTTTACATTTAATGTTTTCTAGTCTACCTTTTGGAGATGAATTAAGGTCGAGAACAACATAAGTAACTTCTGACGATGAAACTGTTAAGCTCTATTCCAAATACGCCTTCTCTCTCCCTCATTAAACCACGACAAAAATACGACGCGGGTTAATAAACCTAAGACAGTCTCTTTCTTTTACAGACTACTGTGTCGTAAGCGACCGGCCATCAGAAATCACATTTTATCTATCTCCTTATATGTAGGTGCTGGGGTTTACCTAATTTTGTACCTTACACATTGCTTCAGTTTTGCTACTAACTCAATTCCACTTAAAACCTTAATGATTGTGAGGGAATAAATGATCTCCATCAGATTTCTTTTTCGACTTGCTCCCCTGCGAAAACATTTTAACCCTTTAAGTACCAACATCAATTTTCTCCCGCTGATATCCATACATGGTCAAGAGACTAGGTTATGAGAATTAATAAACTGACCAAAGAGAAAATGCCTTGATCTTTTACCAAATTCTCTCAACACATTCCTTAATAAAATGTATAGAGATCAGTTTGGAGAATTTGTTTGTGTATGTTGGGGCTTAAAGGGTTAATGTCACCTCCCATAGATGCCAGTCTCCTTTAGCAAGCGTATCTGATTCGACTGTGGTTCGTCGCTTACCGTAACAACAGTTAACTACATGGTGTAACGCGTTTAAGAGAAAAAAAAGTAGAATGTGTACCAGATGTAAGTAGTAAAAGTAACTTGTTAAAACTTGTGACCAGTTCGGGCATGCGTCATTCAAAGAACCTGCTGGAGGTGTCTCCACAAACATTCGTGTTGGACACTGTGTCGCCCACCAGTGACCAAAATCAAAATATTTATATGAAAAATGTATACTACAGTAACGTTTTAAGTGATCTATTCTCCACAACAATAACTGTATTCGCTTTTGTACTTGATGTAATTACTATGTTTTAGACTTTTCTCAGCTTCAAAAAAGTGAGGATAAACAAAGCAATGACAGCTAAACTGCTCTGCGTGTGCGTTTTAGAAAACTCCTTTTATTTTCCCACAAACAAAGACTGACTTCACTCACCAGTCATTTGCATTCGCTGTTGTGATTGGTGAAATTCCCAAATGATGTAAGATTGGAGAAAAATGTCCCTAAAAAAATTCTGACGTCGTCCGTAACACCAAGAGATGTTCAGATTCTCCATTTTTTTTTTTTGTTTCGCGTTATTTTCAAAAACGTGACTTACAAAGCAGTTTAGATGAACAAGGGTACTTAAAAAAGTACTTTGATTCGAAGAAATTATTTAGTGAAAATCAATTGTAAAAATGTGTCCCATTTCGTTTACTGTTACTACCTCGCGTTTTCACATAATACCTACAGTACTTTACCTTTTCCTTTTTAAAACTGTTTATAGCGAGCTTACAGCAGTCATATTGTAATAAAGTTTTACTATGCCTTACGCCTGTGTGTTGAGATTTTAACTTCATTCTTATTTTCCGGCCAAGACTAGCTACTAACAAGCACTCAGTGAGCAAGGTTAGCTCCTCACCAAATCATTTCTTAGTAAATTACCCAGATTACCCATGATTTTAGCTGCAGACCAGCTACGGTTGTAAAAGACTGCAAGAAGTCCTTAACTGTGTCGGGGGCGGGTGAGCATGATAATACTAACGTGCTGCTGGCAGTGTACACTGTCAAGATCGCCAAGACAGTTACCAGATCCGTTGGCTACATTCCACCTATATTTGATTTGTATAGATGAGGACATGCCACAAGGACGAAAGTACACATGTTCTCAGTAAACGGTGCGATTTACTTGTTACAGGAGGACCTCTAGTGGAGTCGTCTGAGGCTGCAAGCTATGTGCGGTGTGGTCATACGAATAAAACTTCTTTGGCAATATCTTCACATGAGTTTATTTGAGTATTTCACAAAATTAAATTTCGAAATTTCGGCAATTTTTTACTTTGGCCACTTCTGGAAGTAAAAGAATTTTAATCACCTTCTACGGACTGGCTTCAGTGATGGTTGTCCGGGGTCCACACACGGCCGTCGTCCACTTGACGGGGGTTAATATGTAATGTAAAATCAAATGCACGGACCTTGATCAGCGGGTTAAATAACTTGAATTCCTCAAGCACATAAAAAAGAAGTTATTTTCAAATTTGTTTTTTAACCCTGTTCGCGGTAGTTCCTAGAGATGATTTGAGTAAATATTATTCTCTCCTCTCCCTCTTGGCTTACAGGCGGCACGCCCAAGTTTAAGAGGTGAAGAGAGATTTTTTAAGTAAAAAACTCGTAGATTGAATCGTCATGTTTTAGCTAGCTAGCCAATTGCAGTTTTCATGCGTTGTTAGTTTGGATAATTCAGTAATTTTTCTCTCCTCTCCCTCTTAGCTTACAGGCGGCGCGCCCAAGTTTAAGAGGTGACGAGAGATTTTTTCAACGGTAAAAACTCGTAGCCTGAATAGACCATGTTGTACTAGCTAGCCAATTGCAGTTTTCATACGCTGTGTTAGTTTGGTTACTCTTTCCTCTCCCCTTAGCTTCCAGGCGGCGCGCCCAAGTTTAAGAGGTGAAGAGATTTTTTAGATTGAAACATTCGTAGTTTGAGTCGATCATGTTTTACTACCTAGCCAATTGCAGTTTTTATACGCTGTGTTAGTTTGGTAAATCAGTAGATTATTCTCTTCTCTCCCTTTTGGCTTACAGGCGGCGCGCCCAAGTTTAAGAGGTGAAGGAGATTTTCTTAAAGTGAATAGTACATAGCTAAAATCCATCGTGTTTTAGCTAGTAAATGCAGCTTTTTTTACATTGCTTTAGTTTGTATAATTCGGTAGATTTTTCTCTCCTCTTCCTAATGGCTTACAGGCAGCGCGCCCATTCTTAAGAAGCTGTGATAAAGTATAAAGTAAGTCACAGCTTGAATCGATCGTGTTTTAGCTAGTGGTTACAGAGTTGTTGTTTTTGTTCATATTTTGTTTTTGTTAGTGTATATAATTCAGTAGATTTTATTTTCTCTCCCTCTTAAGTCTTTAGCTCTTATGCGATGCGCCCAATCTTACGACAGTGGTGTTGGTTTCAAAAGCGAAATTTAGTCATTGTGATTTTTTTCTGATCTACGGCTCTCAGTCTGGATAATATTCAGCGTGATGCCTGTGTTTGATGTACACCGGAAACCGGAGAAAAGCTAGTTTTGTCCGCGGGCGGCAATACTTTAATTTCGACAGTTTAAGGTAAAATATTAAGGTAATGTCTAAATCATTTGTGAACTGTGATAGTTTTTTTTTGCGTAAATATCTCTTCGATCAAATGTGACAATTAGGCCAGATTTATACTAGGGTTGTAAAAATTTCCTTCGTCTATGTTGAAACCGAACAAACCTCGCGTGTATCCGCTTTGGTTGGGTGATCTCCCTGAGAGATAATTGAGTTGTTGTTTTCATTGTTTATGACGGGGTTAATATGTAAGTAAAATCAAATGCACGGACCTTGATCAGCGGGTTAAATAAAATTCCTCAAGCACATAAAAAAAGTTATTTTCAAATTTGTTTTCAACCCTGGAAGTTCCAATTGATTTGTTCTAAGCAATTGATTGTTCTAGACTACACAACAAGCAAACAATAATTGTTTTGTAACTCAGATGCCCCATTTACAAAAGTATTACAATGTTTCTAATGGAGTTGTTGCATAGTTTTGCATCAAATGACCGACGCTTTGTAAAATACCTGCAGGCATGTTCCCATTAGCCCAGAGCAGTAAACCGATCATTCAGTGCAGGTCAATTTCCCCAGAGCAGTCATGCATGAGAGAACGAAGGCTACAAACTGAACCGTAAACATTTAAAAGAATGAACGGCACAACTGTGTACCTCGGAGATGAAAACGTTTACTTTAACAAAGACTTGCTGAACGAATCGGGAACAAGATTTTATGAGAAGATCGCGCGAGAGAGCGAAGTCCCTGTGATAAAGCAGTTATCCCTTGAAGGGAATCATGAAAAATTAAGGCCATCGAGAAGAAAACCAGCACGTTATCCGTTCACTAATTCAGACGCGGGCGTGGTTCGACGACTGTTGTGTATAATTGTTGCTGTTGTTGCGGTATTAATTCTGATCGCTGCTGCCACATTAACGCTAGCTGCACTGGTGATGTTTCACACTCCTATGTCTGATTCAGCAGATTTTACCTCACTACAAGGTAAGTGGTTTGTTCAGTAAATCAGTGTAGGTAAATTAGGTTCCAGAAAAAAGCCAGATGATGAGGGAAGAATAGGGCGCGACTTGTATTTTAACCTGTTTCATCCCCTCCCCTTTTGCCCCTTCTTTGCGCTGCGCCTGCCGTGCATGCTAACTCAAAACAAAAAATGAAACAGTATCAAAACTGATCATCATAACTTTATTAATTTTACACTACCATACTTTTTTTTACGATTGATGACCCAATAGTAACATATTTTCGAACATACTGCAAACAGAGGGTCTGAAAAGCTTTTGTATGATCTTTAACAACCTTTTGAATCCTACGGTTAATTTATTAATTTTTCGATGCCACAAAAGTAAGAAGAATGTGACAATATGAAAAATGTGTCCTGAAGTGTTAAAAAAAGCTCAGACTTACTGTGTTCATTTAATACTACCGTGTTTTGATAAAACCCCACGATGTATCAAAAGTCATCGACAGTTAACGAAATTAGGGCAAAAGTTCAAATAATATACACTTACTATCTGTTAATGCACTTCCTATAAAAATGTTGTACTTCTAATCAGAAAAGCACTTGAAACATAAAGGCAAACCACGAAAATTAGAAGTAAGTGTAAAACACAAACCTATTGCTTATTTGCCGATATCGTAGGGATTTTTTACCTAATTGACCAAAGTTATACCTTGGAATTGAATTATTTCAAAGTTGACCAAACGCATACAATATTTCGTGATGAAGAAAGAACCAATAAAAAGGGTTAATAGGGCAAAGATATCGCTTAAAAGAATCATCCACCAATTTACCTACAAACTGATATACTGATAAAATGGTCCTTTCTAGAATAAGCCGACGTTGTTATAATTATCTTCATCATATAAGGTCTCATTAAGGAGAAGTATGACGTTAGAAAGGTATGACGAAATTAACCACCAACAAACTTCTGCGGAAGTTCGATATACTTGGTATTGTTTGTACTTAGTATTTATAAGGGTGATTTGCTATAGGACAACAATACGTCTTTATGATCAGCAATATTAAATACGATCACATAATGAATATTACAAACGGATAACTGCTGAATGCGGTGTACAATTAGTCAAGAGAAGGATTAAAAATGGATTTAATTTGATTAATTTTTTTTTTACAATTTGTCACACTGGTGTTTTAAGGATAAGCTCTGCAAGCGTTTTTTTTTTCCACAGTCTTTGAAGTTCTCCACATTGGCAGCTGCTTGGCGAAAAAAAGGGAATAACCTGTCTTTCCTTACAATTTTCGTATAACCAGTCAAAGTCGCATCACTCCTTTAATCTTCAGTCCCCAAACTAAGAAGCGTATCTTTCTTAATCTGATCACGAGTAAAATAAGGCACTGCATGCTTTCGAATTTAATTTAAAAAGTTGCTTAAAAGGCAGAAATGAAAGAAAATGTCGAGTTTTTTCCCGTGTTTATCGTAAAAATGTAGAAAGTGATTTCTCAGTCTTGCTTTACCTAATACCTGATTTGGGTTTTTACACTGTATATTTATTTGAAGTTCGTGATCTCCAATTAAACTGGATATTTCTGCCTACTCTTATCGCGACCCGTAAATCAAATCGGAAATTGCGAGAGATTTGTGAGTGATTTTGGTTAATCATCATTTATTGCTGTCTTATTTTTTGATCGTTATTTTGTAAATAAACATCTCTGCCTCGAACGCTGTGATATGTTTGTCACCGTCTTCTATCACATTATCACAAATTCAGTCGTGTGTAACTTTAAATCCATGAAAGGTTACTCTCCGTGAGTCATCCGAGAGACGCGTTGAGAGGGTCGATGAGTTACGTGACTGAATTTCGCAAAGGAGTATACCCGCATATGAGACCTTGTTGATTGAGTGGCTACAATTGTATTGCTCTCTAAAATAAATAATATATCCTCACATAAAAACTGGATTGCCTTCACAGCACCATATCAAATAAAACCTAATTTAATCCGAGATCCATTCCTAGGAACCAGGCCATTTGTCGGAGCCCCAGTAGCTGATTTCAATGCATTCAGGTTTTCCTTTCGGAAAGGACACGTGGCGGCCGCAATAATTCCTGACAAGGCGCGTGCTGTCGCTAAGTGGGTGGTTAGGTGAGCTTGTTTACCCTAAAACTTCTTCTTTTCGCCACACGAATTTACTTTGCTAAAGTTAGAAAGTGGAGTTTTGCAATATGAGATACTCTGATTTTATCAACCGACCAGCCACGTAATTGCACCTAGTCCCGTAGTGCTATATATATTATATTACAACCGTAGGTTTGCAAGATGTTCAAAAAAAAAACCGACCTCCGCTTGTGAATGACCTCCACTTTAAAGCACGATTTACTGCAACACGGCACCAACAATTTGTAGGTGACTGACTGTGGCCATTTTTGGCAATCGACAGTGACTTTTTGTTTAGTTCAATTATTATCACAAACAAGACAAAGATCATTTATTGTGAAATAAAACAGCTGCTCGCAAGAAGGTTTGTTCTCGCTGAATAGGATGGTAAACTTTGAAACTTTTAAATTGAAACCTGCAAGTGCACGCGCACTTGGCCAATAACGGAATTTCTACAACTAACGTTGCCGATATACAGGTCCAACACAAAACCCACTGCACTCAGTCGAAAAAATTTCACTGACCCCATATAAGTGGAAAGCATCCTCGATCGATGCAAACAGTGTAAAAACCGTAGCATTTTTTTGATTCCATTCTGTTCTAGTCTGTTATACCAAATCTACCCCTCTGATTATTGAGGGCCTCTCGGAGGTTTGGGTGGGGGGAAGGGAACATGACCAGGGGAACAAAAGCTTTGATGGAACAAGGGAACTATTGACTATTGGAACTATATTTTTGGTGTTTGTCGCAGTTAGTTGCGGTGTCGTCTGCAGTGAAGCCTGTATCATGTCAAATATGGAAATTGTCAACTACAATGTCCATGTCCATGGTGCAGCATTTAGACATTTGACAATTTCCATATTTGGCATAATGCAAAATATAGAAATTTTGATATTTGGCAATTTCCATATTTGGCTTGATGCAAAATATAGAAATTTTGTTATTTGCCATATTTTATAATCAAGAAATTTTCGTATTTGACTGTGTTTGCCCCAATTTTTTTATCTCTTTCTTAAATTTAAAATACTTACATATAATTCAACAGTTGATTCCCGTTCATTAAGGAAGGTACATCCTGGGATGCTTTCAATTAACATTTCACCAGCATAATTATTTGTTCGTTTTCTCTATTTTTGATCCTCCTGGTGAATAACAAACTTTCAGCTGAACTGGAAGAAATGAAGAAAACTTTTTCTCAGATCGCCAGTGATTCAGAGGTAAGTTGCAAAACAACTGGTAACAAAAAATAAGCAAGGCTGACTGTACAGGCTAGCTATGAGATAATATTTTCTTTCAACAAATCCTCAGGTACGGCCTGACTTCTTCAGGGAATGACAAGCTTTTCTTGGCTTTTTAAATTATAACGGCCTTCTTAGTACGCCACATTTCCTGAAGAAGTCAGGCCGTGCCTGACGAAATATTAACGGAAGGAAATATAATCTTGTAGCTGTAAAGTCAGCTTTGCTTTCTTTTAATTGTATATATGCTGACAATGAAACATTCTGCTGACTGAATCTATCAGAATCCGCCACCTTTTTTGGTGGGAAAGTTGATGGGTTAGTTGATAAGTAGGTTATTTGATTGACAAAGCGGTGGGTTTTGTGATTGGTTTGTGTTTTCCTGGGTTACCTTCATGACGAGAAAGTTGGCTTACTCATTGCTTAGTTTCCTGGATTAGCACATTCGTTGTCTGCTTGGTGGCCATGGGCTACACATGGCTAGCTGTTGTACTGGTCGGCCCTTTCGTAGCTAAGTTGGTTGGTAGGTTAGTTAGCTGGTTGATTAGTATTTAGATAGATTGGTAAACTGGTTTGCTGCCTTCATAGGCGACTCAGATTAGCGTTAGTTAGCTGTTAATTTAGATGGTAAATTGGTCTTTTCGTTGGTTAGTATGTCAGTTGGGTTGTTCGTCGATCGGCGAATGAAGGGGTCAGTTTCAAAAAGAAATTATGATCGGTGCTTAGAGGAGTAAAACACAAGGATTTGGTTCTAAAGGAGAAGTAACCAAGGATATTGACACGAACTAGACTTGTTAGCCTAACGGTTTTTCAAAGTTCACTTCTACTCAGTTGTAATTTATAACGCTGGATGTACAAGGGGTCTCTCATTACCATAAAAGAATCAGAACTATACTTTTTCTTTCCTTAGGTAAATATACAAGCACTCCTGCAAGAAGCGAACGTAAAGGAACAGGACTTGAAAAATCTTGGTCAAGAGGTAATTATTAAGCAAAAGGAAACTTACAGTGAGTTCGACTAGGGGAATCTCAACCAAACCCAAAATCCAAAGATGGTTTTTGCCAAACAGAAATCCACCTGCTAGATGGATGCTAATGAACAGATCCAGAAACGAAATCGGCTTTTTGGATTTTGTATTTGAGTCAGTCATTAATCCTTCTTCCTAGACGAATTTCCCAGTTAATAGGCCCTTTCCAGCTATAGTCATTTATGTTGCACAAAATCGCCATGCTGGAGAGTAGGAGACACATGGAAGAAGACAAACAAAGGAAATTTTCATTTAATATGATATAAGCCCTTTGTTTGTCTTCTCCCAGTACGTCTGTTTTATGCCCTCCAGCATTACCTAGTTTTAAATCAAGATGGGCCGGGTATGAGTGGGTTTATTATGGGATAAACAACACGATTCCCAAATAGTCAGGAAGAGCACATTAAAATTAGCAACATTCTCAAGTATGGTGTTTATCGAGCCTTTATTGAACGAGATACAACGATTCAAAAACCCCAAAATTTACTAAGAAATATATAGACGTCCGGAAGATGAGTCCGGCAATCCAAAAATCTCAAATTTTCAAGCTTCCAAAAAGCCGAATCTTGTTCAATACTGGCCCGATCGACACCAAACGTCAGATTCTTCATAACCTCGATGTGCTTGTTCTTACTATGTGGGTCTCGTGATGTTATCCCATAATAAACCGAATTTGTACCCAGCCCCTCTTGATTTGAAACTAGGCAATGGAGGTTTTGTACCACGTGAATGACTAGCTAGCAAAGGGCATTTTTTATACAATGTAGCGTTGTTACTACATCAGTGATATTTTACTACATGGAAATCTTACGCGAAAAAAAAAATAATGGAGCAATAATATTGGTATGCATGCTGACAAAGCAATAAAAAGAAGCGTGAAATATTAAAAAGCATTTTTTTAATTGTTGTTCTAGGAAAATATAACGCTGCTTTACCAAATGACAGAAGCCAACATACAAGACATTGTCCAGTTACATCAAAAGGTAAATGATGGTTACACGCAAGCCTTTATAGTAAATTAAATTTTACTACTTTTACTTCTTTCATTACACTCACCTAAGTACTAAACTCATCATCAGTGATCATCATCAATTAGCGGTTTTGCAGTGACGCGTCATGCAGGAAATCTTCCCTCCTCATGCGAGCTGTGTAGCTTCTTTTTTGGTTGAAGTTTCCGTTTCCTTTAAGACTTGATCCACCTTTTCTGGATATACTACGTGCTTTAAAACCAGACGAACGTAGCTGGCACGCTCTAAGAGCTGGTTATTGATTCCCGCCAAGGCAAGGTACCACTCCAAACACTTCTCTAAATATTTTGCATGTTCGTGATCATGACCCACTGTGCTGTAGCAGCTGTTTTCAAAGTTATCTGGATACGTGTGGACGAGGCCTTACTTGATTTCCTCGTTTTAGTTAATGAACACAAGTACAGCACCAGGCCCCGGCGGGCCTGCCGGACCTCGTGGGACTCCGGGATACAACGGTACCCAAGGACCTCCTGGTATCGCAGGGCCACCAGGGTCTCCTGGAGCAGGGAATCTGTCATTTTGTTCTTACAAGCAACTAAGAAGTTCTTCTTCTTCTCGGGAAGTGGTCAACGCAACTGAAAAGAAGGTACGGACCTAAATGTTTATGTCGGAAACGATCTTTAGATTAACTTGCTTTGGTGGTGCCCGTGACTGAAACCAAAGGAATGCTCCACCACAAAGATCTAGGAGACTCGTGCGGTGGGCATTAGACTTGCAAGATTCATCTGATAAACATCTAGTCTAGTAACCAGCAGGACATATGTTCGAGGCGTCCTTGAAGGTCCCGTATTTCCTTTTTTCCAAGACACCTGTGTTACTGACTGAAAAAAAGAAAACATCATCCTCGTCTCAAGAATTCGCCAGCTTTAAAATTCATCATCACGATTATATCATCGCAAATTCCTGGTCCGTACGTCCTAACAAAAGGCAGGATGTTTGCCACATTAACCACTAGTTTTATTCCTTGATTCATCATGTCAACTCGCCTGTAGCTCAGTGGTAGAGTTTCTAGAAAGTCATAGGTTGGGCAACGCCTTCAAGTAAAACTCAGACTGACTTTTTCAGAGATACCTATTTCTTTAGAGTGATTTTACTTGACCCGTGAAACAGATAATAACAACTAGCGCAAAATAGCTACATGCAAACAAAAGAAGACAATGGAATAAGTGCCGATAATAGTGCGTAACAATCTACTACCTCTTTTTCAGGTAAAGTAGAATCACTCTATTTTGGTGTATTATATGACACCGAAAAAGTTTATATCACGCTGTCAGCTCAGTCTTTATATACCTTCACTATAATTTATTTTCGTTGAGTACAGGTTGATTTTCGATGGTAACCACCCTCTGTAAGTCTTGTCCTGCTAGCGTATGATCATCACCCAGAAAGAGAAATACCACATTCGTAAAGGGACTCAATTTAACCAGCATCATCTTGTTCCTTGGCAGGGTCAGAAATTCATTGGTGTGAACTGTGGAACGAATGATGCATCCGTTAAGGTTGTAGAGCTCACAAGCACCGCCACTCCAGATGGTCTCAGAGAATACCAGTGCAACTGTAAAAATGTTACTACTAGTGGAGCCCATTGTTGCATTCACTACTCGGAATGCCCAGTGTGAATTATGAAGAACTAAAACAGGGTGCTGCCCAAACGATCTGAGAATCAAAGAACTAGCCAAGATAATGAACGATAAAAAGTCGAGTTCAGATTTTCTAAATACAGTCAACTCTCTCTCTAAACGGACACCACTTTAAGATGGACACCTCATTTAAACGGACACTTAGGGTCGGTTATCTAAATGGAGTTTAGCCAGTGTTTAACGACAAAACCACGTCTAAGCCATTTTCAGTTTGCCCGAACGCTCTTATCGAAACACCGTTTATCGTGAGCAGTTTTATTAAAAAATAAATCATAGACTAGAAAGGCACTTGAAATAACCAACTAAGGAAGAGATCTAGAGGTCGAAAGATTTGTTAAACCGCGGCTTAAGTGAGACTTTGTTTACGTAATCGACCCTTAGGGTTTGTTCCTGCCTTTCTTTACTTCTTTGAGTTGACTCGCGGACATCTCTCTACGACGGACACGGTGCCATTCCCAAAGGCGTCCGTCTTAGAGAAAATTGGCGTCCTATTGGAGAGCAATTTAAGCGGGAAGTTTCAAATTAATAATGTTGCATTAAAAATAAGCAAAACTGTTGGTGTTGTTGCCCGTCTTAGGCACTTCGTTCCTCGTACAACCCTTTTAAATATTTATCAATCATCGATATTGCTTATCTGACATATGGTTTGGCGGCTTGGGGTCAAGCTGCCAAAACCCATTTACAAAAAATTCTCGTGCTTCAAAAACGAGTCCTTCGTTTGATGTATTTTTCTGAACCTAGAGCCCATGCTGTGCCTTTATTTATTTCCTCAAAAATTGTACCCTTACAAATGTTATATGCTGAAAAAGTATCTTCCACAATGTTTGACGTCTCCTGCATGAATGCTCCGTCTACCATCTGTGATTTCTTCACTAAAGCTAATTCAAAGCACAAGCATGAGACCAGGTTTTCTTCGTCTGGAAATTATTATGTCCAAACTTCAAGACTGAATCTAAATCAAGATTCTTTTTCCAGGTTTGGAGCTAAACTTTGGAACGCAATTCCTAACGAATTTCGTCAAAAAAAATTTTCATGACTTTTTGCTCTCGATAACGGAAGCAGATGACGATAATGTTGAAGTGCCCATTCTCCTACAAAAAAAATGGCAAATTGGATATATGAAAGTCACGCCAGGCATCCACCAGGGAAACAAACAAAGCTAAAGGAAATAGCCGGCTGGAATCAAAATGTTTACGAGCTATCAGACTCGCGAAAGTTTCTCTGCGTAAGGTAAAGAAAATTCCACTGACACGGGTTTCACCAGGTCTGTTTCTGAGTCTTCCTAAAGCTCCGTGAATGGAGTATTCGCTCATTATTTGGGAGGAAGTTGGTGGGACGTTAAGCCGGGATCGAATCCTGAAACTCAACATTTTTTTCTTGCCACGCGCTCTTAGCGTGATGATCCATCATAGGCATCATTCTCTCTCGCTTAAACGTTTAACATCTTTCATAAATGATAGGGTTTTTTTATATTTTAACTATTTTTTGAAGCGTGGTGGTCTAATGTTTACTGTATCTTGATGAGTTAACTTGTAAACAGTCCCGGCCAAGGGAGCCCTGGAGCCCGGAAGACGTAATACTTCTTGCTACCCCGTGCTACAAAAGCCAAAGAAAGGTAATCTCTTGCACTGTCGATAAACCCGCCACACTGATAATTCTCTCTATTGTTTCGGACACGGGACCAAGCCCATTTCTACCTGCTCAGTACCTATTTCTCCAAACGTTTCTCTGTTTGCAATTATCTGTTTTAAGTTTTCTTTGCGGGTGTGGCCAATGCCCTTGTGGTAAGTTTTGAGTTTTGAGGGGTTTTTTTTATAATTTCCGGTTCCAATATTGAAGTTTGGTTTTCATTTGCTTCGGGTTTTGTACTCTGTCGCTTCTTTTTTTTAATATTATGTCTCTGTAGAAGATTTTGAGTTTCCGAGTACTATTTTCTGCTTCCTGTTTGAGTCTTTTTGCCGTCTGTGGGCTCGTATTTTTTAAGTTTTACTTTGGTGATTTTCAGGTTTTTTAATTCTTGCGGTTGGTATCGATACCTTACTTCCTGTTTTCAATGTAATATTTTATATTTCTCATTTTATGGTTCCTGGTGACAGTATTTCTGTGTCACATTTGATAACTTTGTACAGTTTAGTTAAAGTTTTCGGTTTCATTCTGTGTTCACGCCACAACATCTGCATCGTAACAGTCCTATTGTCAGGCCCTACCAGTCTAAGGAAACAAAGCCATCACTAGAGGTAGTTACTTCAGATTATTTGTTTACCCTAAATTTAATCCTCTAGTTGATGATATTTTTCGTATCCTGTCTAAGGAGGATAAGAGGAGACGAGGGGTATGTCATGATCTACGTGCTCGGGGAGTTCGTCAACCATTTATCTAGATAAAAAAAAATAAACAGGTAATTAACTGCATCGAATGACAAGTTACTATAGTTCATAGTATATTACAGGTCACTAATTGCGGATCAATTTCTCGTGCGCATAGAATGCGAAAAAGGCAAAGGTTCAACTGACTGCCTCGCTTTCAGTTAAGAAGATGAACCGCGAAACAGTACAAGTTCTGGAAGAGAACATCTATTTTGACATGGAACTTAAAAACGAAACTGGTGCAAGAGTTTACGAAAATATTGCAAGTGATACCCGCACGGTGCCTGAAGTCAAACAAACCGCCTTTGAGAATGAAAAGGCCAAAAGGAAAGAAGGATCAACACAACGCAGGAAACACCCACAGTCAGATGCAGATGTGGTGCGGCGACTGTTGTGTATAATCATCGCTGTTGTTGCAGTTTTCTTTTTGATAGCTGCTTGCACTTTGATTTTAGCCGTGTTGGTGCTGATGTTTCACCGGGGTGGTACTGCTTCAGCAGATTTCTCTTCAGTGCAAGGTAAGAGAGCTTTTTCCAGTTTCTTCGGAATAGGCGTTAATTACATGCGGGGGTTTAAGATGGGCCGCAATTGGCAGCATATGGTGAGGGTGATCAAAAGCGCAAGAAAAAATCAAGTTTTTGCACATCAAAGGTATAATACCTATTTGGCACACGCTGTACAAAGGTTAAGGTGCGTTTGCACAACTCTTGGCAATTATTTGACGACTTTATTCTGTCATTGATGCTAAGCTAATTTGTATCACCGTTGAGGAAAGGCATAGACGGCACTAGTTTTGCCACCCGAGACGGGCATATGGTAAAGACATATTAAGTTAATTAACCACCTGACACCATGAGTGAAAAAGGCGATATTTCATGCAGTTCGGACCTAAAATTGACCAATCGCAGAACGAGAAATCGCTAATGATATGTCTCACCGATATACATCGGAATGGAGACTACAAGGAACGTCTGAATTTTCAGATCTCATTAATGGTAGTCTAATTATCTGTTCGTCTTAATGATGCTGCTTCATTATCAACAAATTGAACAAACGTGAGTTAATACAGAACAATATGCGTATTTTTAAAAAAGGTAATGAAAGACCGAATGTTTGAAATCCTCAACCTGTCATCATTTAAACTAAGTAAAAAAAAAAAGGCTTGAAGCAGCAAGCTTAAAAACCCTGTTTTATAAAGCCAGGGCTAAAAGCGAAGCTCTGGTTAATAATACTTACAAACAAAAAAAATTAAACCGTGTAATGCTAAACGGGGACGACAATGAAAATGGCTTCAAGACTAATAGATCTAATTAGCAAAAAAACAAATTGCACGTGCAGCACACTTTTTCTTCTAATTACCAAAAAACAACCGTTGGAGGAATTGTCGTATGTACTTACCCAATATTTTGTTTCCTGTGTTCATGTTTATCCACATTAGTGTAAGTATAAAAAATAACGCCGAAAAAGACACGACTTTGTTGTTGTTTTTTCTTTCTAAAAGTCCGGGCAGCCCTGTGATTTCCGTCCAAATAAAACCTTGAGTTGCATTTGGCTTGCCATACCTGTTGATTGAGTTATTTTACATTGGTATGCCTGTGGTGCGGACGGACGGTCAATGTACGGTCACGTGATTAACAAATTTTCTCGGATATCCAAACCATGATTAAACCTCATTGTCGAGTGAATAAAGATTTCATTTCGGGACGGGTAATACAGGGCTTGTGTACTGACTTGGCATTAAGGGAGTTGTAGTTTTTCCACATCATAATGCTAACGTTAAATTTACTAAATTCTTTGCACTATTTTGTCACCGAGACGAAGAAAGGCCGACGCCATCTGTGAAATTAACTGATTTTGCCCGGGTACCTTCAACGTAAGGAGCGGGAATCATTTGTTTGTACATGAAAATGTCCTCACGCAGTGCTTTCACGGCCTTGTTCAAACATAATTCTTTATGGCGAATGAAACCGCTCAAAATGAAAGACATTTTTCGGGGGTCAAATTGCGTAACAGTCTGAAAGACCATTAGTACGTGCTGCCTCGTCCCCAGTCGCTCGCGTCCTCTCATGTTCCTCAATCCCCACTTAGCCTTGGGAAAGCGTGTGGAGTAGGCAGTAGTACGTGTGTAGTCTTAGCTCTTTGAACATAACTTAAAACTTGCGATGTACATTTAAGACAGAGAGTGATGAAACGTCTTTTCAAGTCGCATTGAACGTTATTGTAATTATTATTTGATTGCCTTAATGATGCCGCACTTAACCATAAAAAAAAATTGAAAAAATGTTTGCTATTGTATGAAATTGGTCTGTATTAAATGATAAAGAACCAGAGTAAATAGGCTCAAATGATAGCCTGAGGCAAAAGGTCAACACAACGTTTACTTTATGACTTTATTATTTTACTCATTTATTTTTACAAGCCCTAGTACAGAGACCAAGTGCTTGAATTACAGAAAACAACTGAAAAATAAGCTTCAAAAATAAAGAGGTTCGACACAAAACGTGTGCATATTTATACAACAAGAGGAACGTTAAGACCACTCTTACATTACTTCGTGTATTAATCAATTTATGTCAAAGAGTTAAATTTGTTTAAGCTGTCCAAAATATATACTGTACTTCTTTGTTTAAGATGATTAATCAATCACGATAAAGGCTCAATCCTATTCAGCTGTTGGCAACTCAAAATACATACAAACGAATGAGCTTAAGAAAGCGCCAAATTTATTAATATGTCAATGGTAAAACGGTGTCAAAATCGGATTAAAATCGCACCACACTTGAATAGACGACATTTGTCCCTTTAGACCGATCTAAAGTAGACTGGTGAATACAGATGCAATATCCTAATTCCCTAAATCTGAATTTATGCCGGCTTTCGACCGGCGGTTTCGCAGCGCAATCGGCTGATCCAATGTCTGGTTACATGTCATAAGACTGAAATTTCAACTTTGTGTCATCTGAATCGTTACGAATACGTCATGTTCAGTATAAACGTTTCACTGGTCAAAGTAGTCAAATAAGGCCCATTAGAGTCTTGTCCATACTAACGCGTTATCGATAGCCTCCGTTCTCGTTCACGCTAAAACCATCACGCTCTCAGCAAAAACGAAAGTGTTAACCAGCGGAGGCTTTGGCTTTGGTAGGCTACCAAAGCCACAGAAGTCAAACTAAAGCCTCCGCTGTTCAACACTTTCGTTTTTGCTGACAGCGTGATGGTTTTACCGTGAACGCAAAAGATGCATTCAAAACATGTATGAAGACGGGGTCTAAATTACTCTCATTACATTACCCTATTTTCCAGTAAAATCGTCGAGACCGATCGAGCGCGTAGAAAAGGGACGCGATCTTTATTTCAGGGAAGTGTGAGTTGGGAAAGACTGTCAAATCTACCCAAGGGGCCAAGCAGGACCTTGGATATAGATTGCAGGAAAACAAAATCTCGTAGGACCTCGTACTTTTCCTTCAGTTACTGACTTGTCAACTGTCAAAGTTGTAACATTGGCAGACCATGCCAATGTTACAACTTTGGCAGTTGACAAGTCAGTAACTGAAGGAAAATTGAACATGAAAGGTCGCCCCCTGTAAGGGAATTTGGATTCCAGAATCCTCGAATTTCTTTATCGTGGAATCCGGGATCCTGGGCTTGGAATCGGGAATACCGCTAAGGATTGGAATCAGGAAACCAGGTTCCACAAACAAACAACCTGGAATCCGGAATCCACCACGTGAAATCCAGAACCCAAGGGTGCTTTCTTTTGGGATGATCTGGATCAGGATCTGTGATCCGAGATCACTCGGATAATGGTAGATCAAATGAACCGATGAATCCTTGTCCAGAGTGAATTCATCGGTTCATTTGATCTACCATGATCCGAGTGATCTCGGATCCCTAATCCTGATCCGGATCATCTCAAAGGAACGCACCCAAGACTCTCTTGGATTCCATTACATGGGGTGGGAAAGGGGACAATTCTAGGATGCGCGTATCAATTTATAACTACTGTAAGAAGATGATGAAGATATTATTATCCTCGTGTTAATACTGTGTTGCCATTTTCGATGTTTCCATTTGTTTCCAAATTTTAACCTCTCGCTCGTCTAAATTATTTTGACTCGCTTATTCTGATTAATAGATAATTATTTTCTTTGTTTTTCTTGTGTTTCAGTGGAAGTAACAAAACTGGTAGCGGAAACTGAAGAAATGAAGAAAAATCTTTCTTTCATTGCCAGTAGTTTAAAGGTAGGTACGGTTATTTTGCCTGCGTATGAACTGACAGTGTTCGCGTCAAACACAACAATTTAGAAAATTGTCTTTCACATCTAGTCTATCACACCTGTAACGTATATTTTTCTCCTCAAGGACAAAATAGGAGCACTATCGCAAGAGATACAAACAACCGGACTAGATGTTAAACAACTCAGAGTGACTCAAAAGGTAATCTCATGGTGCATCAGAAATTGCGTCAGTGCCTTTGATTCATTTATTAAACCTTTGTGGCGTTATCAGCTGCCCAAGTCCAAACAGCTCAGCTGAAACCCTACACGACGGCCACGCATTAGAACAGAAGATAGTGGCCGTTGCTGAGTGATGACCGTTGATAGAGGTTCGACTGAAATGAGCAGATAAATAACATTAATAAATATTAAATAAATGATGATGATGATATTAATATTAAAGATAGTAATAATCGACATAGCATTCCCTGAGGACACCCGTATAAGAGGAACGAGAAGAAAAGACTCAAAAGGTAAATTCAGGCTAAAAGGCAAATATGAATGACAGAAAATTCGAGCATTGCCTTAAAGTAAGGCCCCGTCCACACGTATCCAAATATGAATGACAGCGAAAACGGTTCGGTGTATCCGGGCTCCAGAGTGGACCATCCGGATAGGTGGACGCTCGTATCCGTACATTTTGTATACGCTGACGTCACAGTATCAGAACCAGTCTTAATGCGCATGCTCTGTTGACTAATCCTTTGAGATGTCCGGGTACGAATCGGATACGTGTGGACGGTCGTATACGATTCGTATACGCTACGTGTGGACGCAGATATTTTTGTATCCGCATAAAAAAATTTGCGGATACAAAAATCTCCGGATACGTGTGGACGGGGCCTAAGAGGACTTTGGACCGCCATTTATTTTCTTACAACGTCATAGAAACGTAAGTCATTAGCCATTATATCTCCAACGGTATAAAAACATAACGTGTTCTCTTCCACTAGCTCAATAAAACAGCACTTTGGCAGGCAATACATACAAACAGAGAGGAAGTGAAACATCTAATTGAAAAGGTAACTACAATTTAAACAGAAATTAATGAAGTGTTAATAAGAGATTCAACGCTGTAGAGATTTCCATCATGCAGCCGCCATCATGATCACCTCAGTTATTGCCCACAAATAAAATAAAAAAACAACGATATTTAGAGAGGGTGTTCGAAGACCTGATAAACCCTTCGCTCTTTTAAGTGTCCCCTGCAAACCGGAAGACACTCTATATCGAATTGGAATATGGAAAGAGGGAAAACCGGAGTACCCGAATGAAAAACCTCTCGTAGCCGCCGCCAGATAAGACAACCAGCATAAAACTCAAACACCATATGGTGTCGCCGTCGGGACCCAGATCCAGGCCATATTAGCGGGAGGCAAGTGCTCTCACCACCGTGCCCTTATAGCTTTCCAAGGCTGTGAATATACGTAGACTAATTTAGTAGTCTTTGCTGATGACATACTTCTTTTCTTTCTCTAGTTGATGAACATCAGTCACATTGAAGGTCCGAGGGGGCCCATGGGGCCTGCCGGATCCCCAGGATATAATGGTACCCGGGGCCTTCCTGGTATTGCCGGGCAACCAGGATCCCCTGGCCCGCCTGGTTCTGGCAATCTGTCACAATGTTCTTACAAGCAAGACAAAAGTCCTCCTGTTACAGGGGGCGATAAAGCTCAAGTAAACGTCAAGGCAACTGAGAAAAAGGTAGGGCATTAATAGCAGAAGGTATCGAGAGGATTATCGTAAGATAATCTTTAAGCACTAAAGCTAAACTTTCCACTTAAAACCGTCCTGCGGAAAATGAACCAGCATAAGACAATGAGGATGAGTTCAAAGTCTAAAAAATTACAAAAACAAAATACAAAAAAAGCAAAAACGGCTTGTAAGTTTCAAGCTCCTTTTTGGTTTTAAATACTTAAAATTGGCAGCCAGTAAACCCAATATGAGTCATTTGAGTTTGATGACCAATGTAACGATCACCAAGGTACGACTCAATCATAAATCATGAACAACATCCGCACGCGCAATGGTAGTAGTGCACTGACCACTAGTTCCTTTTGTTAAGGCAAAAGTTTCTAATTATCAACAAGTTCCTGTGATTGGGTACGTTGACTTGGGCGTGGTTCAGACGCCGTATTTTTCATGTGCCGAGCCTAATTGAATAAGTTCGACTTTGGAGCGACACTGGCGCGACATCTGATTCAGACGGCGCACCGTTTGCCAAGCCTTAGTTAAGTTCGACAAAAGTTTGACAGACTCTGTCGAACTTAGCGCTTTTCCCGCACCGAACTAAAACTGCCGTACCAAACTGATTCAGACGCCGCTCTTGTGCCGTACTAAATTCATCAGTTAGGTTAGGCACATGAGGAGAGCGGCGTCAGAACCGGGCCTCAGAGCCTTAATAAACGACGAACGCTCACGTCCCCATCATTTTTTTTAACCAGTTTAAAGATGTCAAAAGAAGCAATGCTCACATATCGTTTAGGAACCTAACATTCAGTAACTCCCACCATTTCAATTCATTAGTTACTGTTCTTTGCAGGGTCAGAAATTCCTTGGTGTGAATTGTGGAACAAATGATGCATCCGTTGTGGAGCTCACAAGCAAAGTCACGTCGGATGGCTTTAGAGAATACCAGTGCAATTGTAAAAACACTGTTAATAGCGGAGACCCGACAATGTATTGTTACATTCACTACTGGGAATGTCCAGTGTGACAAACAGAGGAAACAGAGCCCCGAGAATACGAATCAAGAATTGCTGAAATTTTTCGGCAAGACCTCTCTGATTATTTTCGTTCGCTTTCTCTAGCCGAAACCGTTTCGTATGCTACTACCCTGTAAGAAAATTCCGTTTGCTCTTTTCTCATTTCCACACTATTCCTGTTTCGTTCAAAAGGAGGGGATGCTATTGAAGCCCTTAAGGTATTAAAGTTTACCCTCAATGACACAAAATCCTTAATTTCTTTAACGCCCACTTACTAGTGGAACCAAATCATCAAACGGCCCCTCACAAGGTTTTATCACAAAATTTGCTACCACTGCAGCTTGAGCGGTTTAGGCTTACAAAACAGACAGTATACTTTATAAAAAGTATTACTACCAAAGACGGTACGATCAACACTTCAGTTGAGATGAACACTCTGATGGGTCCTGACCAAGCAAGTATACTTTAATTCTTGACCTATATAATCATAGAACTGAGCCTTACCTATAATATACTACCTTATTTTTAAAGGGAAAATGTTGGATTTCAAGCGCAGTAGTAGAGGGTATTTCTATTTCTGTGGGAAAAATATCATCAAAATGAGCAAAAAATTAAAGTAAAGGCTGTTTTTCACTAGCGACGGAGTCGGAGTCGGAGTAGGAGTCGTACGCGGAGTCGTAAGGACGCTTATTACCCAGCGAAAATCAAAAATGGAAGTCGTAAGCGAAATCATAAGTGCGACGGAATCGGAGTCAGAAGAATCAGAACGCTTCCAATTTCTTCCGACTCCGCTAAAGACTCCATAGCTTACGTTCCGCTTATGATCTAGTGAAACCCGATTGTCGGAGTCGGAAGCAGAAGCGGAAGGATAAACCAATCACAATGCACATTCCCACGCTTTGTGATTGGTTTAGTTCTTCCGCTTTTGTTTGCGACTCCGACGACCCAGTCTTCACTTGATCGTAAACGACGGAGTCGTAAGCGGAATCAGAAGAATCAGAACGGTGTTTGCACTAGATCGTAAAGTTCTACTCTTCTGATTACGACCCCGACTCCGACTGCGTCGCTAACGAAAACCACCCTTAAATTACGTTTGGTAAGCTAACTACCAGAAGCAGAACCTTCCCATTGAAAAAAAAAATTAACGAGCAACATCGCGTAACATGTTTTGAAGACTTTTAGTAGTATAGAAGCGATGTTTTACTCCGCATTTTTTGCAATGAATCTCATAAGTTTGAGATGGAATACATTAAATACGATCACGTCATACTGGCAGTTTTCGTTCGTCCCTCTTCCGCCTGAATCTCATTAAGATAAGGTCATGTACTATTTTGACGAGGTTTAACCACTGACCTTTACTGATGTTAGATCGATGTCAAAGTTTATTTTTTAAAAACTTTTTTTTATGAAGCCGGCTGTGACTCAAAATCGCTGAATTGTAACATAATTATGCAAAAGCACTTTTTCTGGCACTTAAGTCAAGTTTTAACTAACCTAGTTTCCTTCCTACTCCTCCACAATTCAGTTATTTCCCTTTTCCGCCATTTTTTTCATTTTTCCTCCACCACCACCACTTTTTTATTGTTTTCCCTTCTCCTTATTTCTGCTGTTTTGCCTCCTCCGCCTCCTCTTCATTTCTCATTGTTTTCCTCCTCCTTCTCGTCCTCATTCTATTGTTTTCCGTCCCTCTTCTCCTCATTTCTATTGTTTTCCGTCCCTTTTCTCCTCATTTCTATTGTTTTCCGTCCCTTTTCTCCTCATTTCTATTGTCTCCCTTCTCCTTATTTCTGTTGTTTCCTCTCCTCCTCCTCCTCATTTCTGTTGTTTTGCCTCCTACTCGTTATTCACCATTTTCACATAGACCATAATGCATCTTGTTCCCCCCCCCGCCCCCTTAAATTTAGCATAACCATTGTTTCCAATTTCCCCTGGGTATTACAGTCGCCCCAAGAGAAATCGAAGACAATGGTTATGCAAAATTGTGGGAGTAAACAAAGTGCATTATGGTTTATGTGGAAATGGTGAATTTCTATTTTTTTCTCTCCTCCTTCTCTTTCCATTTTTTCCCTCCTTCCCTCCTCCTCCTCATTTCTATTGTTTTTTTTCCCTCCTCCACCTCAATTAAGATTGTTTTTCCTCCTCCACCTCCTCTTCCTCGTTCTCCTCATTCCTATTGTTTTCCCTCCTCTTCCATCTTGGACAGAGTGACTTTAAGTGGCCTGAAGTTTCGTCACTTAGAGTTTAAATGAATTTAGATTTCAAAATGGTAAAACTCGATTTGTCAAAAATGGTGGCCGGAGGGTCATGCCAAAATACATTTTTCCGAAAGGTTTTGTGCATTCCCGCACTAGAGTTGAGAGTTCTGGAAAGTTATGTTCGCTATTTTGGCAAAGAACACCGCTGAAACCTTTCAAGACCAATACCTAAGTATCAGAAGTCCTTCATGTCTAAAAGCGAGCCGATCTGATTTACTAAATATATTTGTCTATAGGGGAACAATTGGGACGATTATGGTATGATTTACGGTATGATTTCTCCAAGGTAAATCTCTCCCACAAAGGATTCCTAGTGTTTATTCCCCGAATTATGCGCGTTAATCTAAAAAGAGCAAAAACAAAGCGCGGTAGGTAAGACGGAATTTCCGTTTAAAGTTCTGCCAAGTGGTTTTGCTCATGTGACAAATTATAATTATTGTGGCCGCCAATGTGCGCATTTTCCAAACGTTTTTATCATCCGGCCTTAAATTTAGCCAACAACCAATTCTGTGGTTTGCCCAAATTTAACATGACAAAAACTGCCATACTTTGAATATCTTTTCAGCCCTATGTTCCCCGGATTACGTCTGTCGTAATGGACAATTCGCAACTTCTAAATTTCGAACAAACAAAGACCTTGAGTCTCCGAAATAACTGTTTACGAAGACAAGACAATGTAATCCCAGAGAATCGACTGACACATTCTAAAATAGACCCCCGAATTATTACAGTCAAAGAAAAATTGTACCATCGATCGTAATTCGATGTAATCATCAATTCAAAATTATTTTGGTGCTATCAGCGAATTAAATTACTTTAGAACAGGATAGCGTTTATCATGTTTATTATGTCATTTTTTCTTATCATTGTTGTTATTATTATTAATCAATGAAGGAATGTGAGGATAAATGACGGTAACAGGAATATCTGTTAAGCCACTACGGAATTTCTAGACCCTCAAAATTCCAAACGTTACGGGCTTTTCATATGGACCAAAATAGCCCTTCTTGCTGCACGTCCGTTTGTATCAGACGGAGAGGACGTGCCTTTTTTTTTTCTACTCGGCAGTGGCAAGAGGTAGCAAGTAAAATCTAATAGTGCTAGCTCTCATGAATAATTTATGGCAAGAAACCTTGAGATGAATCTGTTCCTGAACAATACAGCGTTTTCAAGTGACGTCACGTCTGCCATGTTGGTGTCTCAAAATAATGAAACGGCGGCCATGTTGGTGTCCCAAACCAGTCCTCTAGCGGTTGAAACTTTATCTTATGTAAAAGCTTTCTTTTGTTCCAGTAAATTTGTATAGCTCTTGGCCACGTGAGTGAAAGTGTTTTCATATGACGTCACGGCGGCCATATTGGTGTTCCAAACCAGTGCTGTGGGAGTTGAATTTGCATAGCGGATGGTCACGTGAGTGAAAACGCTCTAAACGAAAGTAAAGCACTTCGGCCACAGTTGCCTACGTAGCAGGCGCTTTGAAGAAATGGGTGCAAGAAAGAACGGGGCACAGTGATTTGGATACCTCCTGAATTGAAATCATCACTTGAAATCATCACTTTATTTTCCAAACAAAATCTAATGTCATGAGTCCAAATAGTTTATTCATTAATATTCTCATGGATCAACAGAGAAATGATACAAAATTAAACACACATGCCAAACCCACGCCTTTGATGATGGTTTTGAACGCTAGCAGAGCATGGGACGGAGTGCGAGGGGGCAGTCTTTGACTCAAAGAACCGGTCTAAAACTAGATATGGATGGGAGGGAAATCAGGGATTTGTAGTTCAGGCTGCACTGGACTAGGGTTTAATCGCCCCCGCCAGGAGCTAGAAGTTTTTTCTATCACCGGCTAAGTTAGCACGTTTAGCAACACAACACTGAGAAGTCACTGTCACCCGAAAACTAAAAAAGGCTGATTAAATTCAGCTCGGGCTCGCCATGACCTATATCAAAAATATAGCAGACATGAGGCAAGCTAAACAACATGAAGAGCGAGGGATCTATTTCCTCATCAAGAAAAAAATGCGAAAGACGCATTTCCCTTTCAAACGAAAAAAGCCATTCTACTAAAGGATCCAGTGGTATAGTTTCTGCCGATGTGAATCGGCACAAAAAGGGTCACAGTCTTGTTAAAAGGAAAAAAAGCCAGTGCATAAATTGCTGAAGTGTGTTAGACCAGAGATGAAAAAGGAAAGAGTTGGAGTTAAAACTTATATAAAACGCGAGTTGGCTGAAGTTTTTAGGTTTGCCAATGGTTTTATTGCTCCAACCACAGCTACTGACGTCTCTCCCACTGTCACAGCAGGGAGCTTACGACGGCAAAGGCAGCGAAAACGTCAGTTTTAACATGAATTCCCGTTTTTTCAAACTTTGTCGCGTTTATTCCAATTTGCTGAAAATGGCAAGTGTAGGCGAATTTCCCTGGAGTTGATTTCCAGAGGACCGCTCTCACGTTTAGAGAGAGAAAAAGAGATTCGTCGACGCTTGTTTACGTCCTGCATAAAACTTGCAATTAGACATTTTCACGTCGTATTCGTGCAAGGACGGTAAAGAAATGTACAAAAAAGCGTGATGCACGTGCAAACTTGTTGTTTTGCGTAATAAACCTATTCCTTTTTTGACGTCCTCGCAGCCGTCGCCGTCGTCGTTGCTAAAGCTCCGTAGCATCTCTGGCGGCGAGGAACGCCGAGAAGAGACGGCTGTATTCGCAAACTACATTTAATTCTAGTCACTCTGCACGTTTTAAGTAAGCCTTATAGTGAACGAACATCGGGTTCCTCTTTACAATCTCGTTGCGTCATCAAATACATTGTGTATAAAGTAAACAAACTAACTAAATCATCAGGATAATGCCAATAATCACCTATGGTTCGATGTCTTAATGTTAAACAAATTCTCATTACAAGCTCTATAACGTTTATATGAAAACAGTGAAGAGAATATGCGGTTTGATCCTACTGGATGGAGTGGGTTAAGGTCAGGCAGTGAATTATTCCCCGACTCCTGTTTTGTTAGGCTTGTAAGTTAGAATGTGATCATTGTCAGCTTTACTTAAAACTGAGAGTCACTAACATTTTCTTTAACGTTCATATGTTGAACAAAGAAAAGGAGGATTTAAATCTGATTTACAACGCATTTATTGGGGAAATAGACCAACCACAAGGTTGTTATCGTTATAAATAAGTTATGTTTTTAAGGATCAAAGAATTTTAAATAACTGTATCCGGTCAAGCCAAAACAAATTTAGACAGGGTAGCGGAGCTTCATCTTTTTACCTTCACTGTAATTTATTGCATAACGATACTTCCATTTCTTAACTTAATGTACATTTTAATCTTTTTTTCTCATCTGGTGTGGGGTAAAAAGGCATTTTTAAGCTGTAGGAACCACCTCACTGGATAAACCTTCCGACGAAATGTTTAATCTTAAAACAAGCAGAGCCTCCATTAGGGCTCTAACAATATCATGAAAAAATGGTATGTCCTTGAGATGTCTCCTGCTTGGCCCAGTTGGTGAGTGAGAAAACTACTGCGTTCTTGGAAACAGTATCACGAAATGGGTACTTCATTAGGACTTCCATGAAGTAAGGCACATAATAGGCTGAACTGGATTGAGGCGAGTGCATGAAACGGAAAACAGGTCAGTTTAGATATCCGGCTACTTATGAACGAACTTTGACCGGTTTTAGCAGCTCGACTTTGTCCTCGTCTTAAAATTAGTACCGTCATGATGGTTCAGGACAAGTGTGTTTATACTTATGTCTGTATTGTCTTATTCCGTTTGTTTGTTTGTTTGTATTTTACCCCTCCTTTTTCTTCGTTTAAGTGCTCAATCTTTTTTAGGAGTGTTGTTTCATGCGGTAAAGAGCGTTTAATTTCATGCTTCTAATATATCATCTTAAACCGTCGGAAGCCACAAGTATTATTTACATTCTTTCGTCTGATGTCAAACCGCGTGGCAGAAAAGCAACTGGGTAATTACGCACAATCTACCGAACACTACAGACAACAGCCAAAACAAATGACCAGAAAGTTTCACAATTGAGTCTTTGGTATAAACATGCCCGCAGGAAAATCTGAGAATGAATACAGCGAATGTGTGCCCCCAGGTGCCCTTTCCACCAGCCAGGAAAATCTCTACTCCACCCTAAATTTCGGAAGAAACGAATTTCTCAACGTATCTGCCTTAACAGTGAGCACGAAAAATCTATGGGAGGGCAAAACTAAGCAGCAAAGCACACGGGACTTGCGTCTTGAGCCAATGTACATTGACGTTGTATCGGAGTCAACTACAGCAGGAAAATCATCTCGGAGGTTAACATGCTTTATTGCGTGGCTGGTAATGCTGACCATTCTTTCGTTTGCCTCTCTGGCGGTCACAGTTTTTATATTTTACAAAGGAGGTATGACCAACGAAAAGCCCACTTCTACTACTTTGGATACAAACGGTAGGTTTTAGAAGTATTTACACTGTAAATTTAGGCGTTAACGAAAGGGGCTAGGCTTTTGCTTTCCGTTAATTTCATCTCACAGTTATCGGAAAAATCTTTCTCTCTCTTTAAGAAGGTCTACATTCATCGCGAACCACTTCACTGGGCAACACGGTCTTTTACTGCAAACAGTGTCTTAGCAGGGACACTATTTTTATTTATTTATTTTTTTTCTACCACTTTTTAAGTAAAAAGTTTCTTTGATGCTTCTACATTGCGTTTGATATAAAACAGGATGTATACCCGTTTCCCAACTTGTTTGGTAATTCAATACAGTTAATCACCAAATATCGCTACTTCCTTTTGTTTGCTGACGTAACTCCCTAACGTGGCTCCGGATCGCATGTCTATTCCACGTTTGCAATGTTTACATGTTCTTACTTCTGATTGGATAATGATCTACCAAATTAAGACTCCTTTTTGATTAGCCAATCAACGTTTGGATAGTCCCGATTGAGTTTGTTACACTGTCAGTTTTAAATGTTTCTTTAAGGAAAATAATTACCTGAAAAATTGACCTAAAAAATTTCTTCAGATTCTGTAAAACTACGGTCTCGGATAGTCAACGGGATCTTTTTACGCTCGTGAGCTAGAACTCGCGCTACATTTCTCCACAGGAAATTGGTGTAGTGCGTGTGACCGGACTCCCCGAGACAATTTTGTATAGGTAATAGCATGAATTGTACTGATATTTCCAAATTGTTATACGTAATTTCACGAGCCTTTACACGAGTGAAATTTGAGACAATTTTGAAAAATCACGAGTGGTATTTATGCCAAATAACACGTACAAATTATGCTATTATTTGTTTATACTACTACACGCAAAAGTTTTGTAATTTTCACATGTGGGTATTTCAAATTAAGCTGAAATGCCATTGCTCTAAGCTAATCAAATTGCAGAAATGTCTCATGTAGTAGTATAAACCATGGAGAAATCTTGACGGAAACTTAGAAATGGTGTTATGCCATCCACCATGTTATAACAAACTATAATGAGACAAGACGCGGTTCGAGAAGTTGCTACTCAACAAAACAACAAGGAAATCGGAAGATTGTAGTTCTCTCTTAACTAGGAAAAGCGAACGAGGAGCTGCTAGGGTTACAGAGAACGTTTAATGACTGGCAGCCTCTTTTTTCTCTCCAGACATGGTATTATGGTATGATGCTGGTATAATACCATTATGACACTGAGTTTTATGAATCTATTTTTTTTTTACCGCGAAAACTTTCATTTCTATCAAAAACAAAAACAAATTCCTGACTCCGGGATGAAGTCCGAAGCGAGGTCACTACAAACACAAAAAAGGCGGGAAAAACTGGCGGAATAACTAGGCATGTCCCGCATACGCAAGTTTTGCACTACACCTGCCTGGATGAATAAAAAGAATAACTGGCTAAATAAATAAAAATATCTTGAATTCGGTCTGCAGTATAGCCGCTCAAAACGCCAGCTATAGCGTTATCATTTTATAGCGGATCACTTACTTTCATAAACAAATACCGGAGATCAATTTCTACCGCAAGGTCACGTTTTGTTAGAAAACATGGGCATTCCGATTACTTTATTAATATATCTTTTGCACAATTTGACCTCCATACGGTATTAAAAACCCGGATTAAAAAGCATAAGTAGCTTTGGCCCAGCTTTTTCTCAACGAAAGGATCCGTTACGGGTCATGTTGCCTGTACTATTAGATAGAATGATCAATATGAGCAATACCTTGAACGATTTCAAATTAAAAGTGTAGCATATGTTACGAATCAATACTTCTAGAAATTCAAATAATATTATCATTCTATCATACTCCAGCATATGGGCGACATTTATTGGGGGGGGAGGGGGGAGGGTGTTCTTGGGTATGTTTTGAGTGAATTCTTCCGGGACTCCAAATTGGGCCCCGTTTTGAGAGAATTTACACTCAGACTGACGCCCCGTTCTCGTAATAGCACAGTTATTATAATATCTGACCATGGCCAAAATTAAATAGCCCGTTACAAAAATTCGTCATTTTGTTAAGCAAGCAGTTGAACATTTCGTGAATTTGACAAAAATCAAAAACGAACAAACAAAATATACGAAAACAAGTTCGCGCAGCAATCGGAAGGAACACCCACACGCAAGTGTCTCCCTGTCGTCCTTGTAAAAGGCTCAGCTTTTCAAAAAACCTCGCAAGAAGGATAGCCGAGTTGTCTTCTATATGTCGCCCAATAAAGAAAACTGGGACTGTAAGTACATGCCGCGAAAGAGAATAGTATTAGGAGTGATGCATAGGGAAAGAGCCCATTTACGTTATGCAGTCACTGCTCGGGTTGATAACACAGAATAGCAGCATCAGTACGGCAAAAAATATTGCGTGCAAACACCAAGACACACCCTCTTGGTAAAATGACGAGCCCTCCCTCCAGGAAGTTCCGCTGCACGAAATCTTATTGATTCAATTGAATTAATAAGCATTTATAATAGATTTACTGATCTCTTCATTCCTGCAGGTAAAAATATTTTTTCATTCTCAACTTTGGACTTCAGCCTCCAGCTTATTATTTTTAGGACCCTGAAATTTAGCGGAACGCGATAAATTGGTAGGACCGTGAAGATATCAGGCCTTTGCGTGAAACAAGCCGATATAGCATGTGAAAAAATTGTCAGCACTCTCTTAATAGAGCTGATATGCAAACGGGATTAGTGATACTGAGAGGTCTGTATTGACACTGATACTTTTTGCTGTTGTTCTCTTCTAGGCGCACGTGATTCAGGCAAATTTAACCCTCGACTGGGTTCTCTTCAAAGTAGTGACATCGAACGAATCAATCAACTTTCCAAGAATTTGACTTCTCTGTGGCAAAAGCTGGTAATTTGATGAATTTGTTTGTTTGTTTGTTTGAGAAAGCAAAGTGAAAGAGGACGAGAGGAAACCTTTCTAAAAGAAAGAGAAATAAGAGAAATTCCTCTCTAATGGATTTCTACACTAGTACATTTTATATAAGATTATTCGTCGGTATAAGCCTAGAGGCTCTTATGAAAAAATTGTGGCCAGGGAACCACACAACGCAAAATCTTTTTTATTGAGATACTTCAAGCAGATGTCATAAAATTTAAGTCTCTTGATTAAGTTCAAGGCATATCCAGAAATTTTGAGGGTTTTTGTAAAGTCAGGGTGGTCACATTGTGCCCCCTCCAGCCAGGCTAAATAGGTTTAAGTCAAGAGCGATTAAGATATAGGCACGCTTAAGATCAATGAGGCTCATACGGTCAAAGCTTATCTCGTTTCGGTAGTTTGAGCCACCCCTGGATCTTGGTCCGATCCATCGGACCTCATGATGGTTAAAACCGTTTTGCAAATTGTATATACCTAATTCGATAAAGGTTGCTTTGGCAATTGGTCATTGGCGATTGCGCATAGGGCATTCAGGCATACAGAACAACGCAATAATGTGTTTGAGTGACCACAAAAAAATAGATTCCCTGCGCCCAATTACCAATGCCGAAAGAAGACTTTAATGAATCAGCTATACATCCATAGCTTTGATTTACTGTTTACAATCTGTTCCTTCATTTTACAGGAAAACGTCAGCAAAATGGCAGGGCCACCAGGAATGAAAGGCTCTACGGGGCCACAGGGCCCTCGAGGCTTTAATGGTAGTACAGGTGTACCTGGAAAACCTGGTGCAAGCGGACCACCCGGGCCCCCGGGTCCAGAGGGAGCAGACGGCCCTCGAGGCTTTAATGGTAGTGACGGAAAACAAGGTCCACCCGGATCGCCGGGTCCTCAAGGAGCAGAGGGCCCCATGGGACCACCAGGAAAAAATGGTACCAGAGGGCTTAACGGTTCTCCAGGGCCCCCGGGTCCAAGGGGAGCTGGGAACTTTAGCTCGTGTGCTTTTGGACCTCCAGCAGCGCAGTTTGGGAGTGCGGGGCTCTCAGCTGACATTGCCGTTACCATCACTGAGAAAGCGGTAAGAATCGTCCATATATCAATTAATTGGACGACACGAAGTTCTGTTACCAATTAATCATAACTATAACAAAAATTGTGATATAATAGGCTATTTTTTAAATCAAAACACAAGAAATTCGAAATTTTGTTTTGCTAGCAGTGAAAAAAAAAAAGCCATTTAAGCGCGCGCGTGATGACGCATACTGTCCAATTACTTAGGCAAGACGCGTACTGTCCCATTAAACTGTCCAATTAAGGCTGAAATCAGGGCAGTTGATAGCCAATCAGATTTGACAATTTTGTTATAGTTACGATTAGTAATGGTAACAGGACTGAGTGGAGCCCAATTCGGTCTGTAATCATACGAGTGATTAACAAAATCGGACGACCGCGTAGCGGGAGTCCGATTTGTTTAATCACGAGTATGATTACAGACCGAATTGGACGACGCGAAGTTCTGTTACCAATTAATCATAACTTTAACAAAATTTGTGATACAATAGGCTATTTTTTAAACCAAAACACAAGAAATTCGAAATTTTGCTAGCACTGAAAAAAAAAGCCATTTAAGAGCGCGCGTGATGGCGCATACTGTCCAATTACATAGGCATGACGCGTACTGTCCTATTAAACTGTCCAATTAAGGCTGAAATCAGGGCAGTTGATAGCCAATCAGATTTGACAATTTTGTTATAGTTATGATTAGTGTTAAAACACCCATACATAATAGCTGTGAAACACCGGTCTCTTCCATTTCGTACTACATAATCACTTTAGTAGACCCTTGCAAAGTCAGACGACCACGATCGTCAGCAAACTTGGCAGTTGAGCCCACATAACTTAACGGTGATAGGAGATTCGTAAAGTGTGGTGAATGAAAGTCGTAAAGCCTTACAGGTTCTCTTTACTTTTGCCAAGATATGCTAAGGCTTCGAACTGAAAATTGAATTCGAAACTGCAAGGAACGAAATTCTGAGAAGGAATAAATCTTGATTTGGCCCCATTCGAAAATTTTTCAAGAAACTGAGGGTCTTGCAGCGTATGCAGATAATTTTTTTCAAGGAGCTCGTCAAACTACTGACTTGCGGTCACTCGGATAGGTTAGAAAAGTAGTTACAATCTGGATTTTCGAGACTTTTAAACGATTATACAAAAACCTAGTCGCACTTTTTTCAAAACATTACCTTAATTTTGTTCTTTCAGGGGAAAAAAGTGATAGCAACATGCTACTCAAATGATGCCTCCAGTAACAAACTGTCAAGTTCAAAAAATTCTGATGGACTGACTGACTACACCTGTACATGTAAAGGATCGCTCGGCACTGGGGTAAAAATCATGTCTTGTACCATAATCTACTTGCAATGCGACCTATAAACTCTCAATAATCATGTAAATAATTTCGATGATTTTGGGCAAAATTGGTAAAAAAGCGGAATATGTTGCCTAATTTTACCACATCGACCATGGTACAAGTTTTCTTGAAGAAACATAAAAAGCTCTTTAAAAAGCTGAAATAATATAACTGGTTCAAAGAATATTTGCACAGCAAACAAGAGAGAATGAGGTAAGTATCTCATTCTCTCTTGATAGCAAAGTATTTTCTTACTCGATTGAAGTAACTGTGTGATAAAAATCATCTTTCCCCGTTCATTAGAATGCATGGTGTTCCTGTGGCACTAAGGCAGAAATTTTCGAGCTATCACGGGCGACTGCAAATTAGCCGCCCCTATTCATTTTTATCAGGGGCACCTCGGCCGGGAAACTGGACTCCTTTCGACTCGATTTCCTATCCGTAATTTTTCCGTAGGTAACGAACGCGGATCCGTAATCAATTATTACCTCAGTCTAGTCTGTAAAGTTTGGGTGATTCTTGGTGTTGCGGAAAATTTCTTTCTCTTGTTTGACGGAATGATAAATTTAAAATGTATTTGCTAAAGATGTTAAAATAACGAACAAGGAATTTCCTTTTACTGTTTGTAAACAAATGTAAATAGCAGATGAAGTATTTCCTGGAGTAACCGGACAGGCTCTACTAATTCAAATTTGGATCTGGTGTGGTGGTGCTTAGGCTTAGAGAGAAGATTAAAACAACGGATAATCCACATAAATAAACACTGGAAATAAACAGAGATAACAAAATGGTCTTAAACAGAATTAACGGAGAAAAACGCATTTTCTATGTTGACGCTGGCATAGTCAAACTAACTCGCTCCCAAGGTTTTCGCAGGAGAGAAACCTGGCAACGATGTTAATATTCAATAAAAGTGGCGAAAAGGAGGCTTTCCTTGTGATAATTTCTTAGGTTAGGGGAAGTAGAGGAGAGCACTTATTACAGCCTGGCCGCTCATTCAAGGAAATACGATAACTTGATATGACAATGACAGCACGGCGTGCTCGTCCACTCTTGTACAGTGAATATGTAAATAGCAAAGTACCTGAATTTTTGCACAGCGTATGAATGATAATTTACAATTATAATATAAATGTTTGTAGCATATGTAAAATTTGTAATTTATGTATTAATTATTTAATATATCATGGGTTATAAAACAAAAGAGAACGACTGCGCAAAATATTTAAGTTTGGGGGGAAATAAAAGAAATAAAATACCTTAATGTTAGTTGTTAGTCTCTTCTGTATTGGGTCAGCTACGCGACGCTGATGACCGGCTGGATCGCAAAAATTTATGGTCGTTTATCACATCACTTTATATTTTACCTTAAAAAAAGAAATCCAAATTTCAGAAGCATAAGCAGACGCATGACGTCACGGCGGCCATATTGCAGTACAAAACAATGAACATGTTGGCCAAACAACAAACAAAGAAATCCTGTGGGGATTGAACTCGTTTCCAACGCAAAACGTTCTTTTGTTCTAAGAAATTGGTGACAGATGCTAGATTCGATGTGAATATGCCAACTGGAGGACAGGGGGGGATGGGTGCCAGAGAATAGGAGGGTGGGAGAGGTGCGGGAGGGGCACCTGAAGATATTTGAAATAATTAGTACTCAATCAGGGGTGTTGGGAATGAAAATAGTTTTAAAATCATACCCTTAGTACACTATTCGACCTATATGGACTGTTTGGGGGGCGGGGAGGCGGGGTAGTGTTGACGAATGGTTAGCGTGTTGAACTCCAATCCCGCGGTCCTGGGTGTGCCTCACGCTCCTCGAATACCACCACTTAATCTTGTTCCCAGTCCTTCCTTGGAAAAAGGGAGAAGAGTCCTGGGGACCAGGTTGGCCACTAGCTGTCCGCTCTTAGCCGCTTGCGTTTGTAAATCCCCAAAGAGATTCTTTCCTGCTAGTAGGAGATTTTTTTATCATGTTGTGATGTGTTCTTATTGGATTCTGCTTTACCACAATGGATAAAGCATTTACCATTTAACATATAATGTGAAGGCATAATTTATTGCTGGTTTTCAGTGTCACGCAATACAAAATGTATAGATCAAATCAAAAATCAAAACCGTTCAACAGATTAAGTCCAGAATCTGGGGAATGAAAGAAGGTAAATATACAAAGACCCTCGCCAAGATTCGGGTCAGAGGAATATTTCGTGTACGAGATATCCGAAGAAATGTTTTACCCAAGTTTATAGAGATTTGTAAGGAGACGCCATGCTGGTGCCCACCTGGATGGGCACCAACATGGGGGACGGAAACCAACAGAAAGATCTGTTACTGAGTTTTGCTACAAAAGCGTGAATTTATCCCTCGAGGAACTCATAAACATTAAAGTAATACTTTTTCTAATACATTAGCAAAGTTCCCCGAAATAAGTCACTTTTTTAACCTACATGCCGCGTCACGCAAAAGCTTAGAAATTCAAGCGTACCCTAACATAAAAACCAAGAACTTTTTTAAAGCGAAAATTTATATGAACATTAGTTTTCAGCTGCTCTAATACATCATGAAAGCAAAATCTCAGTAGGATCGATAGTTTTGTAGTTTGAATTTTAGTGACGTCAAGTGAAAACCAAGAATATCCGGTTCAAGGAATTCATCTTTGAATCTAGTTATTGAGATGTTATTAAGAGGAAATTCAGTACTTTTGTGGTGAAAGGGCAATAAAAACATTTTCAGGTGATAATATAACACAACTGGACACCGCGGCAAAAAAGAATGCAAGGACGCTGTTTCAGATGAAGTGTGATGAAAGCCCACCCAACTTTGCTCAAAGCATCAGTCGGCTCCTCGTTTTTCTATCAAATCCAACTGGGACAAAAAAATAGGTGGAGTTATCGGCATATCTTGCTAAACGATTTCTCAAAGAGGTCATTCTTTCAGTTCTTTTTTCCCAACTGAGGCGAAAATTCTGAGTGCTGTCAAGGCTATTCACCGTCAACTCGTCTTCAGTATGTTCAAGTTGCCAGCCTTTCGACTGAGTAAAACCGTGAAAGTCCAGCCAACTAACGAACTCCACTTAAAGAACCGTGAAGAGGAAGTCGAAAACTTAGAGGGTCATGAATATAGCTTGAAAGGAACTTGTGGAGGTGGCAGGCCCGCGACAAAAGATGTAATGTGTACGCCCAGTATTGAGCGACTTCGTAAGGAGGTTAAATTTCTCCGTATTCTAGTTGGAGCTCTTATCGTCGTTTCAGTCATCTCCTTTGTCTTGAACATTTGGATCATTCACAAAGATGGAAAGCAAAACAAACCCCAGAATCAAGGTATGATGGAGTGCTTATGATTAAAATAGACACGTAAATTTCAGTTTATCTACACATATTAAGCTAATTTAAGGCCAGGGAGGAAAATATCCCAAGTTATCGTGTTTTATTACTCTAAGTTTTGGAGTCAGATTCGAGTTAAGCAGTTAAATTGAATGGTCGGCAAATTATAATGCTGTCTCAAAAGCAAACTCGTATTCACAACTGAAAGTATTTCTCAATCGGGCATTGCTTGAGGTCTTTGTCTTTTCTCGGATGTAGAAATACACTTTTTGAGGAAAATCCAAAAACTACCTTTTTCTTTCCCGGATCACGGATACACTTGGGTTTTTCCACAACTAAAGGGGGAAAGCATCGGAATCGAAAACAGCTCACTAGTTTTATATTAAGGGGGGAATACATTTTTAGAGATAAGTTTAGCAACCATCATTTAAAGGAACACGAAAAACTGTTTGCCACAACTGAGCTACCCTCCTTCAGCCGCAAATCTTACGGTCTGAATACACCTTGTCAGAATGAGAATTTTTCAGTTATAGATACGTGATCCACGAGGTAAAGAAACAAAGATTTGGCTTTCTGATCCACGAGGTGAAACCTTTGATGTTAGTTGTTTGTACAGTACTGTTTGTCCTTTGGACTTTTAATAAGGAAGGATGCGTTTTTCTCTAATGATTTCGTTTTTATAAGGAAATCTTGCCAGTGAAAGGTTAATCCATTTTTAAAAGTCACACAAATTAAAAGCTCATTAGCACGCTTCATTTATGCCCTTTTTACGACGTTTAAGTATTGGCGATTTGAGCCTCAAATCGTTTTGAAGATGTTTTTAGAGAATACATTGAAACATTTCAATAAATATTATGCATAAAAGGCTGCATTGTTCTTGTCACCACATACAATCTTACAGGTTCTCGTTTTCAGCCAACAACTGGGTTGAGATGGCCCATACTGTTACAACAGCGATACTACATTATGTTCAATAAGAGAACCTCGATTGCCTCTTTAGAACAGGTGGTAATAAATGTTCTAATTTTCTTTTTATTGAAAAAGGCTTATAGAAATAGAGTCAACCGACTAGAAAAAAGGGTATTAGCTGCCCGGGGGGGTGGTACCCCTTATATACGGGGAGGCTCCGCCCGAAAGGGGAACCTTTTTCAGTCTTCAGGTATATAAAGGGGTGGAGGTTTCACTAGTTGACCTAAAGTGCATGAAAGGGTAAGGAAATCTGTCATTGCAGTTTGTGAAAGGACCTTAGATAGCTAACGGGCACATTCTATGGCCGCGTAAAAAAAAGACAAGAAAACTTTCTGGTTTAGAGTTTGATATGACGCTATATTTACAGCAGTTACAACGGATACAGCGATCTAAACTTAAAAGGTACCATTTTTCAATAAAAGGTATACGACACGGCTACCTCTTCTGCCAAAATGGCTCAGAGGCATTGTACAGAGGTGACCGTTATAGCGAGGTTGAAATAAGAGTGAATGTATGGACTGTCCGCTCCAAAAAAATGGCCGTTGTAGAAAGGTGGCCGCTGTGGAGGGGTGGTCGTTAATGGAGGTTCGACTGTATTTAAAAGGTGAGAGGTTGGACGCCGGGCAATGGTCTCCTTGTATAAAATTTTGTTGAGTGCTCCCCCCCCCCGGGATTAGCTGTTTAGCCAATCACGTAACATTAAAGATTGTGAGGCAACTGACACGCGCACCTGTAGACGATTGCCCTTTAAATCATAAAGATTATCATCTTGGCTTTATTGGCTTAAAAGTCGATGTTCTTTAAATTGAGTTGACCTCAGAGCTGAGACATGCGGTGCTTGTTTGTGTACCCTTTAGGCAAATCTGCCAGCGAAACAGGGAAGCTCTTGGGGGCAGTAAACGAAACCACACCGGAAAAGAGCAAAATGCACGCAAAAACAAATGAACAGTCTGCGGTGGAAGATCCCAACCTGGGTGGTGACAACAACGGAAATACTCAAGTAGTTTTTAATACCACAAATAAACGACTGGAGAGGCTGGAAAAAGAAGCAAGAGATTTGAAAGACCAGATAAAAAACATAAGAGGAGTGCAATGCAACATTTCGGACGCAGAGTTAATGGTAAGTGCTTTTAAATGACGTTCAGAAACGCGGATTTTCGGGGTTAATTTTGATATCAATGACTGTTGTTTTGTCTAGACCCACGTGATGTTTTTAGATCAACAGCTGGAAACAACACACGCTACGACCTTGAGTGAGTTTCAATTGAGGAGGCGGGACTATAAACATTGGAACTCTCGTTAAAGACTAAAATTACACCCAACAGCAGTTCCTGACCGGAAGCTTTTAGCGACTGTTTTAGATAACAATCTTATTGCAGTAGTTTAATCTACCAAGCCTCTGCAATAATACTACAAATCGCTTCTACTCTTTTTGAGTGACCATATTTTTAGAAAAGTTACATTTGGTTGTCAGCATTTGCTATGGCCTCTAATTTTACACTTCCGTATCAAAGAACTCACCGTTCCTGATCGATTTTCATTGAAGCCATCCGCTTTTCTTATTTGACTGGGCTCTGTTTACTGCGCATGACGCGGGGAAACTTTTAACCTCTGAAAAAAGAAAACCCGAACAGTGGGCACTTTTTCGACACCACCCAACGAACGGCAAGGAGAGGCTTTAGATCCTACCTGTCGTAATAAAATAGCGAGAATTTAGCGCCGATGGTGGTCCGCCTTTTTTTGTCAATTTGTTTAATTTCTGAATAATCCTCTCGGATCTTTCTTCCAGAGCCTAAAGTTGCGTACACTAACGTTCTCAAAGTTCCTTGGTCAAACTTCCTTAATAGCATCTCGAATTCAGGGGCACCATAAACCTCGGCCCCATTTCTCTGAATTTTCTGGAACTACGCCTGTATAGTCAAACCTCTACTAACAGTTACTTTGTTCCTCCTACGGACACGCCATACATTCACTCCGCGCGAAACGGTCAAGTTAAAGCGAGAAAACGAAGGGGGAGGGGGCGAGGGAAAGAGGACACTCTGCTTTCTTTCTCTCGCCCCCTTCCACTTCGCTTTCTTGTTTGACCACGTTCAGCTTTCGTGCGGCTGTATCCCTTACTTTAACGCCTGCCACGCACGCTACAGTTTAGAATTGATCAACTTAACTAGTGTGAGCTAACTTCTGAAAATTTTCAAATGAGACTTATACATCGAATCCTTTGACTGCCAACCTAGAAATGTACTTGTTTTTAACACAGATATCAAAGAGAGGGCAAGATTTACAGACGAATCTTACAGTGCTGCAGGAAAAATTTGCGCTTTTAAACGCATCGCTTATTGGACAGGTATGTCCCAAGAATTACATAACCAAGAGAAAAGGTTTTGAGAATTAACGAAATGATCAACCAAAGAAAAAAGCGCTTTTATCTTTTATCCAAAACTCTCAACTAATTCTGTAAGGAAATATACAGAGTTAAGTCTGGAGAATATATATTTAGGTATTGGCACTTAAAAATACCATAAAACTCTATAACATACAGACTCAGCTTCTACTGGGTATATTTATTTCAGCCTCTCTTGTTAAAAAGGCCTGCTGGCTGAAGGTGAACGTGCGTGAGGACATTTATTACAGAGGGTTGCATCATATATCCTGTTATTAATATTTGTATACGGTCAGTCTACAAGTCTACTCTCTTCTGAGAATAGCAAATCTATATAAAGCACAGGAAACCAGCCTTTCGTCATGCAAAATTGCAGCATGTACACATGTACCCAACGCATTTGCCCGTTGGAATTTTTTACTGTTTTTAAGCTTAAAAACATAATTCTAACAGGCAAATATGACATTATAAGCGAATGTTTTAACATGAAATAATTAGGATGAAGAAAAAAATTTCCTTTTTAAATTTTTAATTACCTCATCACACTTTTTTAAATAATCAAATGTAGAAGTGCAAGGCTGTGCCCTAAGAAAAATTCTAGGGAGCCAATGCTCTGAACCAGTGAAATCAAGTATTTCCTTGTCAACCAAGAGCAAAAGTAAGGCACAAGGGATCTCTGGGTGCTGCAAAGGCACAGCCTTGAAATGCAATGGCAAGAGTTGAATTATGCCATTTTTTCTTTGAAAATGTCAGATCAACAATTTAACCAAGCAGTCTGGTCCAGTGGGTCCAGCAGGACCCCCTGGTTCACCAGGAGTCAAAGGAATACAAGGTCCCATGGGTCCCAGGGGAGAACAAGGGTATAATGGTTCCCAAGGACCTCCAGGAGCAGTAGGACCTCCGGGTCTTAATGGATCACCAGGTCTCCAGGGGCCTCCTGGTCTGCAGGGGCCTGGAAACCTCACTTGCTGTCAATACAAGACTGAAAAGTCTGGTGGGGTCAGTGGAGGGCCAAATGCCGTCAATGATGTCAGTGCAAAGGAGATGAAGGTAAGCTTAACCATAAGTGAATGATAAACATTCCAGCATTCTACCCAATTTGCCTCCAAAGGGACTTTTTCTGCAAAGTAGCTGTAACAACCCTGGTACACCCTCGAGCCCCCCCGGAATTCCACCTTTGAAGGCAGAAAAATCAGCAAGTATAATAAGCCAGGATTTAGCTTTTCTGGGTCTTGAGTGTCCTTGCATAGTAATATATAAGTTACACAAATGCGATAGCATTGTCATATCTGGGAATTATCCCAACTTGCCAGGTAAATGTAATCAGTTGATCAATTATGCAACGTTTGTCCTGTGCTTGCTCAACTTTCTACGATGCAAATTTAAGACAAAGAAACGTTTGATTTCTTCAAACATTTCACGCATCATAAAATGTGCCCTGATCTCCCATTACCCCTTCTGAGTTTCTGATATAACTTATTTATAAAATAGGAAGGATTTGTCAAATATCTTTATATCCTAAACCATTTGACCATAAGCCACAGAAAATATGAATTTCGACTGACAAAAATTAACTTTGACTTAAATGAAGTTGAATTACTCACATTGAAGTAGTTGATCATAGTTTCAGTTCGTTTCTTCCCATGTAACCCTTGTTCCAACCCAGGGAAATGCTTCGTCTGATTCAAACCGGTTCAAATCTTCTGTTTACCGCGCCAGCATTTAATCTTGGTAACCGAGCTCGTCCTTAGCACCCGCGCCTGCGTTTTGAGGAGAAGCTCGGTTACCAAGAAATCACAGGCAACCCAAGCTGTCACCTGTAATTTGCTTTCTCAAAAGAGAGTCGGTGTCGTGTTACAGGCGATTGTTGAGATGTTGTACGAGAAATAAAATACTGAGGTTTGCAAACGCTCAATAATGTCATTATAGTTTACCTTTTTTGACCATTTTTCTGTAAAGTAAATAAAGGAGACTTAGCTTTGATGTATTCCTGTGTTTTTTGGTGTGAATTCATCGATTTAGTCGACTTTTTTGGTTCTACATCTAATTGTGTGACCTGTCACCCCCGATTTAAAAGACGAAGTGACAACGAATAAAGGAGAAGATACAGCTGCAAATGCTAACCTCGTCTATTCCACTAGGATGTCAAGATCATCTCAGCAACCTGCTCATCAAACGACGCACGGTCAAACTTGTTGTCAAGTTCTTTCCTTCAAGGATTTCGATACTACACCTGCAGCTGTACTGGTTCCCTTACAGGCTCTTCGTGGCCTACAATGTTCTGCTATATACACTACTGGGAGTGCTGCCTGGTCTCTTAACCTAATTGTCTCCTCTTTTTGTACTGTGCCTGCGAAGTAAGCGTTTAAGTGTAGCGGTGCGCGAACGATTGTTGCAAGGGCAAAAAAGGGTTACAGGGGGGGGAGGGGGGGTTGTTAAGTAAGGAGAGTCAGTTGGCTGACAAGCTCCTTGATTTTTGAATGATACGGTTTGTCAGCAAGCGTTTCCTTTTTCTTCCTCCCTAACCTACGACTAAACCCACTCCTTTCCCTTTTTTTGCCTTTCGCCACAACGTTTGCGAGTTTTTTGAACGAGAACGCTTTATAGTAAACGAAAACGAAGCTTTTTGAAAAGGTACTAATGTAGACGAGGCCTTATACAGGTTAATATGTCGTTACAACGATTCACCCTTTGGTGCATATTTTACTTAATCTCATTTAAGAAGTCTCCGTTTAAGCTTGAAACGCAGCTAATCTGAGGAGCTACAGTAGATTCAGTAGTGTGTTGAGAAGTCTTTCAGTCTGTAGATAAAATTCATAGCTGGAGAAAACAGTCGACATTTCGCGACGCCACCACTAGTTTTCCCGCGAAATGACGTCGGAGAAACGAGCACAGAAATTTCATACTGATGACGTGTCACTACCCAGATTTGGGAAGTGCTTCCCTCGCGGTACGACCAATCAGAAGCACTACCCAGATCTGGGTGGTGACACGACACCAGTATGGAATTTCGGCGTCCGTTCGTCAGTCATTTTGCTGGGAAATATGTGGCGTCGCAAAATGCCAGCTATTTCTCCGGCTAACAAATTGAATTCGTAGGAGTAATGACTAATTTTTCCGTAACAAGAAGTTTCCGTTTTTGAGTCGGTGAAATACTGAAGGTTACGGTAGAATACTTTTAAAATGTCAAACACGACTTCCACACGTTAATAAGCGTAATACTTCTTTTTACTCTCGTAACTAGGAAACTTCTCCCTTTTTCAAAATACAAGTAAATGTTACCCTATGTTCCTTTTTTCATTGAAATATATACCCCATAATTAATTTTCAAACCACTGCTGTCATATTATAAAATCGTTCCTATGTAAAACATGTACCAAAAAATAATCCGTTACTAGTATAGAATTGCTAGAAATGGCACCTTATAATTATCATTTGACAATTAAATTATATTACATTTCATTATAATTATTACCGGCTGTTAGCTTTGTTTTTTTCTATTTTACACCTTTTTTACGACGAACATGAGTAAAAATAATTATTTTATTGCTCTCAAAGCAATGTTGACCTCTCAAGAACTCAACAGCTAGTAGCAATAACTTTCAAATTTCTATCTCGCAGGGTGTTAGTTATTCTTTTTATTATCTCTCTCTGTAAGTATTGGATCTGCGGATAGTCAATAGGCCATTTGCACGAAGGCGTCATTTTACTATTATGACCAGAATCCTTATCGTTTTTCCTTTCACATTAAAGAACAAAAACCCTAATTTGCACAAGAGATCAAAACCCTGAAGGATTCTGGTCGTAGTAATAAAATGACGTCATCGTACAAATGGCCTATTTAATTCGCCACTTTAGAAACGAGAAAGGAACTGGAGCCGAAATTCGTCCCGCAATTGTTTCTGGGATCGCTACTGGGGACGCACCGGTCAGCTATTGGCCAATTTATTTTTTTCCCTGTCGCGAGAAAAGTCCCAGTCCCAGAAGTCTTCGGGAAATTTAATTCGGCCCAGTTTCCTTTCTCGTTCTAAAGTGGCAAATGAGGTGAATTTTACTTAGTTCACGCGTTTGTGTCTTTCGCGACTGATTGAGGTTACACACGAATCATCAAGTGGGAATAAATGAAATTTGCAAACCCCGCAATTAATTGTAAGAGTGTCATGTCAAGTTAAAACTTGCGCTTTGCGCACATATGTTACTTAACAAGAACAGGAACAAGAACAGATGATGCGTACCGTATTCCCGCCATATTATTGTCACGCAAGGGCCATATTGGCTCTTGTCACGATAAGGGGTCATTTGCAGTCTTCCGTTTCCATGGACGTAACCAGTCCAAGTTCAATATCTGGGAATAGTTATCCATTTTTCAATTTTCTCAAAGAAACGCACCCTCGGTCAACTCTTCGTGCAATTCTAGGTTGTTTAAAATTCAAATTTTCTAAAATTTTGTTGTAGCTGATCGCAATAAAGACACCATCGAAGCAATGGTATCCAGACAAATAGCAACTTCAAAACCTCTCTAAATGTCGTAATAAATAATCTTTGCCAATCACAAAGCCTTGCTATGTGAAAATTCACTATCTACAAAAATAATTGGTTCATTTTTTTTCTCGTACAAATTTCAGTCTTTTTGTTTCAATATGTACAATTTGTTGGACTCGGGTTAAACGCCTTAGTTCACATGAGCCGAACCTAAAGTTAATAAGTAAAAGCTGTTGCTGTCACACATTACGATTCGGTTCAGCTCGTGTAAATAAGGCGTTTGACCCTAGCGTTATCTCTTACGAAGAGGCTCTTTGCGCCGTCACGCAACGCTCCTCCCCAGCAGAGTTGTGTGACGATTCAGAGAACCAACCAGGCTGTCATCTTTGGCTGGAATGTAATTTTAGCGTTCTGCTGTGGAAGGGTGGGCAGATAAAGGATTAATATCAGCCTAAGTGTTACACTTAAGGATTCTCATGTCGGTAATGCTACGTTTGATCCCTCTGAAGTTCAATAGCGGTCGGTGACATGTTCAAACATGTCATCCAAATGTTCATGCTTTGCTCGCTTGGAGCGTTCATAGTGTACGTCCGATCTGGCGTGTCCACACAAAACAGGAAGTGACGTTTGTTCTTGCCGCAGTTCCGGTGTTCATACACACGAGTGATCGCCTTGCAGCTGATGGCGCCTTTGGGGCTGTCTGCCTGTAAATTCAATTTAGTGTTAACAGATAGGTAACTACTAAGTAAGCACCATGGCCAATAACAACACGAGCTGACAATTAAACGAACCAATCATATCTCGAAGTGTAGCTGGTACAAGCGCGGGAAAAACACGTAAAAGTAAGTCATGGTGGCTTCTGATTTTAGATCACAACACAAATTACAAAAGAGAATTGAATGGAAAAGCAAACACGTAATGAATTCTACTCGTTGTGGTCAAATGTCGCCATCGTGAAAATGCCTTCGATTCTTCTCCAAATAGCGTGCATATCTGCAATTTAGTTTCTTAATTTACCACACCCGCAGTTTTGTGGTCTTACTGAACATACTTAAGTTTAAAACAAACTTTCAACTCAAAAATTGTACTTTACCTTCTCAGTTTCGAAGTAAGCCAAGTATTTCTTTGTGAGGTCAAGTACGAACCATCGCTTTTTCCAACTCTTTCGAACCTCTAAAGAAACAAGAGAAATGGAGCTCTCTTGGAATGGATATTTTGTACATAACAAAAATTCCTGTGAAAATCTTTTAATCTCGAACACGGTTTCCCTTTGGTGTAAACTCTGGCCTCGCACCTCGACTTGCAAGTTAACAATAACTAATATTGTACTGGAAAAACTACATTTAACTGAGCGCGGTGAAATGGCTTGAATAGCACAATTCTCCAAGAGGATCGAAAGAGGACAAAAAAACAAAAGAACTTACGCCCTTGTTTAACCATGTAACCACAACACTGTGTGTCGGAAACGCAGACATCTCTGTCTGATTGATGGTCAATACCTGAAACGAAATGGATAATATAAAGGTACTTAAAGTAATTACAGTAACTAGGAACAGTTGTAAGCGGCTTAAGTAAGAGAAATCAAATGAGACGGTAGAGGTACTAGGGGTATTAGACAAGAAGTCTATAAGGAAATTATTCGTTTGACAAGATAGCAGCTCACTAAATAAATTGAGTATCGCCTCGGCAAGGGGGAGGGGGGAGGACAAACTTAAAAACCCTGCCGATCCCCTACGCCTCTTCAAATCATAATCTCCCTTCCCCCGCCCCCCTGCCTCCTACGGACGGACCGATACTGTAGGGCAGGAATTGCCGTGTTCATAGCAAGTTGCATTAGACCTGAACATGTAAACTGAGTAATTGTGAAAGACAAGATACCAGTTACAAGTTTCCAGGGTATCTGAAACAGAGTGATCCTAGAAACGAGGCTGGTTAGCTGTGACCATGCAATGTGTATACACGAACTGGTAATCAGAGCGCTAAGCGATACATTCACACTTCCTAACTGCTGGCGAAATTTTACATACTACAAACAAGAGGAATACACAAATTGCATTTTAAATGATACGGTTACATTCTGCTCTAGTCACCTGTACTGTCGAGGTACTCCTTCAAGCTGCTGTATTTCTCTGCAATGGGGTGGTTCCTCACATCATTAGCAGGCTCTTGTGAATCAAAAGGATTATGAAATAAGTTACAATAGTGATACTTATAAAACAGTTTCATCGAATACGCTAAATAAGATAAAGTCTGACAGAGACGGTAGGGAGTTTTAGCATCGGCGACGGCGACGTCAGCGAAAACGTCACTTTTAAAATGAATTAGCTTTTTTTTCAAACTTGGTCGCGTTTATTCTAATTCGCTGAAAATGTCTAATGTAGGCAAAATTCCCTGGAGTTGATTTCTTGGGGACCGCACTCAAGCTTAGAAAGAGAAAGAAAATTTCGTCGTCGCTTGTCTACGTCCTCCGTAAAACGTGAAATTAGGCATTTTCACGTCGTAATCGTGCAGTAATGGCAAAGAAATGTACAAAAAAGCGTGATGCACATGCAAACTTGTTGTTTTGCTCAATAAACCTATTGCTGTTTAGACGTTCTCGTTGCCGTCGCCGTCGTCGTTGCTAAAACTCCCTGGTTTCTCTTCGAGACGGCAACCTCCATAACATAGACTCGTGAAGTTGTTCCCTGCAGTTTTTTAGTCATTTTTAAAGACAATTCTCTAAAGCTCCAGTTACGCTTGACAACCGTTCTAACAACTAGCCTCAAAATCTTGTTTCGCCGTTGCAAGACAAGTTACGGGAAGCTTTAATAGCTCTTTATAGCATAAATTGTGCGACTTTTTACGTTAGAGTTGAAATTGAGGGGGAATCGGCCGGAAACAGCCTTTTTAAGTTCAAAGTCTCTATAACAACAGCAAGTTAACCATGACGAGGGAAAAGATGACTGCAATGGTCACTGAAAAAAAAAAAAGGAAGTGACACGTATTTACCTTTATTTATTACGTTGAGGATTTGTTCTGTGTAAAATTTACTGCTTCCAACTCGACGCTTCGACGTCGCTTTCTTCGAAGCTCGTTTTTGGCGCGTATTAACATCTAACATATCATCTAACGAACGACTGCGGGTCATACGTCTCTTAAGGGATAATGACGTCATTGATGACGAAAATGAATCCGGGTCCTCCTCGCCTAAGCTGGAGCCCAAACTCGCCCAGTTCCCGGATACATCAAGGGCGTGGTTGAGAGAACCGTTGCTGCCACTGTGAAGTGACCCAATAGGATCGTAAGAGTTCTTCTTTTGTAACGCACGAGATAAGGTAGCCGTGTGAATAGAGAGCGTTGAGGAAGTATCTTTGGAGTCGACATCCGCTAGCTGATGTATCAGTTTAGAATATCTTTCTAACAGATCCTGAAGAAAAAGAGGAAAGTTGGTCTCTCTCGACTTTTTTATGTAAACATTGATAGATGCAGAGTTGCTATACGCCTCTGAAACTGGTACAGAACTCAGAGCCTCGATTCCAGTGTAAACAAGAAAGCTTGACATTTCGGGGATGACAAGCAGATGATGAGCCAGCGTGTTTTCTTTCAGCCAATTAGAAGTAAGTAAAAATCGACCAATAGCTGACTGGCGCGTCCTCAGTAACCATCCCAGAAAAATTTGCGGGACGTAAATTCGGCTCCAGTTCTCTGCCTGTTTCTAAAGAGGCGGATGTAACATGTAATCGAACCAATTAATAAGTACAAAAGGAAATTTGTGTTTTTCAATTAGTCAATGATTGGTTATACTGTAATACCTGGTACTCGTTCTCCAGCTTTAGAGCCTGTATCTCAGCTGCTTTAGCAGCATCCTGCACGTGATCAGTACGGTACCGATTGACATAAAATGACGACCACAGCTTTAGACAAGGTATCTTGTATTCAGGGTGCAGAACTCTAGGGGCAAAAACACACAAGGACTCGTTTTTATACAGCTCAACACAACACCAACCACCCAACGCACTAACTTGTTTTATTATATGGCTGAATCGTCGAGCGGGCAACTCAGATGAGGCAAATCCTGTGTTCTGAGTGGCTACCCGAGAGGGACAAGATGGGTCTATTTTGCCCACTCCGCTCGGGATTTCCCGGGTTAGTCCCGCAAGAAACAGTTCTCGTATTGGCAATATAATAAATCTTTAATTGACCAATCAAGGCTGGACATACAATGATCAATATTCCTTGAAGACATTCTCAGCTACAGATCGCACAATGTAAACAGTATTTGTCACGGTACTGGCTTCTCTTCCATTCAAGTATCACAAGTTTTTTTTTTTCCTGGTAGTTAATCTGACTTATTACTGACTAAATTGCAGTCTTAAGAGCGAAGCGTGCAACGAGCTTCACAATAAGTCTGATTTATTGTTATAATTAAATGAACTTCAGATAAATTCAGTACCTCCGGTCCTGGTTATAATAGCGCTGATTGACAAATTTGTCAGGATCTGACATTGAATTGACGTTAAGCCAGGTCCAGAGTGAAAGAGTTTTATCCTCAATATCTTCCTGCAAGGACAGAAAAATCTCTCAAGATTTTCTTCAGGCCATTTTGAACTTGCGCGAAGTCTGGGTCGCTGTTCTATCGAATTGCACTATGGTTTTGGTTTGGGGAACGAATTATGACCTAGTTTCGCGCACCCTAGTAAATTCGAGAAGGAAACTGGGACGAGTTAACTTTCGCAACGACTTCTGGGAATGTTACAAGGAAGAGGGAAAACAAATTGGCCAATAGCTGACCAGCGCGTCCCCTGTGACCATCCCAAAGGTCCTCGAATGCAATAAACCACAGTGTCCCAAAACAGCCCCATGGTGCAGATCATCACAACATCGACGCCCAGAGTCACATGCAGCGACCTCAAAATGGCTCATCATCATAAGAAACAGTATCCAAGTAGTTTTACGTGGCAAGAAAGCCCACATTGGCCGTTTTATTTTATCCGTACAAAAGGACGAATTATCGTCGTCAGGACAAACGCATTATGCGTCCAGACGAAACATTTTTCGTTCAAGACGTATTACGAATGTTCGTCTGCCCGTCTTTATGCGTCTCAGATGAATAATGTTTGGGTTCGTCCAGAAGAATAATGCGACTGTGGTATAAAAACGGCCATTTACAAAAGGTTTCCAACAACTATAGTCGAAATTCTCTTAAAGGGACACTTTAGTGACGTATCCACAAATGGGGCTGACCGCTGACCGCTTCCTTAAGTAAAGCTGGGCTACCCGCTTACGAGAGTGCCTCCACTGCAATCAGTCGCAGAGGACTTTCATAGTTCTCCCCGAAAAGACGCATTACACGAGGCAAGTACCGCGAAAAACAAACTAAAGTGTAGGTCAAACACAATGATGGTTATATAGCGAATCTCTGCTTCCCATTCACTTGTTAGTAAAGAGGATTAACAAACAAAGGATGTCAAGTAAACGCACCTCATCCCGTTCTCTTTCAGAGTTTACAATAAACGTTCCAAACCGGGATGAATACACGTGCTCTGCAATCATCTGCAAACACAGAAACAAAGGTTTTACAATTGCATTTGTTTATGAACTCAAGCGGGTTCGCGTAGACAAAGCACGCGTAACGAGATGATTTAAAAAGAAGAAAGATTTACCTCCAGTAATAGACTGTTGAACTGGAATGAAAACGGGAACTGTTGAAGCACCTGAAGAGGAATAAACGGAGACATTTTTTTTTTTATGGTCATTTTTCTTAACCTACGTCACCTTGATCAAAATTCATTTAATTTCATCGGTAGTTTCTTGGTGTTGTGTAGGTGTGCAATCACAAAAGGACGTTATACAAAAGATTGACAAGACACCAAAGAATACCCACATCACAAAAAAATACCTATAAACCAACAATAGTATCCGCAAGGCCGAGAAACACCCAATTTATCCTCGTTATCTCGAGCAAACTTTCACCAGACTGACCAGAGAAACCGAACTAACGTATTATAATAAGACCATCTTAATCTCTCACCGTCTCTGTCAAAAACTGCTGTTACTTTTTCTTGAGTACAGGTAGTAAGTGAAACTACTGTAATTTTTTAACCCTAACCTACGAGCCTGACAACGGAAAGTGACGGATCGTGATTGGTCGAGCCGCGAGGGAAATTTGCTTCAACCAATCAGAAACACTACCCAAATCTTGATAGAGACACGTCATCAGAATGGAATTTCTGCGCTCGTTTCTCAGACGTCATTTCGCGGGAAAACCAGTGGTAGCGTCGCGAAATGTCGGCCTTTTTTCTCAGGCTACGGTTTGTAGACACTATCACCTTACCTGCCAAACACAGTCTAACCACTGTAGAAAAACAGGGCTGTGTTCCTCTGGCGGCTGAGGGTATAGGGTGCGGTCGTGAAATTTGTGACCAAACGACAACCACTCTTTTTGAATCAAAACCTACAAAGATATAGTTCGACATGTACAGATATTAATCTTATGCTACAAACTCGGACAAAACTGATGAGACAATTCTACCTTTTTCTAACTTCAGCGGCATACTACCATCTCGTGTAAACAGAAACAGAAAAAGTAAGCCCTTTCCCACCCCTAATTTACCTGGAATCCGCTCACAGTTCTGTAATATGGATCCAGCAACAGTTGCGCTAAACTGGCCACCTAGTAAGCAAAGAATGAACCTCGTGAGTGCCAAAAGGCGTAGCCTGTGGACTGGGTTCTTGAAGGGGGACAGGGCGAAGAGAGGGCGAGACAGCGTGTGCTTACGGGAACGACGATAGGGGACCCTGCTCAAAAGCTACTCAAGGTGTAGCACGAAACCCAAATGATGCAAATTCATGGCTATTTTTCCTATCTTTCTGTAGTGATAACCTTTGCGCAACTCTGCTTTAAGAACTTTTCCGCAAAGAACTCGCAGTAGCTCGCCGATAAATGGTATCACAATTCGACACAGTTGGAAACAACGTAGCCTATGTACAGACCCCCTCCCCTCAGGAAAAAACGGAGAGGGGAGGGGGGTCCTTTACACAGACTAGAAACAACGACGATTTCGTGGCGAAAAATCGCCAATAAAAGGCGCTAGTTTACAAGCGTGGTTTTTAAAATCGCGCTTAAAATCGTGTGTCGTAGGTGGCGTCAAACAGTAATCATATAAAGCATCCAATTAATAGCCAGATTTCACTGTCCCTTTTCAGACAATATATAGTTTTCCATACAGTATGGTAATCTATGATAATGAATTGAACCACAACATATATACTCCCAAAGAATCAGAGAGGAAAAGTAATGGCTGTTGTCAACGCACCTGAGCCGTTCTGTCAATACCATCTTCGTAACTGATTAATACAGACGATTTGTCACACTCCATGGCAACTGAAATTTGAGTGGCAGTTTGGAGAAGTTCACTGATTTGACTCAGCCAATCAGCGTCATCCAAAGAGGAATGCCATTTACTATCATCACTGTAATAAGAAATGAAAGTCGAGCTCCGTGTCAATCACTGAGTCTTCTTTAATCAAGGTTATATTGAACCTGTGGAGGAGGGGGTGTTGGTACAACTGCACAATCCCAACCTAATTGCCGTTTACCCTGGCAAGTGGCCACCTCATTTAAAATACTCGACGTATGTGCCCAAAAAAGCAACGCGGCGCTCCTAACAAAATCTTAACGCTTTTTGATTCGGCTACTTTACCAGGACGTTGCTCATTAGTAGGTTCTTTAAATCACAAGACTAGCAGAAACCACACCATCAAGACGAATGATAATTCGGTAACAACTTGAGTATGGTGCATATTTTTAGTATTCAGCCAAAACAACAGAGGATGAACCAAATAACACTCGCCCCTTCAGAGGCGAAAAACTGGAGCCGAAATGTGTCCCGCTATTGTTTGCGGGATCGTTACCGGGAACGTGCTTGTCACCTATTGGCCAATTTTTTTCCCTGTCTTATTAACAATCCCAGAAGTCTTTGCGAAAGTTTACTCGTCCCACTTTCCATCTCGATTCAAAAGTGACGAATTGTTGTTCTAATGACAAAATACCTACCCTCTATTTGCAAACACCGCTTGTAGCTTGTACGCACTCTGTTTGACTGCTTTAAAATCAGGTAAAGCATCAGCGTATATGAATTTGGTATTCGGATAAAAGAAGGCTGCAAGAATAATATTCACGGTAAATGTTAAACTTTGAAAATGCTGTGAAAAATAGTAAGTACAGAGGGCACTTTTCAAGTCACCATGAATGCTATGATGTCGGTTTTTTTTTCTTTCTCTTACTTATCAACAACTCCTGCTTAATCTTTTGGAGGCCTTCACTTGTTCAGTTTGTAATAATCACGAAAAATGTACAAATATGCACAAAACTGTGCGCCATATTGCTCAAAACAAACAACACAATTTTCCCGTGACGTCATCCGTGTGTCTGTTCTGAGGCCCTGATTGGGTAAAATTCGACAAGCGACATTCGGGCCTTGAGACAGTGACCAAAGACGGCTGAAATGACGACAAACGACATGAGGCGTCACTAACAAGGACAATCGCAGATCTTGCGCAGATACAATAGTAAAATATCAACAGGGACAAGGTTTCCTCTTCAATACGCCGCGAAACGAAAGTTTTAAAATTCAGGATGAGGACATACATACCCCCTCCCACCAAAGAAGGCCTCTGTACTCAAATAGATTATAGGCAAGGAGCAATCACAGCTTTCAGTAAGTATATCAGTAAGTATATCAAATATGGTAGAGCATACAAGTTTCCAGTACAGTCCAGTCCAGTCCAGTTCCAGTATTTACTCACTTTCGCCTTCTTCTGGAGTAAGCTGTCCCGTCATCTGTGTCTGAGAAGAGTTAAGTAAACCACCCCCAAACTGCCGAACTCTGAGAAAGCAAACGAAAAGCTATAGTTAATTGTAATTGAACTGTATCTCGTAAAAGATTAGAGGACAACAGTGCACCGTGTCCTCTTTACTACCGCTATGGGTCTACTTACGACCTTACTGTCACTCACCCCACGTATAATAGGCTGATTTAGCAACAGAACGGAAACGACAGTTGACGACGGCGCGCGCAAATCAAACAACTCACTTGACCAATGGCTGAGCGTCAAATTGGGCACCGGAAGTCGAGTTTAGTCCTTTCCGCCCGCTTTCCTGACGTCAAATGACGTTCCCATGCTGTTGCTAAATCAGCCTAATACATATGACGTGAGGTGATGCAGCTGTATAACAGAGGTAGGGGGCACATCAAACCTCCCGAGAGCTTTCCCCGCTATTTGCCAACAATGGTGTTCCATGGTTCTTTTGCGTTTCCTTATAATAGAAGGATGAAGGCGAAAAGACAAAAGGCTTGTCACGGACCATCATCTGAACCGAGACATGTTCACCTGGCAACGGTTTTTCTCTCACTGAAGAAGGGTCATAAACCTTAAACGTTTGTGTTTTTCTAAAAACATTTGACACTTTTTTATATTTCTTTACTGAATATCACCTCATCAGATATTCACCTGTCCTACCATCCTTTTGAAAAGGAAGCTTTGGAGATAAAGTATGAGAATTAAGTTGATTAGAGAGGTCTCCGGTCCATCACATTCGATTATGTAAATTCATGCAGTAAACAATATTATGAAGCCCTGATGATATGAATAAGTTTCAGAATAAATAAAAACTGCCGAAAAAAACATACTGCTCTGTAAAAACCACCAGCTTGTTGGTGGCGGCCTCACTACATGAACTGACAGCTATAAGGTACTTTTCATCAGCCTGGCATCTTGAGTCTCTTAACCCTCTGTGTAACATAAAGGGAAAATGACCGTTCATTGTACAGTTACAACGCTGCCAGGACCATAAATGAATTGCGGTCGTTTCGCCCGAAAGTCAATTCGCCCGAAGGCGTTCGCTAGGACTTAAGTCGATTCGCCCGATGACATACAACACTCTACAACATGGTGAACCTAGTTCTCCGAGATGTTTTTTTAGTTAACCTTTGATTCCACATGTGCAGTCAATGTCTTTCCATGATTAGTCCTTTTTCTCAGGCTTAAAGAACGACAAATACACAAAGGGCGAATCGACTTAGTCTGGCCGAACTGCCATCGGGCGAAACGACCCGATACACCCCAAAATGTGTCCTCATAGTTACAGTAAGAACCCAATAATACCAGGGTCTGCTCGGTAACCGGTCAAGTCGCCCAAAAGTCATCTGGCCCGAAGTTATGTCACCAAAAATCCGAGTTAAGTCGCCCAAAATGCAGAGTCCGAGTTAATTTGCGTTAAATAAAGAGTGTCTGTTTTTAAATATGTCTCGCTCTTTAAACCATCATGAGACGAAACAAGAGGAATGAATGTGTAACATGCCTCGTTCTTTAAGCAATGAGACGAAACAAGCGGTATATAATGTGTAATAAAATTTAAATTATATATTATTCTTCGATGAGACGAAACAAGCGTGGTAAATGGTAGTAAGGATGCAACAACGTTGTTGAGCATGACACAATTTCGAGCCACATAACTCAGCATTTCGGGGGACTTGACTAAAATATTTCAGGCGACGTAACGTCGGGCGACTTTAACGTAAACCGTCTCCTCTCTTATGCTCATTTACCCTCGGAAACCCGGGATGAGCTTATTGGGATAACATATTTATGGCGAAATCAAGGCAGTCCAGGGTGGGGAGATACTCCCCCATATAAAAAAGGCAAGTTAATGTTTATTTGAAGTAAAAGAACCTAACTAGTACTTGCACTAACATCAACATGTAACTTGAAACTGTTAAGTTCCAGGCTTTATAGGTATTTGCCACCGCGGTATGGTTTTTCAGCCGAGATATGATTTTTAGACGAAATCATAGACCGGTTTAAACGTATAATAACACGTTTTGACTGCACTTGTTAAATAGGACAATAATAACAATAATAATAGTAATAATAATAATAAATATTTCACATACCTTCTAAATTGAGCGGCTGAAGATCTTAATAAAACTGCACCACTTTCCTGGTGTCTCCAACATACAGCCGGAAAACAGCCCTCTCTGAAGATGAAAAAATCCAGAAAAGCACACAATCATATTTCCATATTGACCCTTACTTCTCTGGTCTTATGACATGCAGCTCGATCAGGATATAATTAAGATTTTACCTGTGATACTTGGCCACCTCAGTAAGTTCCTCATTTGTCACCGATAAAGGGATAACTGTCTTCACAGGGTATTGCAATGGATGATTCTCTCCTAAAAGAACACAATAACATTTACAAATTTATTGTACTAGCCAGGGCCTGTTGTTCAAAGCAGGGTTAAGATAACCCAGGGTTAGTGCGAAATTTGAATTCAGATATGAAAGCTTAAAAAGCAAATTCAGTTTTATTCTTTTTGTCTACAATTTGATGATTGGATGCTCTAAAAAGAAAAAAGAAAATTATCCAGGAAAATGCTTTTAAACAAAAGAAAAAGAAACCCAGGTTAAAATTTAACCCAGGGTTAGCACTAATCGGCCTTCGAAGAACTGGGCTCAGTAGTTCAAAAACTGGATAGCAATATGCACTGGATAAATCACTAACCGCTGAATAAGTATTTAGAAAACCAACTGCATTACCCAGTGGATAGTAGATTTAACCAGTGGATAGCATTAATCCACCTTTTGAACAACTACAGTGCAGGTATAAATCAACATGACACATTCAACAAACTCAGACCAGGCTGTGAAGAGAAAGCTTCTTGAAAGCTTATAAGGCAGATACTCTGAGGTGATGAAGATTTTGAAAGTTAGATGAAAAGAACCCATCTGATATTGAGTACAACAGCAATATCCACTCAATACAGACTAAAATACCTCCTAACAAAGAGTACAGCTAACTTTTAGTTCATTGAGAATAAAAAAAGAACACTTACCAGATATCCTCCAGTTATCTGTGTGAAACAGCTTTAATCTGTCACATTCCGCTACAAAGGATCAAGCACAATATTAACTTATTTATGATGAAAGGCAACTCTGCCATAACCTTTGTAACACTATTTATTTTAATTCACACATGAAACTGTAGTGCATGAAAGGAAATGAAGCGGGCTTTCAATCAAGCTTTGTATCAGTCTTTCATTCTTGGTGTTACATGACCCCTAACCCATAAAAAGAAGTTACTGGGTGCACTAATTAGGATGTTCACAAAAACCTTATTAAGTAAAGAGATCTTGAACAGATACTGCAAAGTATTACAACGTGTGACAACAATACTTTTCATAAGCAATAATTGTATGAGTTTGATCAGCACTTCACTTTTTGAATAGTTCAATTTTCTCTGACATTTTGGTCATTTCAAAACTACCTGTTCAGATACTCTGTAACAAGAACTCCTTGCCTGACCATTTTACTTACATTTAAAATCGTAGAAGTTAGGAGCATCTCTCCTGTCTAAAATATCGCATGACTTAGGCAGCAGAATAGCAGTCTTGTGAATAAACGAAAATAACTTAGGAAACCCCTGCAAAAACAACCAGATAAATTCAGGAACCATGAGTTACATTTTATGCACAGTGTACATGTCACCTCCAGATTCAACTTCTGGAGGGTTGTAGCATCTCGTGCAACTTATGAGAGGGGCCCTGTTACAGGTAAATATTTAATTCTGACAGGTGAGATGGCCTTGAAACAGAAGACAGATAAAATGTTCACACAACACAAAGTATGATGACGATGATGATGATGATGATAACGAAGACAACCACAACGACAACAATGATGATGATGATGATGATGATGATGATGACGACAACGATAAAGATGATGATGACGACAGCAACAACGGCAATGACGACAGAGACAATGACGATGATGATGATGATGATGATGATGATGATGGTGACGAGGTTCCAAACTAATTCACTATTCAACCAATATATTTTTTCGCACATCATTAATGATAACCTGCTCTGTAAATTATGTGGCTTACTTTTTTGGAATGAAGATGAATAGTTTTTATTACAGTTTCAGCATCACTAGTACTCTGAAGACCTAAACAGAACTGAAATGAAAAAGAAGAAGTGCCTTTATTTACCATACATTCATAAACATAACCTATTACATTATTACAAGGAAGGAGACCAAGCAAGCTCTGATGAGCTTTTAGACGATCTCTGCCGTATTCTAAATACAGTCAACTCCCACAGTGTTAGGACCTCGAGTTAGTGTCCTCATTTGCGAGAGTCCGTAATAGCGAGAGTTTATTTCAGTCAAACGTCTGTAGTTTATATTTAGCTGCTGTCCGTATAATCAAGGTGTCTGTTATAACAGGGTGTCCGCAAGGCGAGAGTTGACTGTAGATGTAAGGAATATCAGAAGGCGGACTTCCTGATTTACGAACTGATATGAACTACAACTATTACTACTGTTTCTTAATCACATAGTCTTTGACTTTGGTCTTAAACATGTACAAAACAAACAATTCTTGACATTCTCACTCAGCACAGTAAAAGACTCATATGTTTAAATAATTTACAATTCACAGTCCTATTGGTCAGATTATTCCTATTAATCTCTGCATTAAACAAACTATCAAAATAGTTATGATATGTGCCAATCATCTACTTCATGTATGTACAGTGCTAAAAGCTGCTCTTGACTTTAATGTTACTAGCATTCAAAGCACGTTGGAAACTCACGAGATTTTCAACACAAGTTTAAGGGGTGAAACCCAAATTGTTATCCTGTGTGTAATTACTTCAAAATTAACTACACAGCAGAGCTCAAACATTAGCTTTTCATACCCTGTATGACTGAATATTACTACAGAAGACTTCAAACCCATCCATTAAAAACATTTGCTTGTCTTTCGGCATGTTCTTCCTGGAAAACTTTTTTACATCACATATACTTGCTAAAGGAATGGATGCCACAATTTCATAATCATGGTCTGCAAGAGAGAAACAGAATGAACTTAAGTTTGCTTCAATCTCTCCTTTTGCACCTCCACTGGGGCTGACTTCTGAATATAAATAATGGCAATCAGAGAAGTCTACTTTTGGGCATTGTCCGACCAGCTGGCAAAATCTCTGTAAGGGTATATATATCTTACATCAGAGGTCAGCTTCCAGCAGGGAGAAATGCTTTTTTTCTTGACCACCAATACAGCTGCCCTGAGGTCACATGCAACCAGCAATAGCTACCTGTAAATACCAGTACAAAAACTCACCAACATGTTCAATGTTTGATAAAATATGTACGGGTCTCAGAGTTTGGAGTTTCACGCTCTGATCAGCCAAACCAGGAAGAGCAGCAACTGTGGGAGTTTTTCTTATCATGGACTGAGAATGTCTCACCCCTCTAACTATTCCACTGGCTCCTTTGACTCTTTTGGACAGATTGTGTGCAGATAACCTTTAGTCATAAGGAAAAATATTTGAATTAGATCTGAAGGACTTTGCTAAATACAAGGCCACAATAGCATGTATGTGAAATTCTGGAAGCCTTTAATTGAGACAGCTTCCCATGGATGTTTGCTTTTTTTTGGCAGTTAGGGAGCATTCATAATTTACCTAGAGGGTGGGCTATGATGATTTTGAGGGGGGGTCACTCTTTTTCCCTACTATGATTTAGGGGGGGCTGTGGAAAATTTCCAACGAAAATTATAGGGGGGGGGGGCAACCATTTTTTTCCTGAAAAAGAAAGGGAAATGAAATTATGCTGTTGGACGCTCTTATAATTCCTGTCTTTTATTTCATTTCGACAAAATGTTGATACGGAACTAGAGTATGAAACTTGATGCATGACGCCCACTTCTTGTGCTACAAGGTCTCTTTGCGAGTGGCTCAAACTCACTCTCGTCACCCTCCTCACTCTCACTCTCCTCACTCCGTGTTTCCCCCAAGATAGTGTTGTTGCCTTCGTCATCATCATCATCATCATCATCATCTGAGACTGCTTCTGGCTCTTGTAAAAGACGTTGCCCTGTTACAGTCATGGTTCTCAATGCCTCAGCCCTAGTCTCTTTCAGTTCCAGTTTTTCTTTTTTCAGCTTTTTTTTCCAAGGTAACGAGCGATTCTTCAAATATAAGTCAAGTTCCGAAACTGTCCAAATGTCCAAAATAGAGCAATTTTGAATTAAAAATGCGTAGAGATTTAATTGCACCGAACATTATATTTTCATAAATTGACATCTTGAAATATCACCATTTCATTAGTGCAAGTTGTTACTGATTTACTATGTTAATTACTCACAAAGCTCAATGTACCTGTTACAAGACTTTGATATGGCTAAGGGTGAGTTTGACATGTTGTAGTTATGTGCTGGGGGAGGGGGGGCTATGATATTTTCCTTTGATAAATCAACATCTCTTGAGGGGGGGTCAGAAAAAAAACCCGGAGATGATCAGGGGGGGCTTCAAAAAATGATAAATTATGAATGCTCCCTTAGATTGTTTTGTGTAAATATCTCCACACTTTAGGGATGCACTGGCTAACACTACAAAGTACTTTTGAGCACTAATGAACCTCAGAAACATCAATGAACAAAGGAATGTGACGAAAAAAGTACGTAAGGCAAAAGAAGAAGTAACTGAGAACAGCAACAATTATAAGTTTGGTCAAATTAATGTACAAGCAACATATTCCTATTAAATATTATTTTGTGAACTGATCATAGTTTTCTGATTTCTCTGACAAAACTAGAAAAAATGAAAATGTAATGGCTTTAATATGTACATGACCTTACGGCATTAGATTTTACTCCTTCCATGTGCATATAAGAAACTCAATAAATTAATTGCGTTCGACGTTAGGAGAACGCTTCGTAATCTTTGGGGATCCTGTGGTCGATGGGATACCTGTGCATGCCAGGCGTGAAGATTCGAGATTTTTGGTTACTTGGACGGGCGATGTTCAAAATCTGCGCCATTTTGAATAATTATTAAGCGCGCGCACAAATTTTACGCCCAATAGCCGGCCAAAGAAATTGCGGGCTCACTATTGGGTTTCACTATTAAAGTTGCTATTGTTCATGTTGCTCTTTAAATACTTCGTCTTTCTCATTTAATCTCTCAACTAATTTCCTCCTCTGTTTTTGTATGATTTTAGCTAAATTCATTGAACTTCGAACGCACTTATTAATCTTTGATTACTACTAGTTATAACTTTAATGCAGGTTTCTGCATGGACCAGTAAACATGTACAATAAACAATACAATTATAGCATATCATTCTCAAGAACAGGTTTACAAGTAGAGTAGAACCCCGATAACTCGAACTCGAATAACTCGAACTCCCCACTAACTCAACTAAGTCTAATTTTCCATGGATTTTTACTTTTTACTTGGTTAACTCGAACTCGGATGACTTGAATTCTCTCCTAACTCAAACTACATTTCATTTCCCTTGATAAAAAATTCATTGAAATTTACCCTCATAAATCAAATTCTTATTCTTGTTACTCTGGTCAGATGTCACCCCATTAACTATTATTCCTTTTGTATCACCAGCAAAAACACTAAAACTAACGTTGGTCAACACTACATCAATTTCATTTTAATTAGTGAAACGAAGTTATCATGTTTTATCATAATTAAACAATGCCTAATCGTGTTACCATTTCTGATGGAATAAGTTAAATTTGCACTACACCATACACTGAAGTGCTGAAAAATCAGTAACTATCAATGGCAAATTGAATTTAATTTCACTTGGAGCCCCACTAACTCACTTTTTTTTTGTTTCCCTTTAGAGTTCAAGTTAACGGGGTTCTACTGTATGCTGCTTTTCTTTCTTTCATTTTTTGTTTTTTCAGGGCTGCAGAATAATGCAGTTTATATACCTTTTCATCTGCTTAGTTTCTGCATCATCACAGCTCCTGGCATTGTGCAATTTTGCACGGGGACCAAAAGATGTCTTTCTAGAGCGGGTTTGATAGTAATGTCCTCGCCTTGCCACTTCCTCAGGTTCAGCTTCTAAATAGTCATGTTCTCCTTGTTCTAAATAGGACTACATACAACAAAAATTGAAAAAATTACACTAATTCATATGAATTCATGCTTATATTTTTATTTCAATAATTGAACAAAAAACTTGTTCAGCCTGTATACCACCTATCCAAATTTCCATTACACTATATGAGAATATTTCAATACCTGGGCATAACAGCCAGCAAAGATAATCCTGTATGTGGTGATATGGAGAATCCCTTCAGCAACATCATTAAAGGTGTCAACACAGGTCACTTGATCTTGCTGGGAAACTATCTGTTCCCCTGGCAGCAATGGAGGGTGAGTGAAGAACTTTTCATGCAGTGTGAGTTTAGAGGGCTGCAAAAAAATATTGTAAAATAATGAATATTTAAAATAACAGAAAAAATTAAGGTGGAGTGAACTGACATCGCACGCTGAAGTTCTATCAGTGAAAGGCAAAGGTAAACAAGAGATTTACACAACTTTGGCTTTTGATCCAAAATAATTTCATCAACCTGCACAGCAATACCCAGTGATGCCCAATCCAATCCCAATCAGAATCGTGGGCTCAAATAAATTTTCTCCAACCAGCCAGGTTCCTTTGATTACATTTACAGGTCCAGTGTTTAATCCTCTCCCCCCTGGTTACACAAGTAGTTTCCTTTCTCCTACCATCCCCCCCTCCCCAACTTCACATGGTTCTGCGATACACATATTTCTAGTTCAAACTAATATTTTGCTGTAATACTTACAAAGAAATAGAGGATCATTCGTTCAATCAACAGTGAAATCCAATAAATTCCTTTAGCTTTCTGCATTCAAACTGCAGACATAATGCTTTTGACAGTATGCTTATGTTGTGGTTCAATTTTATCCTTGGTTTCAATTTTATTTCCACTTGTTTTGGGGTATAGTAATGTATGATAATGAGTTTAAAACAAAGGGAAATAAAATTTGAACCAAGGATAACATTGAACCACAACACTTACATTGGCCCCATCCAGTATGTGTACGTGTTACAATCAAGTCAAACTTAAAATTCAGTTTAAAATTTTTTCACATACCGTAGGTTACTTCCTCTGTCTCCTAGCCCTAATTCAAGAGTAATAGTCATTATTCATGAATTAGGGCTGGTAGACAAAGGAAAAAGAGAATCAACCAGTGAAAAAAATGTTAACCTGAATTTCATTTTGACCTATAACATATGTATGTACACTGCACATGTTATAAATTCCCATGCAATGCAATTAAGCATGTGGTTCTCTTTAAAGTTACCTGGCTAAAGCTATACCATTTTTATTAAAGGTTGCTGGTTATTTCACCTTGTGGGATCTATAACTTAAAGGTAATTATGCTGTAGATAAGGTGTACATGTAGCAGAATAAAGGTTATCAGGAAGAATCAAGGTCAAAACAATACAATCCTTGAAATGATGTATTCAACTGATCCACATTAACCATCTTCAACTAAACACATGGGGTGAAAATGATAAAATTATTGGGCATGTTACATTCTTTAAATAATATAATGTCACACAATTCATCATACTCATACATGCATGCGCAACATCATGTATTTGCCCCTTAATTACAAAGAATTGGTTAATGTCTACAGATCTTTTGGACAACATTAAAAGATGGCTCTTACAATAATTGTAGCACTTCAAAACAGGAATCACCTCTGATAAATTAATTGATCAAATTAACCGTAGAGGAGGTAGATAACAACTCTCAAAATGTTTTTTTTTTACCTCAAAACAACCTCCATTTTGATGTAAATAACATTGAAATCCTGTACTCCTCATTTTCACAAAAACAACAAAACCCAGCTTGAGTTATCTTGCCCATTAGACATGTCAAAGTGTCTTTGAAGTTCGATGCAACTTCAAGATCAGACATCTTTGTCTTCTCATGACCACATTGTGATAATTAATTTACTATTAATAAATGTTGACCCGAAAAAAGCCCATTGATGTTAAGTTTAGTTTCGTTGCATAAGTTTCTATCCTTGGCAAATGACCAAAGAAGGATCACATTTCCTTGGGAAAACAAAGAACTGTGGCAAGAGACAATTTAAACACAAGAGTGTAACATTATCCTTTCTAATCCAGGGTAGCCATGGAAATACCCACTATTTTAAAAGAGGGGTCAACGATGCATGTCATGACCCTTTTTAACCCTCAAAGCCCCAGAAAAGACCAAAATCAATTTTCTCCTAACAATTATCCATACATCTTCAAAAGAAAAGGTAACAAGAATTAATAAAATTGTTGCCAAAGGGAAATGCTTTGATCTGTTATCACACGCTCTCACTTAGTACTTTAAGAAAATGCATGCATGGAGATCAGGCTAGATTTGTATGTAGATATGGGAGCTTTTTTGTTTTGTGAATCACAGGGCTGTCACGCGATATAGACCCGGAAATGACATACTGTACTCAAAAGGCAACAAAGCCACCAGAAAAAAACCTCGCATGTAGTAGTGTACAGTGCAGTCTTGCTGGTCTAATCCTTCAGCACTGATGCGCTTCTATCAAAAGAAACTTCAATATTATAGTAATTGCCACTCAAAATGAAAACCTGTTTTTTAATTGGCCACCCATGTACATACACACACAGAAAAAAAAAGAATGTTTCCAGTTATTATCACTAAAAACATTTCATAAGGTCTCAGCAGTCTCATATATTTAACAACATTTCTCTGCAAAGTAAGTTTGCCTTTTGCTGTTTTGTTTTTGTCAGTCATTCTTGTGAAATACAGCTGCCATCTTCAATGTAAACTTCACTTATGTAACATGAGGTGACCCTACATTTTTATAAATGACTCCAGCCATTGATTGACAGTAGGAGTAATCAAAATGGTTGACAAAGGAAAACTCAGAAGAACTTGAGCCCAGCAATCACGGCAATAATTCTTCAAAACACTCCTCAAAAGGACACAAGACACAACATTCTTGAGCACAAGGACATCTACTTGTCCCCTCTCCTTCACTCAATGTTGATTTTAAGATTTATTTAGGCATAAAAGTCTTTAAAAAAGAAACAAGAAAAATAATTTATTATGATCGAGACTGAAGGTCCTCATTATTGCCTCTACATGTAACTAAGTGGTTAGATCACCCAGTCAGTATCTGCGAGGTTGCAGGTTCATAGCATATTAAGCATTATTTATTCCCAGAGCCCAAATTGTGTTGTTTTTTTTTTTTTGCATTGCCAGCCAGTTGCTTTCTACTAGCCAACAAACAAAAACGTTTTTCCAAGACATTTTTCCCAATATATTTCTATTAAACATCATTTTGAAGTCATCATCTAATCTTCGCTTAATCCATCCCTGATCCTAACTAATCCATGCAATGGTTTGTCAGTACTGTAAGTTTTAAATTTTTATTTCATTTTTAATCATTATTACTATTATTATTATTATTGTTATTGTTTTGTTTTGTTTTGGCATATTTGATCTCTCACATATTTATACACGTACATGTCACATACAAAATTTGTATCTTCATAATTATTAACAAAGAAATTATGACATCGTGCAGATTGCTTCACTAAGGTGCAGGAGTGCTTGATACAAAATAATACATACAGATGACGATCGTTTACTGTGTGACACTTACGTAACAGTGTTACAGTTTTCAACCTTTAAATCTGCATGTATGTATATTGATATAAATTTATTATGCCCCGTTATAATTTGTAAATCAGCAGTTTCATGTTTTTAATCATGGGCAGCTTAAGTAAACATAATAAATTTAAGCTTATAGTTTAAATATAACAATAGGCTTAAAGCATTAAAATTCTTACAAATTAATTTCAATTTGTAAGGACTAATAAAGCAGCATTCCATCACATATTGAGATACCTGTATTGCTATACATCTTAATTCACCTAGACTCTTCACTTTGTAAATAGTCGTATACACGATGAGTTAGAAAAAATATTTAATGCATGTGTTGCACTCTCCTCAGGAACTAAAAATATTTATGATTCTTCATGTCTGTCATTAAAAAAAGATTATCGATCATGAACCTCTAAATCATAACCAACGTCACAACTCGAAACAAACACTAAAAGGAACTCGTTCTGATATTGCTTAAAATGTTTATAAAGGGTAGCTCAAAAACAAAAAAATTGGAACAGTCTTACTCTTACGGAAAGAATTTAGCTTTAGAAGGAAAGTTACTGGCCAGATCAGCAAATGATCAGTAATCTTCTTCATAATTTTACATCGCTATGTGCTTACCACAACAGTGGAGGAAGGAGCTTCATCAAAAATTTTTTGCAGCTGTTCAAGTCTTAGTGACTTTCTTTCCATAACCTTCCCCTAAATGTCCTTGTTTCTCGAAATGTCTGTGGGCATTTTTTAGCCTCCCTCGATTTCCGCTGAAGCTAATACTGAAATATTGCAATGCCTTCCGCCATCTTACTCTTCGAGATATCACGTGACAAAATAAATGGAGAACTTGGAATGTTCTAACAACAACGCTGATTGGAGAAATTTTCATAAGCCAATTAAAATTGTCGTAATATCGTCCACGTACACTTCTTTGCATTGCCGGCGTGTTGGGATTTCACTCAGCTTATGCAACATCTTCAGGAGAGTTTCTTTTCAATATTTTACGCTTCCCTTTAGCGTTGTTAAGAGCAGTCAAGGCAAAAATAGTCATTATGCCTGTAAGTAGCTCTTCAGCGAACAAATTTACAATTCTATACGGATCCCAGACTGGCCAAGCTAAAGCGATCGCTGAGGAAATTCACGAGTTCTCAGAACAACATGGCCTTTACTCGAACTTGTTTTGCCTCAGTCTTACCGAGAAAAAGTTCACGGTGGAGAAAGAATCACTAGTTGTTTTCGTGGTTTCCACAACGGGAGAGGGTGATCCGCCAGACACAATGTGTAAATTCTTGAGGAGATTGAAGAAAAAGACTCTTCCTGGAACACATTTGCAAAATTTGCATTATGCTCTCCTTGCCCTGGGCGATACCAACTACACGAACTTTTGTAACAATGGCAAAGTATTGGACAAAAGGTTACTGGAACTAGGGGCTCAGAAGTTTTACTCTACCGGGTATGCCGATGATGCAGTTGGGCTCGAACTGACAGTGGAACCATGGATAGAGGGCTTGTGGGGGGCTTTACAAAATCACCTAGACTTGCTACTACCAGAGAGTGAAAGTCAGCAAGACAGCAAGAGCACAGCTAGAGACACCAGTTGCAATGAAAATAGGGTTATCAATGGCGATAACAAATCTTCTGAGAGTAGTCTGGACTGTGATGGTGAGACTACAGTTCAAGAGACCAATCACACCAAAGACATAGCTATCAGTGGTGTGAGCAATTCTTTCAATATGGCTTATACGAAAACGTTACAAAAAGAAAGTCAGGAGTTGAGCAGTAAGACCACAATAGCGGAGATCAATGATCCCAAAGATCAGGTAGTCCATGGTGAAAACAACTCTTCACATGAAACCAATGGCAAGGTTACTGCAGATACTAGCAATGGCGTCAACCACATAACAGATTCTTACAATGGTGCGACAAGTAATAATTCCAATCTAAGCAACTCAGATAGCTTATCCTCTACTAGATTAGCTGATCAGCTGAAGCAATCTGCTGCTCCTTTATCATCCTCTTCACTGTCTATACCACAGCTTCCACCATCCTATCTAGAGCTGTCATACCATCCTGAGCTTAAACTTGACTGTACTTCATTGCCTTTACATAATGACTCAAGTTTTCCAAGTGCCATCTCTGATGTCTCCATGGCAACTGTGGTATCTGCAGAGAAGCTCACCCATGAGAACTCCATCAAGACCGCGCTGGACTTAGAGCTTGATGTCACTGGTTGTAATATGAGTTACGAACCAGGTGACTCTTTTGGCATTGTTTGTCCAAATCCCACTGCTGAAGTAGAGGAACTGATTAGAAAGTTAGGGGTAACAGAGAAAGCTGATACACCTTTTTCCATCCAGCTGATAACCTCCACAACCAAGAAGGGAGCTAGTCTACCAGACTTCATTCCACAGCATTCAACAATCAGGCATACACTACTGACATGCTTGGAGATCAGAACTGTTCCAAGCAAAGCCCTCTTAAGAGCCTTATCTGAGCACACCACTGAACCTCAAGAGAAGAGACGGCTTCAAGAACTCTGCAGTAAACAGGGTGCAAGTGATTACAGCAGACTGATCAGGGAACCTGGGTTATCTTTGTTGGACCTTCTTAATGCTTTCCCTTCATGTCAGCCACCCTTTGAAAGATTGCTTGAACTGCTACCAAGATTGAAGGCACGACCTTACTCAGTGTCAAGCTCACCACTTGAAAATCCAACTCACATTCATTTTGTGTTTAACATTGTGGAGTTCCCAGCTGTTGAAGAGATCAGGGAACAAAGAAAAGGCATTTGTACTGGCTGGCTGGGTGATATCACAAGATCCCACTGGCAAAACAGAGTCTCAAGCAATGAGGAATTGCCAGGGTGCTTTTCTAAGATGACTCTTAAAGAAGTCCCTCAGATTCCAGTCTTCCAGAGAAAAAGGCTAAACTTCAAACTGCCCAACTCTCCAGAAACACCAATAATCATGATTGGGCCTGGCACAGGAGTGGCACCATTCATAGGTTTTCTACAGCACAGGGACCTTATGCAGAAGGCAGCAGGCAAGGTAACGCATCTCTCAGAAGCATGGCTGTTCTTTGGATGCAGGCACAGGGAAAGAGACTACCTTTACCAGGACAAGCTGGAGTACTATTTATCAACTGGTGTTTTGTCACGACTGTTCCTTTCCTTCTCTCGTGATACTACTGATAGTTCCCATGGTTATGCCCCTCCAAAGTACGTTCAAAACAACTTGAGACGTCATGCTGTTGATGTAGCGAAACAGGTCTTCGAGAAAGGAGCTGTTGTGTATGTTTGTGGTGATGCCAGGAACATGGCTAAGGATGTATATGATACTTTCCTTGAAATAGTTCAAGAGTACAAGGGCCTAGGTATCGCAGAAGCAAGACAAGAAATGATGAAACTGCGTGATCAGAAGCAATACCTTGAGGACATATGGACTTGAGTGATAAAATATCACTGGGACAGAACTGTTTGTGTTGTAACCTGAAAAAATATTTAAATTTGAGGGGGTCTTTGTAGGTTTATGAGGACTGGAACACAGATGATATTGATATCAATATGCATCTTTTCCACACAACACTCTGAGCATTCCTACATTGTATAGTGCTGATAAGACATTTTGTGAAATCAAGACATTGATCTTTATTCTCACGTCTATTACGTTTGGTTAAACAGCAACATTCGCAAAAAATGAGAGAAATAATTCTATTATGGTCCCTCTTATGGCTTGAAGGGTGAAGGTATTAAAATCAGGATATATATTGAAGTGCAATGATTTTCATCTCTGTGCAAAAGTTTTTGTAAACTTCACAATGGTCTACATCTTTACTTTTGGTAAATTAGCATACATTATCTTACAAAGTAATGTTGACATAATCAGTAAAAACTTTCCAAAGAAAAAGAAAACTATACAAGTTTTTATGGATTTGGGGATACTGTCTTATAATTTGTGACGAGTAGGGATTTTAAACCATTTTTGAGGCTCAACTTTGACAGTATATATCCACAAGCTTGATGGAAGTTACTACCGATCTTATTGTGATCTTTCTAAGATGTATGGAGACCTCTTCTTTTCATTGTACTTATTGAAACGTAAGAATTCATTGAAGTAAGAGCAATAACATTGTTGATGAGTAACATGACCTTCTGAAGTTGATTATAATAGACATGCTTTTAGAATTATGTGTAAAAAGAAGAGAACATGTAGCTTTAAGGAAGGTGCCTAATTTTCAGATTATCACCTGGACATTTGAGTGACAGAATATTGAAAGAAAGATGGTCCAGAAATACTGATGAGTCTATACGAAGTACCGCTAAGTTATTGAAATAGTTTTCTTTTTTAAATCCTTCATGAACAGAAACCATACGAGTGTAAACTCGGGTTTTAACAGGTAGTTGCTGGCAAAATTGCTGGCTTTCTGGGAGAACAGCTAATATGCTGAAGGAAGCAGGCTAAAAAAGCACCAGCTATTACAAAAAGGTTGTGTTACACAAATCCATTATCTTTTTAATTAATTTAAGTTAACTTGGAAAATGCAAGGCTGGCTCGAAAAAGCCCCAATAAATTTAATGATTGCTTTTTAATAGACTGTTTCATTCTCAACCTTTTTTCATGCACTCTTTCAGTAGGGGTGTAACGATTCATTTTCCTTGTGATTCAATTCGATTTCGATTACTGTTTCAATTTCGATTCAATTATGTAAATGTTTCTTAATAGGACAATAATATTGCACGATGACGATATTTGACTACAACTACCAGAATTCATTTCGGTTTTGCTTTGTTATTTAAATTTTTCAATCCTGCTGAGTATTAAAGAACAATAGCCTTAATTTGCACAGGAAAACAACAAACTCAAGAATTCTGGTAGATGTAGTAAAATGACGTCATCGTGCAATTGTCCTATTGTTATAGCATAACGTGTAATGTTGACGACATGCAACCCTAAACCCTCAATTTGAGAATAGTAACAGGGACAGGAGGATTCACAGTCGCTTGGTTCGTCGCCATGTTTGAGATCCTGACAAAGATGGTTTGCCTTATTTGGAAATTCTCAAGGGGTGGTTGAAGGACAGCATTTTTACCAGGCAACACAAAATGGCACACGAACTGCTATCGTCTTTGCTCATCAATCAAAAATGCACATTTTAAAGAGTTCTGGATTCTGATTTTACAAAATAAAAACTCTCTGAGGGCACCCTGGAAAAGGTTTTCAAAAATCGAAGCAAAATCGAAACGTGGAAGTAAAGAATTGTGAATCAAACCGAACAGTCATAATCGCAATTAATCGAGAATTCAATTAATCGTTACAGCACTATCTTTCAGTGAGGTAGTTCTACCACACTTACAGTGCGAGATAATTTCCTTAGTAGCTCTGAAATTTTAAGGTCAATTTTCAGCTGGCCAAATTCTCAGATGCCACAACTGATGAAATAGGGTCAACACAGAAAAGTACCACAGGCAACTCTCCTTGAATGTCAGGGTTGAAATGTAAACTGGCAGTTTATTCAGCAACTCAAAAGACTTACAAATAGGTTCTACTTGTTACTATAGTAACTTGCTCTCTCCCTGAACACAAACTAACACCTGGGAAGAGCTCTTGTCCTCGTAGCCCTTTACAGAATGCTGTACCCATTTCCTGTCCATTCTTCATAAAACCAAGAGTCCCTTTATCTAGGTCAAGCAGAATGCCTATCATGTCCCAGGTATGATAACTTTCATTGCGCTGACTGCCGAGGGCCTCCCAAATTGGAACATCAAAGGTCAGGAATCCAATTTGATTGTATGCCCAACCAATTCTTCTACCAATTGCAGGCATTGTTCTGAATGTCCTTGCTTTCTTGAATTCAGCTGTCACCACACACACTGCTACTTGTCCTCGGCAGTTGTTAAAGTAGAACACCCATTCATGTTTTCCAGAGGTATAGCCACGCCCATCAGGGGTAAGGATCAATGTTGTGCTGTAGCCATTTCCTAATTGTACAAGATAAACAGAAGTCAGGTTTTAGTTCCATAGTATCATATGGTTCGAAATTTGTTAGAAATCCTCTTTTCAGCAACCTCCATTCTCTTTTAAGCCATCTCTGTAATAACCACCCCAACATTAGGGTGCCCTCGCCCCCTGGGAAACAAGCACACAAACCAAACGAATAGCCTGAGTATCAGGCGTTTCTGGCGAAAAAGGGAAAGATGGAAGCGAAAAAGGGAGAGAGCTTCCTTTCCCTTCTCCCCCCTCCCCCCTCCCCCATCTAAAATCTCCTCTCCCCTAACCCCTTAGGAAGGCCTGATACGGCAGACTACCAAACGAACAAATTAATTGGTAAGTATATAATGACATGTGACCTGTAAAGGTGATAGTTTCATTGTTGTTTGAAAAAACAACTTCATCAGAACTGCAGTTAGGATCAAATGCCGCTGGTTCGTCGTATTCCCTTAGCCAGTTGATGATATTTCGTGGAAGCGGTAGCCTCCGAAGACGCTTTCTGCTTCCCACCGCACGAATAATCGCACGACGACATAGAACTTGGAGACTTTCACAACTCTTGAGCATTCAAACAAGGGCTTAAAAGACTATGGTGATGAAGGAAATGCAAAAACTTTTCACAGAAATGCAAAATGTCACAAAAATTTTACACAGTCACAACACATAACATTTTGTTTTGTTATTGAATCAAGAGTGGAAGCGCGCAGGCATTATGGGTATTCGGAGTATACAGCAAGGTAGCATACATAGAGTAAAACAATGGGAAATGGCGGACAGCAAGCATGTTGTGTTGGAGCTACAGCATTTTGAAATTTTAGGAAAGAGCGAAGAAAGGACATCATGATGGCTGCAGTGGAATTTTTGTACAACCCATTGGATCCGTAAAATGTCCTCTCGAAAGCTACGTCGTGTGCGTGGTGTACGACCAGAAATCGTGGAAAGACTCGCAAAACATAAGATAGTCACGTGCAAGGTGAAATAATTTAAGCTTATTGATCAGTACAAAAATAGAACTGTTTAAAAAGGTAGCAGGCCTTTGGTTATTTCTGAAACGCAGAGAACACTTGATTTATGGCCTCTTCTGTGTACTACAAAGTGATTGTATTAAGATGATGAAGATGATGATGATGACGATGATGATGATAATGATGATGGTGGTGGTGGTGGTGGTGGTGGTGGCAGGGGCGGTGTTCATGACTACAATGACAATTAAGATGATGATTTTGACGATAGGATATGAATGACAACAATGATGATAATAATGTTGATGATGATGATGACGATGATGATGATAATGATGATGATGGTGGTGGTGGTGGTGGCGGTGGCAGTGGTCATGACTACAATGACAATTAAGATGATGATAATGACGATAGGATATGAATGACAACAATGATGATAATAATGTTGATGATGATGGTGATGATGATGATGATGATGATGATGAGGCCCTGCCAGGGCTGGTCCCATGTCACCCTTTTTGAATTTTAAAATATCTCGTGTCAGTGTTTATAAATGCTTGTCACTTATTGTCGGCTTTGCCGTCACTGTCTCAGTTTGGCCAAGGGAGGTTGTCTCTTGTCTTGATTTCATTTTAGGCGCTGTCGCTACTTTTTGGGCCATGTCGCTTGTCGGAATTTACCCTGGCAGGGCCTCAATGATGATGATGATGATGATGATCAACTTTGTTCCATTGGTTAGGTTGGATGATGATGATGCTGATGGCAAAATCGGCTAGAGCACAGAGCCAGTTAATGGAGGGTGGGATGTTCCCAACATTTAACTCGAGTATAGATATGAACTTTATTTGCTAATGTTACAATCCCAGGAGCGCCCACACTCATTGATCATACATCTGACAATCCTGTAGTGATCCTTATGGATGAAATTTAAATTTGATTTTTTAAAATAGGATGTACTGCAGAGGAATATTCTGGAGCTCCTTAAGTCCACTGGAACAAGTTATCAAGAGGTTTTAGAGATTCAACAAGCTGTTAGTTGGTCCATTATTCCTAAGGTGCAAACAGTAAGTACCAGGGCTAGGCCATGTTGTTGTAGTTTTTCTTCATTGTTAAGTATGGACAAAATCACAGCCTTGTCAGTTTAATTACAAAGGTTATTAATTAGCTAACATCCAGCTACTGGTCTATCATCAATGCTGCGTTCTGATTGGTTGAGCTACTACTAGGCTATATGTTAAAGCCCACTAGTAGTGAAAAGCACCAGCTTTTTGGCTGTAAAAAGGGATTAAAGTCTAGCTTCAACTAGCTAAAGTTGTTTTGTCTCGATATTTTTGACCAACTAGTTGGATTTTACTAAAGCAACATATTTATTCCTCTCGCCCTCATGGCCTCTCAGTCAATAGCCCGTTCGGCCTTTGGCCTCATGTGCTATTGACTCAGAGCCCATTCGGGCTTGAGTAATAATTATTAAGTATCAAACTTCATCATGCAAATTGATATGAAGCTGAAACAAGTCAAGCCAACGTTTTCCATGCTTTACTTGTGAAATAGGGAACATGGCATTGATTATCACTTTCACAAACTCAAACCTCACCTTTTCCTATTTTTTATTTAGGGTATGCTACCTCTTGAAGTCCTTGGAAAACCCTCATATTAAATTTTTGATTTTAAAAGTGGGAAAGTACATGTATGCATCTCAAACTTGTTATGACTTCTCTTCCCCTTGAATGCTCTTAAACTTGAATTTTATAACCAAAAACCAGCACAAACCCTCAAAATGTTACATGCAATAATAATAACTAACTGTTGCAGCTACAGATCTCATTTTTATTCTTGGGGCGAAATTAAATTTTCTTAGGCTCTTTCTTTACTTGAACGATCTGGACGTCAGCGGTCATTTTTCCCTACATCCCTGGAAGATCTTGATAAACAGCTTCACGGAGGACTTGCTTGTGGTACAATCACAGAGGTACGTAAGCTCAAGACAGGCAACCATTGGTTTCATTCCTCAATCTGTGCAGTATCTTGAAGATTTAAGTTATAATTGTAAATAACTATATTAAGCTCAGATTACGATTGTACAGAATAATTCTACATAGAAGATTTTACTCTTAAATTTTAGAAAGAAATAAAGAACTGAATAATAGAATGGGGCTGAGTGCCTCTATAACCATGTAACTATTGTTTTGTCATTATTTGAATGCAGATAGCAGGACCTGCCGGATGTGGTAAGACTCAGTTCTGTATCATGCTTAGTGTGCTAGCAACTCTGTCACAGGACAAAGGAGGGCTGGATGCTAGTGTCATCTACATTGATACAGAGGCTGCCTTTAGTGCAACAAGGTAGAGAGCTTTTTGACTGAAAAAAATAATATTGTATTAAGCATTGGAAATAGTCATTTTCCTAAGTTTATTGATTCATGCTTTTTGTCTTAGAGTTTTAAGGGAAAAGAGAGGTCTTTAAGGGGAAAGAGAGGTCTTTAAGGGGAAAGAGAGGTCTTTAAGTTTTTCGTCCTTTTTTACTACACTGGTCTTATCATAAGGGATGGGAAAAAATTACCAACAATAACTATCACAATAAAAGCACTCTCATTTCCCTATAGATATTTTGTTCTTCTAGTATTACAATCGTACACAATTTATTGGATTATGGGAAAGCCAGACAGTCTCCTGATAAATTTCTGAAAAGAACTGGGTTAAACAAAGACTGATAGGTTTCTTCTACTAAAAACTAGGTTTCAGAGTGTTTTCAAAAGTAGCTACTTGGCAACTCTCACTCCCAGTTAGTTAGGCATAATGTCTTGATTCCCCCTTGGATTGGAAAATCCGCAGGGGTATGAGTGTCAGTGAAAAAAAATGCCTGAGGAAAAAATTCTCCTCTCATCAATCCATTAGGGTTTGTCTTGAAATAAAGTGACTATCATTTTTGAAAAATTATCCCAGGTTGGTTGAAATGGCGTCCAACAGATATCCAGATGTTTTTAACTCGAATGAATCACTGGTGCAACTATCAGAAAGAATACATGTGTATTGGGAATCAACCTGCACCTCATTATGGGATAGGTAAGTTAAACCCTTAAATTCTAGAAGACTTCAGGGATCAGCATAAAATTTCTCCTCATAATGTCTACTGATCATGCTTTCGAAAACAGGTGGTCACAAAAAATGGAGACATTATCACACAAGAAGATGAATTTAATTGATACTTTTGCAAATTCTCTAATTCTCTCATTAGTTCTACAGAAAATGTATGTTGACAAAAAAAATATGAATTTGAATTTTGATATCAGGGTTTAAAGGCTTAGCCATTGTCATAGTGGAACCCTGTATCCATCTCCCACCTTATGAGACACCTCTGTTGAAAGCCAGACAAGAGTAATCCAGTACCAACAAGCATCTGATGGGGTGACCTAACTACAGACTTGCACCCTGTCTCTACATATGTGTTTTGGGGATGAGAGAAGATTGGCACCAGGTTGAGGAGCATGGGGTGTCGTGGGAAGGTACCTCTTCTCCTCCCTGCCCCCCTTCAATGTACAGATTGAAAGTCCCAAAAATTGCATAGTCAATGGTAAATTTGAGCCTCTGAAAAAAAATCCACTTTCAATTCAACAAACATAATTTTTACTACACCTAAGATTTTACTTGGAATGAGTAACATATGAATGAACATTACTGTCAGGCTTCAGAGACTGGAAGAAGAGGTGATATCTAAGGGAGTAAAGCTTATCATCTTGGATTCCGTTGCATCACTTGTCAGAAAGGAGTTTGATAGCAGAGTTTCAAGAAACTTGAACGAAAGAACTGCACTTCTTTCCAAAGAGGCAGCCATTTTAAAGTAAGAGTAATATACAGTCATCATTAAATTCAAGGAGACCTGGTCACTAGAGAGAAGAAGTCATTATGTCATGTTGCCATGGTAGCAAAATTTCTGGATGACAAAAAAACGAAAACGTCGCTTAAAAGTGAATTTGCACTATTTCAAACCTCATTGATCTTACTCAATTTCGTTTAATTTGTCAAATGTTGATGAAATTATCTGGGGTTGAATCTGAAAGGACCGTATCTAAGTTATGAAAAAGAGAGAGAAAATTTTTTTGTTGTGTTCAGGTACTCCTTGAAGCGGGCATGTGAAATTAAGAAGCTCTATGTCACAGTTGTGCAGCAACGGCTAATAAGTGAACAAAAACAACATGATCACGTGCAAAGTTGTTGTTTTGCTAAAAAAATTCTTATTTTCTTGCCCCTCTTGTTGCCGTTGCCACCCTAATTACTTCAGCTCCTTGTTGTTGTGATTTGAAAATTTTGACGTCACACTTTTTCTCTCTATTTTCCTTTTGTTTTCCTATGAAAGTTGGCAAGGGCCATCCTCATAGCGGGTAGGGGAAATCCCCAGCCACACTCCCCCCACCCTCCCCCCCCCCTCCAGGTGGCCTGCAGTGCAGGCGTATTTTGGCAGGGAAAAGTTTGTTTTTGTTTGTATTGTTGTAGCTGCCATCTTTGATTTTATGACAGAGGAAGATGGAGAGAGTAGAAATAGCAGCCCTGAGGGTTTGCGAGGGTAGGTGCGAGGGCAATAGAAGGAGAGGTGGAAGGGGGAGGGGAGAAAACATTTTTACTCTTCTTTTTCCCTGCCCCCTCCCCCCTTTGACTCGCTTCAGTTCCTCCTCTCTTTTAGAGTTTTAATATGGCGAAACAAAAAACATTCGCGCACCTACATTACCGGCTAAGCCCAGGCAGCCCTTGATTACAGTCTAAAACTGTAATCCTTTGCTTTAGCCACAGGTGGTACCTCAAGTGCCCGTAATTAAAAAAATTGCCTCTTTTCTTTAGTTGCTTCACAATTTTGTTCTTCATTTTAGGTACCTTGCAGAGACTTTTCATATTCCGGTAAGGAATTTTGGGATTCGTGTTTTATATTGATGCCTCAAGCACCCAGTTGTAAAATCTAGGTGCCTGAAACAGTGGTCTATAGAATCGCGGCTTTAAGCCTTTATCCGCCCTGGCTACGCCCGTGAGACTCCTGCGCGCTTATGTCATCAGAGAGATTAAGGTACCACGTGATCAAGTTTCCCCCTAAACTGTTGTCAACTGTTTATAACTTCTACTAAAAATAAGTCGTTTCACGCCATTTTTATCCTTAAGAATTGTTCTGGACAGTTTTTATCTGCTTATTTTCTATTCTGACAAATTCTCAACTTGTATCTGACGTTTGTCGTTTGCCGTTTGCCGTTTGCCGTTTGCCGTTTGCCATAAACGTCACTCTTAATCTCTCTAATGATTCAAAACAGTGATAGTCGTCATTAACAACGCGGCACGTAGATGTAAGCACGAACACCAGCTTTTCCCCAATCTCTGATGAATGTAGACAGATGTTCCTGGTTTTCTTAGTTTGACAGTAAATGGGGTGGCGTTGCAACAATCTTGGACTGAATAAAGTGGAACAGCAAACTCCCATCCCTCGAAACCCTAAGATGAAGCCGCGCAAACGCGGGGTTTTATAAACACATTATTCTGACTGCAAATAATGTAGAACAGTACTGTTGAAACTAGTGCAAAGTGCAGAAAACTATTGTGAGCCTTATTCAAGGAAAATTTTTTTCTCTTCGTGCAGGTGGTCGTAACAAATCAAATCACAACTCGCTTCGTTGGCGCGGGATCTGGAGCTGGTAATTCCCTGAATGGAGTCGAGGCTTTACAAGACGTAGACGGCGCGGATGCTGAGCCAGAGGAGGAGGATGGTAGTCACGTGACCGCAGCCCTAGGAAACACGTGGTCACATGCGGTGAATACTCGCCTCATTGTGCAGTATTTAGACGACAAGTTTCGACAGGTAAAAATAGATCGGAATCCAAGGTTCTTTTTCTAGGGAATTCAACACTCGCGCATTTCCCTGGTAAATAGACATCGGTTGCCCCTAAAAATTGTGCATAACCTATGTTTTTAAGAAACGGTCCAGTTAAGAACGATAGCACGGAACGGCAACGAACATGTTGGAATGCAAAAAAGGTGCTAACTTTTCTATTGTCTGTACTTTCTTCTGATTGGCTTAAACAGCAAAAGTTAACAAAACTTCATAAAGCAGTACATATATTCATCCTTACTTTCCAACCATCTTCTATATAACAAAATCTGGTCTCAGTTTGAATAACAAAGAAATCCTATGTGGGGAACATGTACAATTGTAAACTTTTCTTGGCTATTGTTTTCAACTCTTGTGATTGGTCAAAATCTTTTAACACAAAAAAACACCCTTTTCAAAGTGGAGTGTAAATGCATTTTATTGCGTAAACGGCCTTCATGTAGGTTTATGCATTCTCTGTGTAAAAATGAGAACATTCCTATGTGGGGAAAGCACCGTTGCCGCATAACAAAAGAAATTGCTATCCACCTTACTCGGATCATTACTTAATTTCTATAGAGACAATGCTAATTAAAAATTTTGGGGGGCATACAAGGTGTGTTATGGGAAATACGCGGGGGCGAATAAAATTTTGTATACAGCTATTTCGAGAAGGGTTGTCGGAAAAAATGTGCACGCGACAATCCCGAAAGGTAATATGGGATATGATCAATACACTGTTCCCGCCTTGGCAGCTGTCGGACCTACTTTTGTTGCTTTCCTTTAGCACTCGCAAACATAAGTCCGTGGCCTCTGCTGCCATTCTATCCTGACTTTCTTTGAAGAACAGTGACCTCAAAATCACCCACAACACCTTCCGGGATTGTCGCGTGCACTTTTTCCGACAACCTTTCTCGAAATAGCTGTATGCATCAACCACACAGTTCTTGCTGCCGGAAATGCTAACACCAGTCATCTGTGTAACGTGTGCGTACACTACGGAAATTTTGAGGAGGCAAAAGGAAACTTTTTATCTGGCTAAAAATTAAATATGGTGTAACTACAAGACCATTTAGACCAGGGTCGTAGCTTAGGCTCATCTCCGCCGCATTCTCGAACGCGGGCTTCTTTCTCGAACAGGGGCTCAGTCGGGTAGTCGAGCCTAGTCGTAGCTCAGTGTTTTCTCAGAGTAAAGGTCTATTTACGTAAGGTGGCTCGATACAGTTTTTCAGGGTCAATACCTCCAAAGTTTGAGCATAAACCACGTTTCCATAAACAAAGATTCGGAAAAATTGCCACCACAGTTGTATTAGATAAAGATGAAAATTTGTCATGATCAGGGTTGCAACGACATCGGAGTTGTCATAGCAACGAAATGACGCTATTACCTATTTTGCTTGCAGCAGTATTTCATAGCACTGGGAACTGTTCTTCCAAAATCGTTCACGGGAGCTTTTTCCTCCAATAGTGGCCTCGATGTTCGTGAAGTTTAAGCGAAATCTGTAAGAGCGTTATCGAGATATTTTGGGACGTATTGACCCTGAAAAACTGTATGGAGCCATCTTAACTTTAGCAATTGTCGCCTCTATGCTAGTTCAAAGAGTTTTTCAAATATGTTTGTTCTCTCTCTCTCTCTGTTTGTTTGTTTGTTTCAAAACAGATTTTAATATCCAAGTCGCCGTTAGCCCCCTTTGCATCTTTTGTCTACACAATCCAGGCTAAAGGAATAGTTTTGGAACACCAAAACGTGACGGGTCCAGGTTGGTGTAAAACTTTAGAATACCGATACCTCATGTTGGGTTGGGATAAGCTAACATTTTCACCGTCTTATTGTTCTCTTGCTTTTTATGACCTGTATGCACCGCAGTTTTCACCTTAAGATCATCAAAGCTATCTGTCATTGCTGTGTGACTTTCTATACGAAAGAACTGAGATCAGATCACTGATATACTTCTAAAACGTGGTTATGTTCAGCAAAAGAAAATACAGTCGAAGCTCCACTAACGGCCACTTTTTTTCTTCCCAGCTGGCAAAAATTCCATACATTGACTCTTGGTTAAAACCCCTTCACAACGACTTCCTCTTTACAATGGCCACTTTCCTCTGACCCCAAGGTGGCCGTTGTAGAGAAGTTCAACTGAAAAAGCAAACTCGTCAGTAATAAAACTGATCATTCCAAGATATAACTAACTTATTTTTTGACAACTTCCTTAGTCTTTCTTGCATCTCCTACCCCTCAGCGCTGAAACTGATACCCTGCGAGCAGAGGTTTCTCTCTTGCATGGCTTTTAGCGTTTACGAAGTCGTTCGCGTGACTTGTCTGTTCAACCAACTACTCGACAAACAAGCCACGGGAACGGCTTCGTAAACGCTAAAAGCCATGTAAGAGAGAAAACTGTGCTCGTAGGGTATGAAATTGAAGATCTTTTTTCTTTTTTGCTTTTTTGTAGAACGAGGTGGAAATCCATCCCTACAGACAATTCAAGTTCGTTCAGCATTTTGACGTGAACAGTCAGAACCCATTCATCACAAAATGTCACATGGATTGACATTTGAGTCGATCCGTGCCAGTGACATTTGGACAGTGCAGTTACAGTACCTTGTTACCAATAGATATGCGACCGCTGGCCGCGACGCGCCGAAATCACCGACTGTCTGCACGTTGCAATCAGATCACAGCTCTTGTCGCGCGATAATTCTTGTGATGATATCTTCGGTAAGAACCAGCCTTAAGACAGAGAGATGAAAAATTAAAAGTGGTGTAAGAAATGTTTCAATTGAACAGATATGACATACGTAATATATAGCGCGCGGTGAAGTTAGACTATGCAAGTTAACCTGAGATCAGGCCCAATTTTAGCGGTTCTCATACATTCTCTCTAACGGCTACCGCTAAAATTGGTTTCGCCATGCCCGCCGGAATGTAATTTTCAAAGCGAAACGAAAATAGAGCCTGATCTCAGGTTAATGCAAGTGCGCGTGAAAATCGCCCGGCACTACTGACAAGAGGCTATACGCGGAAAGAGTACAGATAGTGAGGGACCTTTATTTTCGATCTTGCTTGCGCGTGTTTTCTTTCCTCACGGCTGGCGATACTCAAGCACGCTTGGGTGTTTGACTCGCTCCAATATCGGAGAGGAGACTAAGGCTCTACTCATAGTGTGTATCGAAATACATGTATGTGTTCCACTATACGCGTCTTAATAAATCGAGAATCTGGAATCAGTGTTTGAACAAAAACAGCTATAAAATTTTAACAACGCCAACGCGACTGGAACAACTATTATCTGATTTGAATGAAAAGCGCGCTGCCGGTAAAGCCGAAAGTATCAAAAAAATTTTTTCTTGCGTTTCTTGCGTTGTACTTTTTGTGTCTGAAGTTGTAGTTTTGAGAGTAGAATTACGTATCTCAAGGACAAGAGGAAAAATAGTCAGGGGTCTTATATTAAGGGTCGGAACATTCTTTTCGTGGATTAGCCAGAAGTTGGGGAACTTTAAACCAGGATAATTTCTGTGGTGTATTGATCCTCCTCAAGTTCCTCTTCACGGTATATCACACCAAGTTGAATGTAAAATAGGCCGCACAATGCTCTTGAACATTGTTATTTAACGAGCACAAGGCTTGACGTGGAAAGGCTGTAATTCCAATTAGTAAAAAGACGTGGAGGTACCTTCTGAGGTACTGGTCATGTAGTATCTTGAGCTAAAAGGTGTCAAATCATACTTTTACGTGACTTGCGGTACGTGACGTTACGTTTTTGCTTGCATTGCATATACTAGTAATCCTGCCAAGCGCTTCCTATTAAATCTCCCCATCGTTCGTGAATATATTGCGTTGAGGAATGAGCAACTCGAAAACCATACCCTATCCCGGAGCACGTATCCATATAGTTTATATACGGGAGTTCCCCCACCCCAACCAGGCAGAAGTGGGGAAAACTGAAAAGATCTGTCGGCCGGCGGTTCGGATAAAAAAGAAAACGTCCAGTACCAGGAGCCCATAAGCCGGTACCCATGGTAACCAGTTCTGGCCTTCCTCCTTAACTCTGCCTTGCCCATATACAGTGCAGAGCAGTGCAGAGAACACCAAACGGTTCACCCTCCAATTCCAAGGGCCTTCAACAGAAAGTCCATTTACGTTGCAAACTTTGGCGCGGCCCACTTCTGCAATACAACACCGTTAATCATGTACTTAGCTTAGGACGTCATGAGCTCACCGTTAGGACGTCATGCATGGCCAGCACCCAATTAACTTGATTACTCTGCGGGTTGAGACTCTCTCGCGTCACGTAACATTACTTTGGCAAAATCTGTCATGTACTTGGGTACCCTGTGAGCAGTGACCTTTCCATCGAAATGGAGAACGCTCACAGGATGACTGCCATCTGGAACGACAATTCAAGGGTGGGGATAACTCTGGGATTAACCTATTTATTGTACCACCCAAGAATTATGGCAAAAATTCAACTTTCAACTGATGAGAGATACCAAGTTTCCGATCTGAGCGGATGCTCGAGTGATACCTCAGGATAGCAATTTTGCAGATTTTGACTGATAACGGCGATAGCACAGTTTCCTCTAAGAATCATAAATAGTTATTATTATTGTTATTATTATTATTATTATTATTGTTATTATTAGTCATGAAAGCGAAAGAAATCCTGTGCCTACGAGCACGTATGAGACTAGCTATGACGTCATAACTTGATGACGTATGGATATTGTATTACAAGTAGGGCAAGGCACTCTGCCTGTCTATGCGTTCATGCACACTTGAGGTTTTTAGGGAGGTCAACAGAAGGAAACAGATTTGCTTCCACATTGTAATCAATCACCTGAAAAGGAAACGGTGGAAGAAACAGTTGAAAACACTCTTTCAGTTTTCTTACGGGAGGGTAATATCACTGCTGACCGTCAAAAGGCTAGAAATTTCCTTCGGCCCCCATATTCTCACAAATTGGAGACGAAGAGAAGCAAATGGACGCGGCACGGGGCTCCACGATTGAAACAATTTGAAACAAGTTTACGCCAAGACTTGCCTTTAGTAATTTAATATTGTAACCTTTAAGGTCAAACTATTTCGGACAACAGCGCATTTCAGGGCCTTTCAGCGGACTAAAATAGCTTGGTTGCCCAACAGGGGATGCCTGCGTAGTTTTAGTTTTCTTGTCTCCCCTCCCTTCTTCTCTATTCCTTTGGCGTTCGCTTTAATGCCTGTTTGGAAGAAATGGAAACTGGCGGCTGATTTTCATCATACGGGGTGGATTTAAGGCGACATACTTAAGTCTCACCTTTCATGAAAAAGATCAGTTACCGATGGGTTTCTTGACTTTGAAAATCAATCCGGAAGCTAGCGCAAATAACCTACATCATCAAAGCAAAGAATTAAAAGAAACGTGGCACGTGAGCAAGACTCAGTCAAAAAGGTTTACTCTCTATTCTTGACTTTCCAGCCGTTTATCTTTGAGCTTGTGGTCATCATCAAGGCTAAATAATCCGTCTCTGAATATTTTTGTTTAGGATTTCCAAGGATTTAAAGGAAGTCTTAAGAATTAAGAAATGCAATTTGTGCTGTGTTTTTAATATATCAGATATATATCTAGAAGAAGTCACGTCCTGGCCTGTCACTAATTTTTTAAATCAGTGCCTTTGTGCGGTGAAATAGGCTTAACAATGTGTATTCAAATTTCCTTCCCGTTGTTCACAAATTCAAAGAGCACTTCAAAACATTAGCCACAATATAGATATTTAGCATACCTTGAATCGATAATATGCTCATTAAAGTGATATTTGAATAGTTTACTAAAATCAACTGATACTGTGAGCTGTAATGCCGTAAGGCTATTTGTTTCCTCGTCCATTTCAAACTTGAAAACACCATGGTAACCTTAAAATCACCTGAAAGTTTTCAGGCTTTTTCTTCAGTTCTGAAGCCCATCCTTTCAACTTTGTTCACAGGAAAAAGGACTTTGAGCCTATTTCCTCAGCTAACAATAAACATTACTCACAAAACCGAAGCGTATTTGTTAATTACGAACGGTTGCGCAATGAAAGCATCTATTTCCCTGTTTTGTAAGAGAAAACGGTCTCTGTCTAGGCAAAACAAAGGTTCTTTTTAGTAAGACTGACCTCTCATATCAATTGTGCCCTCTAAGGCTCCCAGTTGTCTATGTTTTGGTACACCTACAAGTTTGTAAATAGCTGAAACTCGTCCAAATGGAACGAATTTGAACAGCGACAGTTTGAGCTCTCACAAAAACACAAAAATGCTTTATTGCAAGAATTGTCCTTATCAAAGGTTTTAAAGTATCTACACGGCTCACAAGATACTGTTTGTCAAAACTGACAAATTTTCCCCAAATGGAGTGATAAGTGCAAGATTCACAACATGGACTATATCAGAAATATCTTTCAAGTATGTTTCAGAACTCGCTCAATTTTAGCAGAACTACATGGTTTATCCTTCGTAAGCAAAAGTTATTCCAGCTCATTAATCAAGTCGCGATATGCACTGCTATGTTTGGTTTTAACACAAAATTGTGTATTCAAGTGAGGAAACAGAAGAAAATCCAGCTGTCCGAGGAACCATTAATGAAGACAACCCGAAAAAAAATTTTTTGATCGAGGAAGGGATTCTCTTCAGTCTGATACAGGATATGGGACTCGTCTGACGCAAAGAAATAAGAAGTTTAATGATTTCCGCACAAACTTGTGCGCATATTAATTATCAGTTGTGGAAAACAATGAAAGTTAATCCTTCTCAGGAAACTCTTTCGGGCGAAATCAGCGAAGGAAGTGCTTGCAAGATTTAGGCAGGTTATCTAATCAGCATTTTTAAAAACAAAACAATCGAAAGAGGACCTTCGTACAATACAAACGCAATGTTAACTCACTAACAAACAAGTAATCCGTTTTATTTTCTGCGAAGCCCAGCAGGCAGAAAATTAAATTTACAATAACCTTAAAATAGCTCTGTTTGCTTGTTTATGTATTGACCCTTTGGTCGCAAGATTCCTCAATCCGAAAATTCAAGAAATATTCCAAATTTCATTTTGCAAAATACTGGAAAACAAACAGCGCAAACTGATATTACTGCTGGTATTTTTTTTCTAATTCTTTACACTGTATTAGGCTATTTATTGCAATAAATAAATGGATTAAAAGAGGTTTCAATTTAAGGGTCGCTCTGTACAGTTTCCTCGTTGAACTTAGTCAGTTGGCTCTTAAAGTTGCGCAATAAAAAAAACATCACAGAGACTAACAATTTTGCAACAATTTAAAACTTTAGTAGATATGGCCTCCCACATAGAGATACGAAGTTTCTCCTTTTTTCCTTCGTCTCCAATGAAGGATATTTTTTCGTGGGTTGAATTAACGAACTGGGCGATACGATCGGATCATTAAAGCACCCTTACACTGAGAAAAAAACAAAAACAAACATATCTAGATAACCTTGACAAAAAGCCGAAAAAGTATTTTTATAGCGGATTTTAATAGGATTGTGTTTCCTCTCCAGCTAATTGGCGGTAATGTTTATCGTGTACTTAAATAATATTGTCATATACGTTTCGACGATTTTTTTTATCCTTTCGGCCGTAACCGGTTTCGTATCCAGTTTAACTGGTACAGTCCACTTGGTGTTTCAGTTGGTTAAGTGACGGAATTTAAAGTTCTTGGTAAAACGACCCTTATGGACCTTATGTTACAAAGAAGCTTGTGGCAAAGCTGCTTATTAAGATCAGGGACTAACAAAATGGAACTTAAGAAACAGCTATACTTGACAGAGTGTCAGCTGTTTTGAAAAGGCGGAATCAAGAGCTGACAGTGTCCTAAAAAAAAAAAAATTAACACTTTCAGCTATAAGTTTTTTAATTGCTTCCAGCCACTTTATTTCAGCTCTTCAGATTATCAAGGATCAAGGGACAGAGGCCAGATATTTTATTTCCAACGGAAGTGTTTTCTGAACTTGCTACAAAAGTGGAAACTAGACAACACATTCCGGATCATTCTGAAAGGGTCTAGCTAAGGCCGGAGTTAGAAAGAGGTGAACTGTATGAGATTATCACGTCTGACAGTTTTTTTGCGAAAATTGCTCAAAATCCACTGCAGTGGTAATATGAGAAGGAATGTCTTCCTCTTGCCGTTTTAAGCTATGGTTAAAATTGGTTAAATCCGAAGTTCCATTCTTTCTATACCGGTTACACCAAAAGCTGGAACTGATTTCTTGTAACGCTGCATGAACCTAAAAATTGAAATATAATTTTCTTAAGTATCTTATTGGGTGTCAAAAAAGATAAAGGGCAAGGAGTCAAACTCAGGACCTCTAGTTAGTCAGGTAGCCGGTGCATGAGGAATCCGAACTCAGGACCAGCCAGTCTACGTACTAAGGGGCGTGAATTGTATGTTGGTGCAAGAAAGAGCGGGGTGCACATGTTTCTTTTCTTCACACACCTTGCTTTATTTCGCGCCTATATTTTTCATGCATGAGCTTGCTATGCTGTTTAGCCAATTAAGGACCTCCCAGGTACATCTGGAAAGTTGAAGGCCAATTTTCGTGTACCAACCAGCTAAAATAATCGGTTTGGGGTAAATCACTAAACTGCCATTAAACCACTTTTCAGCCACTTATTTAATCTGAAGAATAAGCAAGATGTTAGGGTTGGGTTGAGTAACCAACTGGTCAAGTAATTTACGTGACTTTCTAGAGAGTCTTTTCACAATATTGGCTAATTTTCAGCCATGATTTTAATCCCAATCTCTCAACTTGATGGATGGCTCATTAAAGTGTGTAATAAATGCAAAATAGCTACCAATTTAGAGGCGGTACTCAGTTTCCTATCACTATGTACGTAGAAAATTAAAAATTGTCTACTACTGTCTACTGAGGCCTTTCTTGGTCATAAAGTTTGTTATGCGATCAAAAACACTCCTTGCAAAAAAGAATCAGACTTCAAATGAATTTTGCCTTACAAGAAGAAAAGATCTCTGACGGAACTGAAGCAAACCCCAGTGTTATATCAGTTG